TTTAATAGAATTTTTTCTTAAGTTTCGCGGAAACCTACCCAAAACACATCACTAAGGCCAAAAGTAACGGTACATCCTGTAGTGCTACTCCCATCACTAACCGCTTGTGTGTGTGTGTGGGTGTGATTCGAAGTCTATCAGAATGGCAGTATGTGTGTGTGTGTGAGCGTGTAAGCAGTGCACCCAATAAATCCTCAATAATTTATATAGAGCGCCGTCCGCATTTCTGAGGTTTTTGGCCGGGGGAAGCGAAAACGGAAGGGGAAGGAAATGTGGGTTGTCTAAGCGAAAGCGAAATTTGTTCAAATATTTGTCTCAATCAAAGAGGCGGCGCAAGGATTTCACAGTGGAGCCAGAAGTCGGCCGAAGGATACCCTTTATTTGCGTAAAAACTTGCATTGAAAAGAGTTCCATTTATTTTAGAACATTTTGGATAGAAGGTCGCTGCAAATAAATAGCTAAGCATGAAATTATAACTTAGAGGCTTAGATACACTTCAGTTCTTTTATTATGACACTTTCAAAGATTTGCTCTTGAGTTGACAGGAAAGCGAGCTTTTGAACGATTCAAAGAATAAACAGGATGGGTAATGGATAATGGATAATAGATAATGGCTCTCATGTAGCGCAATTTCATAACTCGAACTGACAACAAACATAAGAGGCGGCAAAGGGGAGGGAAGAGGGGAAAGGAAAAGGGGGAGAAGGGGCCACAAGGACGCAGTCAATTTATATTATGAGCCAATGTCCTGTACATGGCAATCGAAGTGGACAGATGAGAGCGCGGATAATGATAAGTGATAAGAGTACCAGGAGAACCAGAGCAACAAGAACAACAAATGACAAGCGTGCACAAAAGGAATCCAATAAAGTGTTAAGTGGGGCAGCCAAGCAGCGGCGGAGAAAGCTGGAAAAGCGGCGAAAGCGGGAGAAAGGCTTGGGGAAAGCACGAACATTTCATTCCCCAGATGCTTTTGCGTCACTTGAGCGGCAATTTGAATGAACGAATGGGAATCGGAATGCGAATGGGAAAGGGCTTGGGGAAAGGGAAATGCTGAAAGTGCGGAAAACCGAGGGAAAGCTGCGAGGCCGGCTGAAGCCAGGCTAAATCGTCCCCAGGCCAAACCAATTGACGATTTGTGCATATAACCTTATTATAATGACATCATTTCGGAGCGCCTCTGGCAGCTCAACTCAACTCAACGTCCGAGTGCAAGGACTATGGTAGACTGTCGCAAATGCGCAAATACCAAACCAGCTTGAAGTTGTCCCAACTTGAATCGTACCCACTACCAAAATCCAATCTCTGCAACATTGATAAGCAAAGCATTTGATAAGCAAAGGAAAATAACCAACCAACCCTTCGCGATAAAATGATTTTTGACTGTTTAATGCAGGTGCTACCAAAAAAAAAACAATTGCTAAGTGGACAACCATTGTTCCAGTGAAGTTTTGAATAGCTCTTGGGAATGTTTGATGGGTGGCGACTTGCGTTATTGAGTGGGGTGAGTGGGAGGAAAAGAGGAAGGGGAAGAGGAAGAGGAAGAGTGGGGGTGACGAGGAATTGGACGTGCCTTTAAGTGCCGTTTCGCTCGCATCCAGTAAATAATAAGAAAATTCCAGCGCGCATTGGCATTTCCGCGCCAACATCCTCATCACTGCCGTCATCCGTCGGGAGACACAAAACTATGCGGAGCAGCCCCACTGGAGCCCCACTGGAGCCCCACTGACGTGCCCCACCAACGTGCCACCAGCCAGCAGCCATCCATTCCGAGGAGCAGAGCGGAGTCAAAGTGGCATTTCAAGTTCAAGCCGGTTGGCAAAGTCGGAAGAGTCGGAAAAGTTTTCGATTGGATAAGAGGCAGCGGAACGAACACAGCCGAGCACAAACGCAGTCGAGCAAATGCAATCAACTTCGAGTATATTAAATTTTATCACACTCATACCTCGAATGACGGACTCTGGATGTGGCCAAGCAATGTTGGCCCGGCAGCAGGCATCAAATGGCCAAAAGGCCAAGGGGTCTTCAAACCGAAACAAAAGTGTAAATTCCGAGTGTGTGAGAAGTCCAATCAATGCGCCATCGAGTCAATCGGGGGCAATTCCACCAACTGAATCTACAATGAACTCGCAGCTCAAAACCCACGAAACCATTTCCCTCCTCCCACAAAAAAAAAAAAAAAAAAAAAAAGGCGATACAAATTGAATTACCTGAGCGTTGGCTGGTTATACTTACCTGCATAAAATGGCCATCAACTCGATATTTGCAGGCGAATATTTGCAGGGGAATGAAGAATACAGATCAATTAAATAGATTTATCTTTATTCTAGAGAAATATTTATGTGTCCTATAAACAAAGGAAACAAAGTACTTTTTCTCTTAAATCTATGCATTGGATTCAAAACTGGATTAGATGTGTAATATTATCAGAAAAGGTTGAGGTTTTCCCTATTAATTATAATTATCATCATTTGTTACTAAAAGCTGTTGAAATCCTTTTGCAACTATTCTTGGTTTCAGTTCTTTCTAATTACCATGCACTATACTCTACACTTACTATTACTATTACTATTGCTAATAGCAACAATCGTTATGCTCAAATTCCCTACACTCACCGATCTGCCAGCCAATTATAAGTTGAACTCGTTTCGCATTCGTTTTTGAACTCGGTTCGCTGGGAATAATTGCGAAATGACAACGGAGCGGGCGGGACAACAAAACCGATTTGTTTCGTATTACCAAACTTTCGCAGGCGAATGGCAGGTGGTGGGAAAGGGGAGGGGGGTTTGTGTGTGTGTGGGGGGGAGATGCTTTTTTGGGGTTCCAGTTCGTTGGGGTCTGCGGTTGAGCCGATGTGTCCGTGTTCGTGTCCGTGCCGCCTGTAAAACTCAAGTGAGACATATGTACAGTAACAAATCAATTTTAGTGGCAGACACACACTCACACACACACAGAAAAGGGGTTGTTGTGTGTGTGTGTGTTGGTTAGGGGGGAGTGGAGCCCGAAACTCGTTTGGGGCATATTACTTCCGCCGAACTTGATTGAACTGCTCTGCCAGCGAGCGGAAAGCGAAATTCATCAACGCACCATTGCCCGAAATCCGAGACCCCTTCTCAACCCGAAACCCGAATCCCTCCGCCCTTAACCCCTTCCCTCCCCCCTCGGCACCCATGTCAAGACACACACACACACACACACTACACCCCCTTGCCGTCAATTTCCCCTCCCGTGTGAAAAAACCACGGACCCCTGTCACTTTTGATTGTAATCGAGTGTTTTTATTGTCGCTCTCTCGCTCTCGCCTTCGCTATCTTCATCTGGCTGCACTGCGAGAAAAACTTTCGGTTCGTTTTGAGACGCTTTGGTTGAGGCTTATGAACAAAGAGTGCCGCTTAAGAAAGGTTTTTTTAAGCCTGACAGTTGAATAGGAAGATAAAAGAAATACAATTTTTAGATTCTGAATTGCTCAATGCTAAAATATTAGAAATTGTTTTTTAAGCCAAAAAAAAAAAAAATATTTATACCTATATATATTTATGAACTTTTAATACAAACACATTAAATAACAGCATTAACAATTATATGTCTCTCAAATTCAAATACAAATACGAAGTGTAAATTAATGTGATGATTGTTTGAAATGATTCTTGACTTTTGTTATTTGATTTCACCCCACTCTTTTTTCGCTGTGTAAGCGCACTGACAAACAGTTTGATATACTTTACGAACTGCGCTGCAAAGCCACATCCACATCCACATCCACATCCACAATCGCATCCGCAATCGCATCCGCATCCAGAGTCCTGGCCATGGACCTCATCCTCCTCTTCCTCCTACTCCTCCTCCTCTTTCTCTTCCTTTTCCTCTTCCCCATCGTCCTCGATCTCGGCGTGTGTTTGCCAATTGGATTTGACATTTTATTGGGTTTTCCTTCGCTCTCGTTACTGCCGCTCCACTGGATCCACAATTGCCATAGTTGTTGTTGTTCCTGCTCTTGTTGTTCTTGTTTTTGTTGTTGTTGTTGATGTTGTTGATATTGTTGTCGTAATTGATGTGCCTGATGTGCTGCCGTTTCGACCAAGTCGCTGCCAACATAAATCCACGCGGCTGTCCCCCCGAAGTTGCCAAGTGCCACCAGTGACTCCGCCGCCTCCCCTTTGGCTTATGAAGATTGGTGGAGCGCGCGCGGGCAGTGGTGAACTGAAGTGAACTGGAGTCGCGTGGCTGGCTTTTATTTGGGTAATTAGTACAAGGCAACTTGATTATCGCGCCACCGTGGATGCACATTGGATGGCCGGGATGGCAGGGATTGGATGGCCAGGATTGGATAGGTACGTAGCATTGGATGGCCACAGCAGTGGAGCAGAGGAGCCGGCTAATGGTTGGCAATAACTCTGCCTGGACAGGACACCCAGGACTCGCAGGACTCGCCCGCTGAGTAACAGGTCGGATAACACCGATGGAGTCGAGGGAGAGAGAGCAACGGGTCCCGCGGGAAATTGCCCTCGCATCGCAGCTGGGCCATCCAATCGCTCCCCCTTCAATCTGAGCTGGCCTAATTAATAAATTGAACTAGCCCAATCCCCCCGGGCCGCTGTCCCCAGCACATTAATCAGGTCGTGGGAATTACGGCCATCTGAAGCCGAACAAAAGCGGGGTTCCCTTAAAGATCTGTGCATTTCTATAGCAATTGAATTAGATCTTTAGGGAATCTTTTCTCTAGTTTTGTTTCATGTGAATCTCAATTGCAAAAGCAACAAAATGCCTGAAATCATACAACATTTCAAAATTGAAGGAATCCACACTTCAATGAGAAACTATTATAATTTTAATCCTTATTAAATGGTTAAGAATATTTTCAAAGCAACTGTTGTAGTAATAATAAAAAACTCCCATCAAATCTATGAATTTCCTTGCCTTGTTATTATTAAAATTGAAAGCATTGAACTTCTGTTAAACCCTTTCTTACATCCAATTATATTTTAAACACTTTCCCGCAGGACTCTCGGACACGAAGCTGCACGAGATCTACCTGGACGACAAGGAGATCAAGCTGAGCTGGATGGTCGACTGGTACAAGCAGGAGGTGCTCTTCCACCTGCAGAACGCGTTCAACGAGCAGCACCGCTGGTTCTACCTCGGCTTCTCGAAGCGCGGCGGCCTGGCGGATGCGGACATCTGTTTCTTTGAGAACCAGAACGGGTTCTTCAACGCGGTGACCGACACGTACACCAGTCCGGATGGCCGGTGGGTGCGGCGGGACTATCAGCAGGACTGCGAGGTCTTCAAGATGGACGAGTTCACGCTGGCCTTCCGGCGCAAGTTCGACACCTGCGATCCTCTGGACCTGCGCCTCCATGTAAGTGCCTCGTTTATTGCATTTCCTTGGCGATCATTGCATATATATAATATACGATCCTTCCTTGCAGGAGGGCACCATGTACGTGGTCTGGGCGCGGGGCGAAACGGAGCTGGCCCTGGAGGATCACCAGTTCGCCCTGCCCAACGTGACCGCTCCCCACGAGGCGGGGGTCAAGATGCTCCAGCTGCTCCGCGCCGACAAGATTCTCATACCCGAAACGTAAGTGGCGCGACGGCGAACAGAAATGCCACAATCCTATTGTGACTATTGCATGCATGACTATTCCAGTGACTTGGACCACATGGAGATCACGCTGAAGGAGGCGCCGATCCCCAGCCAGGAGACGACCTACTGGTGCCACGTGCAGCGGCTGGACGGCGACCTGAGCCGCCGGCGGCACATCGTGCAGTTCGAGCCGCTCATCCGGACGCCGGGCATCGTCCACCACATGGAGGTGTTCCACTGCGAGGCCGGCGAGCAGGAGGAGATCCCCGAGTACAACGGCGACTGCGAGCAGCTGCCGCCGCGGGCCAAGCTCTGCTCCAAGGTGATGGTCCTCTGGGCAATGGGCGCCGGCACGTTCACCTATCCGCCGGAGGCCGGCCTTCCCGTCGGCGGCGCCGGCTTCAATCCCTTCGTCCGGCTGGAGGTGCACTTCAACAATCCGGAGAAGCAGGCTGGTAAGCGGATTAGCCCCAAAGCGATTTGTTCGCAGGCGATGAGCTGCCGACTTTAAGCTTATTACGCTTATTTATTTATTTTATTTCAACAATAAATAAAGCATGACTATGAAATCGTTTGAGTTCGTGGATTTCAATCAACATATAAATTACGATTGCATACGATTAACATAGTTTAAATGAACACTAATAATAATAATAATGAATAGAAGTAACATCTAAGTTACGATTGCAGATAAAAAAAGATAGCGTACTTATTTGGGCTAACCTACTGGTCGTATACGTAACACAGTTCAAATTAATAATAATGAATAAATAATTAAATAATAATAATAATAATAATGAATACAAATAGAAGTAACATATAAATTACGATTGCAGGTAAAAAAAAGATAGCATACGTTTTTTAGGCTGACCTACTGGTCGTATACGTAACGTAGTTTAAATGAATACTTAGGAAAAGTTTGATAGCTTAATCAAATTGCTTAGCTTATAAAACATATATTTTTAATTTATTTATTTTCTTCAATTGGAAGTGCCCACTGATATTAATCATCCGCCCTGTGGCACTTTCGCCTAACTTTCGCCTCAGGTTTGGTGGACAACTCGGGCTTCCGCATCAAGATGTCGAAGAGCCTGCGGCAGTACGACGCCGCCGTGATGGAACTGGGCCTGGAGTACACCGACAAGATGGCCATACCGCCCGGCCAGACCGCCTTCCCGCTGAGCGGCTACTGCGTGGCGGACTGCACGAAGGCCGCCCTGCCGGCCACCGGGATCATCGTGTTCGGCTCCCAGCTGCACACGCACCTGCGCGGCGTCCGCGTCCTCACCCGTCACTTCCGCGGCGACCAGGAGCTGCGGGAGGTGAACCGCGACGACTTCTACTCGAACCACTTCCAGGAGATGCGCACGCTGCACTACAAGCCGCGGGTCCTGCCGGTAAGCCAAGCAGATCCTTCTCCTCATCTCTTTTGTGGGTCAGTCAGTGGGTCGGTCAAGCGGTATTCGATGATGTTAAACACGTAGCTAGTTTATTAGTTTATGGTACTGAAGTAGGTTATTTCCTTCAAACAAAGGCAATAGCCCATTGTTTTGTTTACCTTCTTCAAAGCTAACTGTTTTATATAATATGATTTCAAATATTCAGTTTTCAATAAACTAACGAAATGTTTAATAGCTTTAGCTACTGCCATGACTCATCCAACATCCAACCGAAGGCCACCCCTTGACCAGCACTTCTCTTATTTTGGTGGCCTGTTTTTCATTCACTTCGCTTTAGTCTGCGTCCTTGATATTTTCCTGTTATCCTTGTTATCCGTGCGGCGATCTGCCATTTGTTTTCCAGGGCGACGCCTTGGTGACCACTTGCTACTACAACACCAAGGAGGACAAGACCGCCGCCCTCGGGGGATTCTCCATCAGCGACGAGATGTGCGTGAACTACATCCACTACTACCCGGCCACCAAGCTGGAGGTCTGCAAGAGTTCCGTTTCGGAGGAGACGCTCGAGAACTACTTCATCTACATGAAGCGGTAAGGCAAAGTGCTCTCTTATATGCTAGTATAGTATAGTATAATTATATAATGATCCCTAAATGATTTGCTATTTTCCCGATTGATTAGATTAGATTTGATCGTCGGGGAACCAAGGAAAGTCTTTTGATTTTGAATCGTGCTGCAGGCGAATTCCCGACTTGCTCATTCCCCGCTTCCAAATGCCTCATGCCGAATCCTTCTGCCTGCCTTCTCTGTTGGCGTTACGTATATTCAGCAATTATAACGCCCATCCACATTCGTGGCATTCTAGCCATCCGTCCCGCGGGCGTTTGCGGCGATAATGGAAGAAATATTTTTTAATCTACGCAGCAGCGAAAGCGGCGACAGGCGACGTCACAATGCCACTGGCGGTGGTGCTGTTATCCGGGGGATTGAGGGGGGATTGAGGGGGATCCTTGGTTGGTTGGTTGGTTGGTTGGGGCTCCAAAACACTGGGGCTCAAGGGTGATGAGCGTCGGCATTGTGGGCTTTCATTAAGGGGCCTCTTCCGTTCGGCTCCTTGTGCATCAAAGGGAAACTTTTCGACATTCCCCTTTTCAAGGCCCGATTCCTTGGCGCATTCATAACGGCGAAATGCTCTTTGTTCGCCTCCTGTGGCCACAACCCCCACCCCCACCCTCCTCCACTTTCGACCCTATTCCATCGACCTGGCCCGAAAAAGGTGTTCGCTAATTGCCAACTTTAAGCAGTTGAGCATCGGTTGATGGCGAAGTTTGCATTAGATTAGGGAAGCCGCAGCGGGAAAACTCGGAATGCGGGCTCGCCAGGTGGAAATGGAAATTGCTGGCTAAAGTTGAACTTGTTGTTGTTGCGGTTATGCCTTCCACTCCACACTTGGATTATCCCCAATCTCAGTGGGTTAGAAATGTCTACGAATGTAATAGAAATTGGCGAGAAACCGAAGAGTTTTTATTGGGTTTCTCCCATCGCAAATTGCGCATTATAAAAGGTGCTTTTAATAAGGTTGAGTTTTAACAATCCAATCTTTCAATCAATCTATTCTACTTAAGTTTTATAAGCTATGTATATTTGTATTTTCCTTAGCTTATAATAGTTGTAAGTTATTAAGCATTTACTTTATATTTTACATTGCTTTGAATGCAATAAAATATTGGTTTCTGTGAACCCAAGAGTGTGACTTCCCCCAAGGAAGTGTGGCTCCTTCTTACCTGCTCACCTCTCGTTGTCCTGTTTCCTTCCGCAGGACGGAGCACCAACACGGCGTGCATTTGAACGGAGCCAGGTCCGCCAACTACCGGAGCATCGAGTGGAGCCAGCCGCGGGTGGACCAGCTGTACACGATGTACGTGCAGGAGCCCCTCAGCATGCAGTGCAACAGGTCCGACGGCGCCCGCTTCGAGGGGGGCGGCTGGGCGGCTGGGAGGGCGTGCCGGCGACGCCCGTCCAGATCCGCGTGCCCATCCACCGCAAGCTCTGCCCCAACTACAATCCGCTCTGGCTGAAGCCACTGGAGAAGGGCGAGTGCGATCTGCTCGGCGAGTGCATCTACTAGGCTAGGACCGAAGGGCGTGGCACGGCAAGGGGGCGTGGCATGGCACAACAAGGCACACACAGGCACACACACGCACACAACTGCAAATGCAAATGCAACGCCACAGGGAATAAATGGTTACTTTATCTTGATTTGATTGAAGTATCAGAGGTATTGATTGCTGGCTGCAATTCAATTAGATTCCTTTTCTATTAAATCATAACCTATTTGAAAGCTAGCAATCACGCATCAACTCTTCATTAGTTCCCCAATTTATTTCTAATTAAATATTGCTGGGCAACCATGTTTGTTTTTGGGTCACTTCAAAGTATTAAATATTTATTTAACAACTGCTGATATTTAGGCTTAGGTGTCGGGCACTAGGGAGGTCCCACTGTAGCCGCTTTGTGTTTGCCCGCTCATCCGCATCGCCATTAGCATTAGCATTATCATCGTCCGCTTTGTGTGTGCTTGGGCCAAAGTGAAAGGCAGTCGGGGCAACAGGCCAAAACAAATGTTTTCACTCTTTAAATAACTAATGCATTTACCATCACCAATCCCGCCCATCTATTTTCCCCCCTTTTAACTTTTGCCTTCGCCTTTTGCCCTTGCCTTTTATTCCTACCACACATATATATATTTTTTGTTCGTTGTTTGTTTGTTGTTTGTTGTTTGTTGTGCTGGTGCTAGCATTCGTGTTCGTGTTTGTGCCCTTTGCCCTTGCTGTTTTGGCCAGCCTTTGAAATTTGCCGACTGACAGCGCCGCCAGGCTAAAACGTTTAACACAAAGCAGCTTACAAGGCATGGCCCACACGCACACACACATGCACGCACACACACACACACTCATATCCAGACGCACTGAACTTGGATCAGACGAAATTGTAGCATACTTCTCAGCGCCAGCTGAGAAATTAAATGGCCGACTGACTGAATGGAACAGAACCAAACCGAACCGAACCGAACTGAACCGAACGGAACGGAACGGAACATAACGGTCTTAAACGGACAAAGTGGCCGGAACCAAGAAGGCCAAGAAAGTGTTGAAGGAGAGGGGGATAGAGGCGCACTGTTTATACAATATAAATGAGCAAACTTTTGATGCAACCCGACGTTGCCAAGTCTAATTACCAAGAAGCTCGAGGAAAAAAAGGCAGGGCGAGCTGGCGGACAAAAATCTGGGGGAAGGGAAAAATAATTGGCGTGGGATGTCTTATTGGAAATGTCGAAAGTTGGCAAACGGCAAACTGCAAACGGCGAGCGGAGAAGGCGGGGATCATGGGACATGGTAGATGGGCTACCCACAGCCAGGAGCTTACCACCACACGAACCCATGTGTTATTCTTTCTTTTGCCGGGGGATTCCACCCCCTTTCCGCCCTTTCGCTCCAATCCCGCACTCCATCTTCATCACACCGCAGGCTTTTCAGGGTTTTCTGCATTTTCCCCCCTTGCCATCTCCACAAATGCACCCACACAGCGACACGCACACACACACAAATACACACACAAACATACATTTGAGTAAACATGTAATGGATACGTTTAAGTGTAGCCAACATACATATGTAAGATGTGATAATTGTTCTATGGCTATAAATGAAATATATATACACATGAATATATAAACTATGTAGATGAAATATTTATAAAAAACAAAAACCGATCGAAAGCGAAACCAAAAAAAAAGTAAAACGTATAATTTATCTAATAAAAACTGACCACCATACCAGATTGCCGTCTTTTGTAATTTCTGGGGAGGAAACAAATAAATATCTAAAGATTCAAATTATTTGTATCGTCATTACTATTTATGGGTAAATATTGTATAATTTAATTGCTCTGCTCAGATAATGCATTCATACTGTAATCGAATGTGCCTATGGAAAACCATAAGTTTTCCATTAATATCCGAGAGCTTAAAATGTTCAAGGACAAACTGGCGCGCTTTATTGTCCCTGGTGCACATTTGATCCTTCAACGCGTTGACTGACGAGCGGCCATTTTAATTGATTTTCCAATTTTGTGCACAATTTTTGTGTGGCCAACGAAAAGGGAGGAAGGGGTTTTCGGGGGGATGGAAAGTCATGAGAGTATTAAAAACGCTGCAATCCAATTAAAAGTTTTTTACCGAAACAACAAATATTTTAATATTCATTGGCGCACACGCTCACACCCAAAAATTTGAGGGCATTATAAAGAAAGGGGAAATTGAGACAAGCGACGTTTAAAAAAAGGAGAAAGAGTAGGTATACAACTAAAAAATTAAGCAAGTAATGCAAAGTATAGCTAAAATCATAATGCCTTTAAGTTCGATGTTCATGGAAGAACTCTTTAAGGAAATATTTCACTTGGATTACATTCGGAGACAAAATATAACAGCTTCCATTCCATTAGCATTATTTCATCAGACGTGGAAGCCTTCAAGCAGCTGACAGACTTCATGCATGTACCATACATATGTGTCCCCCACTCATTCCACTTTCCGGAAAAGCTAGCAATAATAAGAAGCCAAAGGACAGGAGGAAGAGTCAGACAGAAACGAAAGATAAGAATGGGCATCGAGGGAAAAGGGAAATGGAAATCAGGTTGCAGGTCTACGACACTGGATTACAATGAAGTATGGTTTGTTCTAATGTGAAATGAAATATAATTACATATTTCAATTATCAATCATATGTGTTTGAAACATTATTTTAATTTTTTTGGGGCTGTATGTAAGGCATAAGCTCTGACCTTCGTAATTAGTTACTTTAAAGGAAACTTAAGCATATTTGATAGCTTTGGCAAAATCTATATTATTTCAAGCAAACTAAGTATTTTCAAAGCCTTAACATATCTTCACTTTCTGAACTTTTTAGGTTCAGTGTCACGCGGGATCGCTGAAGCAAAAAAAGAAAAAAAGTCAGCGACTGATTCGCGATTCGTGACTGCGAAAAGTCAAGTGGTCGCGGCATACGCGGCGTATGCGTAACGTTACCCAACGTAATGGCAAACGTGAAGGCATCGCCCTCCGAAATTGTGTGTGTCTGGGCATCCGTGTGTGCAGATGTGTGTGTGTGTGTGTGTGCGTAATCGCCTTTTTTGGGCTGTTGTCATTCCATTTTCACGCTTCCCCACACACTCACACACACACACGGCTACACATCGCACACGCACACATTGGCAGCAGAGGAGGAGCAGAGCATTTAATCAAGCCAACCTTCATCGTGACCACCTTTTTCTGGTTAGCGGCACAACCTGTATGCTACAGTAGAGCTTCGTTATGCAAAGCCAATTCAAATACCCGAAATGGAGGAACTTAAGGAATTCGATTAAAAGATCTGCCTATCTATTAAAAATCAAAAATTTATGGACCTTAGTTATTCCTCGTATGGCATATCGAATGCAATTTAATTGGAATGTTTGAGCTCATTTTCAGCTCCAGAGATACCACTGCAGAGGTCGAAGTAAAGGCTGCGGTATTTGTTAGGGTTGAGGTTTTGGGGGGCTTAGTCCCAGATTCTCGCGTCCGCGTAGCCTCATTACTGTCATCAGCACTCCCACTCCACTTCCATTCCCACTCCACTTTCATTCCCACTCCACTTCTATTCCCACTCCACTTCCTTACCCACTCCACTTCCATTCCCATTCCAGTACCATTCCCGTTCCCGTTCCCGTTCCCGTTTCCGTTCCCGTTCCGTTCCCAACCGCAGACCCATTCTGCTTAAGCATTTATCTGCGGCCCAATCGCCGGCGTGTGTGAACGAGTTTGTGGAACGGAGAGAGCGGGGGCGGGGGACCAAATTTAATGTCACAAACTTTTGATGTGTTCTAATTTATATACAAACAGACAAGCAGACAGACATACACTTCTGACTACACTTTCCAATACCCTTTCAAAGTCTTTTTTTGAGAGCCATGCAAAACATATGCTTGTACATAGTGCCATGAATTAATATTAACAAATGCACTCTTGGAGGGTAAAAAATAAATTTAAAGAACTCTTGGGAATTTATTATAATATTATAAACGCTGCATTTTTTTGTCGTGTTTGAAGACTCGTAAATAGCGACTTACCCGCAGGAATCCCTAATTCACCGCCTCCCTGGTCGAAAACCGTTAAAGTAAATTTGTTTTCACGCTCGACGGCGAATTGTGCGACTTGCTCGATCTTCCCGCACTCCCTCTCCTTTTCTCCTTCCCAAGGCACCCGTTCCCCAGTATTTTCAACAGATTTCGCCACGTTTCCCCACAACTCCACGAAAACACGCAGCTTTTCCTTGCATTGGAAATTTTTCGAGCGAGCGGTGCTCTTGTTAATATTTCATATGTCATCGCAAGGAGTCCCGGGAACGCCACTTCACTCGCGTTTTTGTTCTTCGGTTTCGGTTTTGGTTTTGGTTTCTGTCTCTTCGGTTGCTTTTTTTATGTTTTTGTTCTGTTCTGTTTTTGGTTCCTCTCTTTCTGTCAGCCGTCATTCCCAGCATCCCCACATGCCACGCCCCGGAATTGCGCCGCCCTGAGTTTCCCTGTAAGCGGCCACAACTCTTAAATCGCTTGCGTTTAAAAATTTGATTATGTGACATTTTCGCTCAGCTTTTGTGGCAGCACAAAAAGAAGGAAACAAAACAAAAAAAAAAAAAACGAAAAAAAAGGGCAAATTAAATTTGTACACAGATTCACTTTTTTCATTTTCATTCATTTTATTTTTCATTTTTCGTGGTGGCTGATTGTTGCTGTTGTCGGAGGAGCAAAAGGAGCAGGAGGAAAAGGAGGAACAAGAGGAACAGGAGGAACAAGAGGAACAAGAGGAACAGGAGGAGGAGGAGGAACAAGAGGAACAAGAGGAACAGGAGGAGCCTGTGGTAATTTCATTCGCTTTTATGAAGGCTTTTCCGCATTTTCGGCATTAAGAAGGGAATAAAATGCGACCCTTCAGTTACCCAGTGAATGAATTTTCCGATTCTCTGCTTTTTTTACCAAATGCTTTGCCATCTTTAAAGTTTGATAATTCGAATTTTTAATTCCTTTTGTTTGTATTTTCGGTTCTGCTCCACAACATTGGGAATGAGCTGGGTTTTCAAATTCGATCAAGTGTTAAATTAATGCGCATGTTTATGGGTTCTTATGATCTTATGATATGTGATCGATTCCTTCTTCTTGCCCACTTGAAGATCGTTCCAGACTTTGGTGTGGTTGTGTGCTGGCACTAAGCCGTCCAATTGGCTGGGCAAAAGGGGCGTGACAGCGCGATAGGTCCTCGGGGAGCGATTGCGAATTGTGAGGACTTTTCCCGTACGCCGCTTTGTTTAATGCATAATTTATGCAAAATATCCGAGCACAAATTGACATTAATCAGTATGCTTTATTGACCTGCCCGTCGCAGGACCTTCGCCAGGATAATCGCGGCGCTGAGACGGAATGAGCTCGAGATGGAGCGGCCCTCGTCGTGGCACTCCGCTGACATTTCTGATGGGGCTCCGCTCTGCGCCGCCCCAACATTCCTATTACTTAATCAAGAAATTCCTTCGGCCTCCGACCGCCACCCCAAAAACCACCCAGAAGCCACCCACTCGAGCGTTAATGGCCCGGCCTTTGTGGCCCCAGCCACGTTTTGTTTTGTGGGCCAAAAGGGTATGTTGTTTAGTGTTCGAAATGCTCTGTTTACGCGAATTGATTGCTGAGCTCGTGACTGACTTTTGATTAATTAAATTCAATAATTCATTTATCGCAGGCAAAAAACAAAAATATGCGAAATAAAAAGTGTGTAAATGCACATTAGATTGTATGACATATCCGAAGGTAACATTTTGTGAACGCTTTTTGTATGCAAAAAATATTAGGGCTGATTAATTATTTATTAGTTGCAGTCAATGCAATTAATTTTTCAGGCCTGATTCGGATGGAAGTGTAGCACGCATTCGTCTCTGGACTTTTCGACTTCTGGACTCGGCGACCGTCGTTCTTTTGTTTTGTTGACAACGAAAGTGACTTGACATTCTGGCCTCTGGTGCCTGCACCCTCCCATCCCGTTCAAACCACCCCCCCTTTCAACCCCGCAAAGGCGAAGGAGAAGGGGGTGGAGGGGGAGGGGGGAGGGCTTTACCAGCAGGAATTCGCAATAAACGTGGCTCGGGAACGGTGGAAGCCAAAGTTCATTTGACCCGCAAGCCGTGGCAGCGAAAGGAGGACGAGGACCTCCATGACGGACAATCGGCGAGGAGTTCCAACACATGCATACACACACCTACACACCCCTCGAAATCTGATCGAGCTCAACCACAGAAGATTGCCAATTTTCCAGTTTATTGATTGTTGTTGATATTGATATACATATGGTTGCTTATTGCCTAATTCAAACAGCAAATTAACTTTCAATGCTCCTTGCAACCTGCACTTTTCTGTGGTAGTGTTTCACTCACAAACTATTCGAATCCGTGGTGCTTGCAACGTGCTCTGCACCCCGAGCACCGCCCAGTTTGTTCTTCTCCTTGGCGTACGGACCGGGAAAGTGGTCCAGCTTGGTGGCCACGTCCTCCACGCGACAGCAATGCACTAAACCGTAGATGGCGAACTCGTGGAGGCTGGCGAAGAGGCTGTCCTGTTGCAGCCAGGACACCTGGTCGCACATCGAGGAGCACAAGTCGCTCTGGCTGCCGCTGCGCACCTGCGAATCGCACCGAGCGATCGAGTGAGAAAGGGAGAGAGACATAGAGGGAGGGAGATGAGAGTAGATACGAAACTCGGTGAACAGCCTTCTGCTCGATTCAGTTATGTTACATATATACATGTAGTTACATGTTACATGTTACATTTTACATGTAGTTACATGTATATATGTATACTTGTATGTATACGTACGAAGGGCGAATTGTGTCCGATGATGACGATCTCGTCCTGGACACCGCCAGTTGGCTCGAGGGCGTGGACATGGGCCCAGATGTGGGCGGGCACCCGCACCGTATCCCCGCCTACGCTGCCGGCCAATGGGATCAGCATCGGTCGAGTGGCGTTGCAGGGTCCTCTGCCGATGGAGGGCGGCAGCTGGAGCTCCCCGGAAGCGCCCAGCCGGACGTCGAAGTGGAGGCCGCGCCTGGCGGCCAGACGCATCGCCGCGATCCAGTGGCGCCAGTTGCCGGAGCGCAGGGAGCGCAGCCAGGTGGTGGTCATCATGTCCTCGTAGCCGGTCACCATCGCTTCCATTCCGTTGTCCTGGACGAGACTGGCCGACTCGAACAAGCCCGCCAGCTGATCGACGTTCGCCACGTAGGCATCGATATCCGTCTGACTGCTCGAAGCGACCAAAGTTAAGTGGGGCTTAGTCAGGTTAGTTTACAATTCTATGCGTCTACCCACCGAACGGGCTTGAAGGTACTCTTGCGGTAGTTCACTTTGGTATTCAATTCGACATCATTCAGCTGACCCACTTCCGCCTGCAAGCAGGTGAATCGAGTATTAAATATTGGGGTAAATCGCAGGAAGTTAAGTATTCGTGCTACCTACCCCCAGAACTTGGTTACTTGCGGAGAATGTCGTGTAAGCTATATACTTTAATCGAGAGGCAACAATGTCATAGCATAAAGCCGCAATGTTCTTTGACCCCAACTCTTTGAGGTCGTGACCCAGAACGAGGGTCATGTCGCCCTCGCAGTTGGGCAAACTGGAGTTGCTCTCAAACAATTGATAAATTCCTTCATGACACCCAACACTTAATTCCCGTAGATTATAGTTCTCGACTGGATCTCGAAAATACCCATCACGACTGCATTCCAATGTTAACTTTTCACCGTTTCCTGTTTTTGTGGTTCTGCCGTGGTTTTTACTGAAACCAAATAAGTGATTAATATTTCAACATATTGTAGTTTCTATTTTACAAGGCTTAAGGATGATTTACTTTCAGCCTGGCAGGATGACCACAAGCATTTAGTTTAAGGCAAATTTATGTTCTAAAGAATTGTAGTATATGTATATTATATGAAACGTATACATATATGTTGAACTAGAAACATACTTGTAAGTAACTCCACCTCCGCATAACAACTCAATAGACTCTCCTTCCTCTCTTGTTATCACTCCCCAAGATTGTGACAGCATTGTTTTGGTGCCAAATCGGTTAACAATCAACGGCGGACTACCTATGCTATCTATTCTAAGTTGGCAAGATCCAAGCACATCCTGGACAATTCCACAGAGAACTGAGAGGCACAGAGACACACTGTATAACTTCCACATCGCGACGATTTTGGAATTAGACTGATCCCGTTCCCTCTTTTATAGGCAAAAAATCGCTGATGTTGCACAAACGCTAATCGCATTTTTGTACTGCTGCGAGTGTAAAATGATCTTCGACGAGTGCAGCGCAGAGGAATATATACATACAAATATGCCTTATCAGACGATTCTTCAAAGTTGTCAGTTTCACTGAGAGATCAAGATTGCGACGTGAAATGTAAATATTTCTGAGCTTCTTCAGCTTCAACTTAAACTACTTTAACTAAACTCATCAACTTTAACTAAACAACAAAATTGTAATGATTTGTTTTGGCATTTCTCATTAGTTTTTTAAATAAAGAATTTATCAATTAGAATTATTAAAATAAGAAAAATCAGACCAATTTTTTCGCGTGTGTCTGCAATATCAGTTTTCTAAGCTAATCGTGGGACTCACCCTTTTTCCGATTTGTAGCAGATTAATTCTCGAGACAGATAAGAGTGTCAGGAGTTTAATGTTGATATTGACTTTCACACATCACGGCATAAATGTACATATGTATTTCCAATTTACTGAACAAAAAATATAAACAATAAACAAGAATTCTTGAATTTTGTTTTAAGTAAACGAACAAAAATGTATTTATTTGGATTTCGTCTGCAAAAGTATATAGAATACCCAAGGACTATCTAGAAATAATAAAACAAAGGTTTATTTTTTTTGCTGCTTTTCTTTATTTTTCTTTTAATTTTTTTTAGTCAGAAGTTTGCAACGCAGTGAAGGAGACACCTCAGACCCCATATATTCTTGATCAACATCAACATCTGAATCAAAATGCATCTGTAAGTCTGTCCGTTTATACGCAAAGTAGTCATTCAGTTTTAAAGCTATGTAAGTCGAACTTGATTTCTTTCAGATGGTGTTTTCTAACTACTACTGAATTTCAGATTAAATTTTATCAATATCGGAGTACTCTATCATAAAGCTGCCATAGGAAAGATCTACAGTGGCTCGAAGCTTATTTAGTGCAAGAACAAAATAAAATTTCAAATCGGCATTGCTGCCAAACTAGAAAGGATATCAAAAAAATTTAAATGCAGTAATTCAAATAAAATCTTTATTAACTAATATGACAGAGAAAAATTTACTAATCTACAAAAACAAAACAACTTTTCATATAAAACTAAAAAAACGAGGCAATTCAACATTTTTCTAGTTGTTTTAACAGGTATTTTACCCCACTTCTGTAGTAACGAAATCTTCAGGTCATTTTCGTTGGAAAACCCACTTTTTCGAATCTCCAAGTTCAAAATTTTTAACAAATGTTCAATAAAATTGAAGTCTAGAGACTGTGTTGGTGTGTTAATCCCATTAGGGCAGTTCTAGATCAAGAAAGGGCGACAAAAAAGGGCGGGCTGCACAAAATCAAATATTTAACGAACTCGAGGAGCGCTGTTTTGTCCGGAAAATTAAGGAAAACCTAAGCTGTCAGCTTCAGAAATAGCTGCGCAGATTAAGATCGAAATGGTCAAAAAAATTTACACAAATACAGTTCGGAACATATTGAAACACCATAACTTTAATTATCAAGTTGCAAGAAAAAATATATTTATAAGTATAAAAATAAGATGCCTTGCGTCAAGTTCGCCATGGTGTTAGAAATTCATCAATTTTTAATTATTTCGGGTCGGTTGGAAGACGCTAAGTGAGGAGATGTTCCAATACGAAGATGGAAACTAAAAAGTTGAAAGCAATGGGCTTATATGGCTGCATCTGGCGTCGGGAACTGAGCTTTTATTGTACGTATCATGGATGCTAAGATATATATAGGCTCCGGAACTACTGGTCCGATTTAAAAAATTCTTTCACCGATAGAAAGCTACATTATCGTGGAGTAAAATGAGCTATAATTTATTTTGAAAAAATTAGGGATCCGTAAGAAAATTGCAATATTGTCGCAAATAAAGTGAGTTGCTACGTCATCACACTGACAAACACGCTACCATAGCATTTTAACTCAATTTTTGTGGTTTTCATTTATCATTTCCAAGTGAATTAAATTTTTTCACATATTATGCAAACCTTAGTGTTCTCTGCTCAGTTAATTTCAAACGGGTATTGTGTTCACTGCGAAATTGTGAAAAAAAAAGAATTTTTATTCAATTTAAGTTGAACTGTGAAAATTATGTGGATCGTGCATTTGAGGATAAATTCACCACTCTGTTCATAGTCCAAAATGCTTAGAGGACGCAGACATCCAAGCCAGCAACAAGTATATTCACAAAACTTAAACGAAGAAAGACAAATGAGCACATGGAGATCATTGGCATCATTCAATCGCTTGGCATTCCAATATGATCCCACTACAAACTACAGTGATAATGAAAATTTAGATATTGGACCAATGGCAACTATATACCGATATTGCAGTGCGTTAAAGTTTAAAAGAGAAACGGCTGGATTGTGCTGCGCAAGTGGAAAAGTCAAACTGGAAAAGTGTTAAATCACCATCTTTCTATATTTCCATATATTTGAAAAATGTTGCAACATTGAATATTATGTTGTTAAATTGTGTTGACCAGCGAAGCGGACACAGGACCTCTAGTGTTGAAATAAAGCGAAAACATGTTGTTTTGTACATTATCTAATAAAACTGTAAAAAATTAAGAATTTTTTTATTTTTTTAGACTATTGTGATCCATTTAAAGCACATTCAGAAAGTCCGAAATCCATGGTACGGCTTTTTCAGAACTAAAAAAAAGCCCCGCCGGGGCCCCTTTTTTTCGGGGGCCCTGGGGCACCGCCCCACCTGCCCCATGCTAGCTACGGCCCTGCCCGCAAGCCGTGGCAGCGAAAGGAGGACGAGGACCTCCATGACGGACAATCGGCGAGGAGTTCCAACACATGCATACACACACCTACACACACATACACACCCCTCGAAATCTGATCGAAATCAACCACACAAGGTTGCCAATTTGATGGTTTATTGATTGTCACATACATATGTATGTATGGTTGCTTTTATTCTTTCAAACAGCAAATTAATTCTTGCAACCTGCACTTTTCTGTGGAACAGTTTAGTGTTTCACTCACAAACTATTCGAATCCGTGGTGCTTGCAACGAATTCGCGGCCCTGCGGCTCTGCACCCCGAGCACCGCCCAGTTTGTTCTTCTCCTTGGCGTACGGACCGGGAAAGTTGTCCAGCTTGGTGGCCACGTCCTCCACGCGACAGCAATGCACTAAACCGTAGATGGCGAACTCGTGGAGGCTGGCGAAGAGGCTGTCCTGTTGCAGCCAGGACACCTGGTCGCACATCGAGGAGCACAAGTCGCTCTGGCTGCCGCTGCGCACCTGCAGGATCGCACCGAGCGATCGAGTGAGAAAGGGAGAAAGACATAGAGGGAGGGAGATGAGAGTAGATACCAAACTAGGTGAACAGCCTTCTGCTCGATTCAGTTATGTTACATATGTATATATGTACATGTAGTTACATTACATATATACATATATACATGTAGTTACATTACATATATACATATATACATGTAGTTACATGTATACTTGTATACTTGTATGTATACGTACGAAGGGCGAATTGTGTCCGACGATGACGAACTCGTCCTGAACACCGCCAGTTGGCTCGAGGGCGTGGACATGGGCCCAGATGTGGGCGGGCACCCGCACCGTATCCCCGCCTACGCTTCCGGCCAATGGGATCAGCATCGGTCGAGTGGCGTTGCAGGGTCCTCTGCCGATGGAAGGCGGCAGCTGGAGCTCCCCGGAAGCGCCCAGCCGGACGTCGAAGTGGAGGCCGCGCCTGGCGGCCAGACGCATCGCCGCGATCCAGTGGCGCCAGTTGCCGGAGCGCAGGGAGCGCAGCCAGGTGGTGGTCATCATGTCCTCGTAGCCGGTCACCATCGCTTCCATTCCGTTGTCCTGGACGAGACTGGCCGACTCGAACAAGCCCGCCAGCTGATCGACGTTCGCCACGTAGGCATCGATATCCGTCTGACTGCTCGAAGCGACCAAAGTTAAGTGGGGCTTAGTCAGGTTAGTTTACAATTCTATGCGTCTACCCACCGAACGGGCTTGAAGGTACTCTTGCGGTAGTTGACTGTGGTATCCAATTCGACATCATTCAGCTGACCCACTTCCGCCTGCAAGCAGGTGAATCGAGTATTAAATATTGGGAGGGGTATTCGTGCTACCTACCCCCAGAACTAGGTTACTTGCGGAGGATGTCGTGTAAGCTATATACTTTAATCGAGAGGCAACAATGTCATAGCATAAAGCCGCAATGTTCTTTGACCCCAACTCTTTGAGGTCGTGACCCAGAACGAGGGTCATGTCGCCCTCGCAGTTGGGCAAACTGGAGTTGCTCTCAAACAGTTGATAAATTCCTTCATGACACCCAACACTTAATTCCCGTAGATTGTAGTTATTGACTGGTTCTTCAAGATACGCATAGTTATCGTCTGGATCTCGAAAATTCTCATCATAGTTATTGACTGGATCGTGAAAATACCCTTCACTACCGCATTGCAGTGTTAACATTTCACCTTTTCCTGTTTTTGTGGTTCTACCGTAGCCTGTACTGAAACAAAATAAGTGATTAATATTTCAACATATTGCAGTTTCTATTTCACAAGGCTTAAGGATGATTTAGCTTAAGTCTAATTTTTGTTCTACATAGTTGTAGTATATGTATAGTATATGAACGTATATATATATATAGGTATATATAAAATAAACGAATATTTGAACTAGAAACATACTTAGCTGTGTAAGTAACTCCACCTCCGCATAACAACTGAATAGACACTCCGTCATCTCTTGTTATCACTCCCGAAGATTGTGACAGCATTGTTTTGGTGCCAAATCGGTTAACAATCAACGGCGGACTACTGCTATCTATTGTAAGTTGACACGATCCAAGCACATCCTGGACAATTCCACAGAGAACTGAGAGGCACAGAGACACACTGTATAACTTCCACATCGCGACGATTTTGGAATTAGACTGATTCCGTTCCCTCTTTTATAGGCAAAAAATCGCTGATGTTGCACAAACGCTAATCGCATTTTTGTACTATTGGAAGTGTAAAACGATCTTCGACGAGTCCAGCGCAGAGGAACAAATACAAATATGCCTTATCAGACGATTCTTTAAAGTCAGGGGCGGACGCAGGGGGGTGTCCGGGGGTCCCCCCAAAATCGAAGACTTTTTCAAAATCCCTTACAGCACACGGTCTTTTAACCATATAAAATAAAAAATGTTTTGATCGGACCCCCCCCTCCCAAACAAAAAAATTTTTCGATCGGACACTCCCCCCCCCAAATTTTTTTCTGCGTCCGCTCCTGTTCAAAGTTGTCGGTTTCACTGAGAGATCAAGATTGCGACGTGAAATGTAAATATTTCTGAGCTTCTTCAGCTTCAACTTAAACTACTTTAACTAAACTCATCAACTTTAACTAAACAACAAAATTGTAATGATTTGTTTTGGCATTTCTCATTAGTTTTTTAAATAAAGAATTTATCAATTAGAATTATTAAAATAAGAAAAATCAGACCAATTTTTTCGCGTGTGTCTGCAATATCAGTTTTCTAAGCTAATCGTGGGACTCACCCTTTTTCCGATTTGTAGCAGATTAATTCTCGAGACAGATAAGAGTGTCAGGAGTTTAATGTTGATATTGACTTTCACACATCACGGCATAAATGCAAGTATGTATTTCCAATTTACTGAACAAAATATATAAACAGTAAACAAGAATTCTTGAATTTTGTTTTAAGTAAACGAACAAAAATGTATTTATTTGGATTTCGTCTGCAAAAGTATATAGAATACCCAAGGACTATCTAGAAATAATAAAACAAAGGTTTATTTTTTTTGCTGCTTTTCTTTATTTTTCTTTTAATTTTTTTTTAGTCAGAAGTTTGCAACGCAGTGAAGGAGACACCTCAGACCCCATATATTCTTGATCAACATCAACATCTGAATCAAAATGCATCTGTAAGTCTGTCCGTTTATACGCAAAGTAGTCATTCAGTTTTAAAGCTATGTAAGTCGAACTTGATTTCTTTCAGATGGTGTTTTCTAACTACTACTGAATTTCAGATTAAATTTTATCAATATCGGAGTACTCTATCATAAAGCTGCCATAGGAAAGATCTACAGTGGCTCGAAGCTTATTTAGTGCAAGAACAAAATAAAATTTCAAATCGGCATTGCTGCCAAACTAGAAAGGATATCAAAAAAATTTAAATGCAGTAATTCAAATAAAATCTTTATTAACTAATATGACAGAGAAAAATTTACTAATCTACAAAAACAAAACAACTTTTCATATAAAACTAAAAAAACGAGGCAATTCAACATTTTTCTAGTTGTTTTAACAGGTATTTTACCCCACTTCTGTAGTAACGAAATCTTCAGGTCATTTTCGTTGGAAAACCCACTTTTTGAATCTCCAAGTCCAAAATTTTTAACAAATGTTCAATAAAATTGAAGTCTAGAGACTGTGTCGAAATATGGAAAATTAATAGAAAAATCGTTATATCTTCGATGTTGTTTAGCCTTTATGTGGGTAAGTTTATATTATACAAAGAATGCTGCTTATAACTAAATTTGTTTTCATGCCGAAAGCTCAAGCCTGAACTTCTTAGTGTTTATTTCGATCCTAGGGATGAATTGCATTTGGCATGGGGAATGGGGATCGTCGGGGGACTCTATTTATAATGACATTGTTTTTCAAATTGATATTCAGTATGTTGAAAAATATGTACGTACATATGTAAATAAGTACAAGTTCAAGAGTCATTTCGATATTCATACATCACTTACAATATTGTGTATGTATTAGTGGAAAGGGATCTCGAGAGGCAACGGAGCCTTCTGGTCGTCCCTCTCACACTTTCCATTTAATTTGTGCACGCGCTAAAATAGCGTCACTTCAGTTTTGTCAGCGATTTAGTGCGGTTTATAAAATATCAATCAAAGTGGGATTCGCAATAAACGTGGCTCGGGAACGGTGGAAGCCAAAGTTCATTTGATCTGCAAGCCGTGGCAGCGAAAGGATGTCAAGTTCCTCCATGACGGACAATCGGCAAGGAGTTCCAACACACACATACACACCCCTTGAAATCTGATCAACAACAGAAGATTGCCAATTGGCAATTGATTGTCTCATATGATTGTATGGTTGCTTTTATTAATTCAAACAGCAAATTAGCTTTCAATGCTTCTTGCAACCTGCATTTTCCTGGGAAAAAGTTTAGTGTTCAACTAACAATCCAATCAAAAGAGTGATCCGTAGTGCTTGCAACGGATTCGCGGCCCTGCGGCTCTGCACCCCGAGCATCGGCAAGGTTCTTCTTCCCCTTGGCGTACGGACCGGGAAAGTGGTCCAGCTTGGCGGCCACGTCCTCCACGCGACAGCAATGCACTAATCCCAAGGTGGGGAACTCGCGGAGGCTGCCAAAAGGAGTGTCCTGTTGCAGCCAGGACACCTGGTCGCACATCGAGATGCACAAGTCGCTCTGGCTGCCGTTGCGCACCTGCAGGATCGCAGAGGAAAATGAGATTAGATACCAAACTCGGTGTTCGATTCGGTTCTCCCACACAGCTAATATATGTATATACGTACGAAGGGCGAATTGTATCCGATGATGACGAACTCGTCCTGGACACCGCCAGTTGGCTCGAGGGCGTGGACATGGGCCCAGATGTGGGCGGGCACCCGCACCGCGTCCCCGCCTACGCTGCCGACCAATGGGATCAACATTGGTCCTCTCCCGATGAAAGGCGGCAGCTGGAGCTCCCCGGAAGCGCCCAGCCGGACGTCGAAGTGGAGGCCGCGCCTGGCGGCCAGACGCATCGCCGCGATCCAGTGGCGCCAGTTGCCGGAGCGCAGGGAGCGCAGCCAGGTGGTGGTCATCATGTCCTCGTAGCCGGTCACCATCGGCTTCATCACGTTGTCCTGGACGAGACTGGCCGACTGAAACAAGCCCGCCAGCTGATCGACGTTCGCCACGTAGGCATCGATATCCGTCTGACTGCTCGAAGCGACCAAAGTTAAGTGGGGTTTAATCAGGTTAGTTTACAATTCTATGCGTCTACCCACCGAACGGGCTTGAAGGTAGTCTTGCGGTAGTTGACTGTGGTATCCAATTCGACATCATTCAGCTGACCCACTTCCGCCTGCAAGCAGGTGAATCGAGTATTAAATATTGGGAGGGGTATTCGTGCTACCTACCCCCAGAACTAGGTTACTTGCGGAGGATGTCGTGTAAGCTATATACTTTAATCGAGAGGCAACAATGTCATAGCATAAAGCCGCAATGTTCTTTGACCCCAACTCTTTGAGGTCGTGACCCAGAACGAGGGTCATGTCGCCCTCGCAGTTGGGCAAACTGGAGTTGCTCTCAAACAATTGATACGTTCCTTCATGACACACAACATTTAAGTCCTGTAGATTATAGGTTTCGACTGGATCTTTAAAATACCCATCACGACCGCAGTGGAATGTTAAAATTTCACCGTTTCCTGTTTTTGTGGTTCTGTCGTAGTTTTTACTGAAACAAAATAAGTGATTAATATTTCAACATATTGTAGTTTCTATTTTACAAGGCTAAAAGATGATTTACTTTCAACATGGCAGGATGACCACAAGCATTTAGTCTAAGGCAAATTTATGTTCTATATCAGTATTTCCCAAAGTGTGGGTCGCGACCCACTGGTGGGTCGCGGGTAGATTTTTGGTGGGTACGAATTGTAATATAGATCTTGCAATTTTTTGTGTAGATGGGTCGCGGTCCCGAAAAGTTTGGGAAACACTGTTCTATATAATTATAGTATATGTATATTATATGAAACGTATACATATATGTATGTATGTATATTGAACTAGGAACATACTGATCTATGTAATCAACTCCACCTCCGCATAACAACTCAATAGACTCTCTGTACTCTCTTGTTATCACTCCCGAAGATTGTGACAGCATTGTTTTGGTGCCAAATCGGTTAACAATCAACGGCGGACTACTGCTATCTATTGTAAGTTCGCAAGATCCAAGCACATCCTGGACAATTCCACAGAGAACTGAGAGGCACAGAGACACACTGTATAACTTCCACATCGCGACGATTTTGGAATTAGACTGATTCCGTTCCCTCTTTTATAGGCAAAAAATCGCTGATGTTGCACAAACGCTAATCGCATTTTTGTACTGCTGCAAGTGTAAAACAAGAAAGGAAGCTAGCTTCGGCAAGCCGAAGCTTATATACCCTTGCAGTCATCAAATATGTCAAACAAAACAACATCGAAGCTTAGACGATTTTTCTATTCATTTTCCATATTTTTAACTTGCCGCACAATAACTTTATATTCCAAAAATCATGCTTATCTAATAAAAAACAACGATGTTATCATTATATTTACGTTATTTCTATATAGATTTTTCGATCTTTCCTATGGTAGCTATAAGATATAGCTGTCCGACTTTTATGAAACTTTTTCTCAATATTAGGGTCGTTAAAAAACTTGATATTTAAAAAATCATGCTCGTGGGATAAAAAAAAAAGATGTTATCAATTTATTTCCATTAATTCTATATATATTTTTCGATCTCTTCTATGGCAGCTATATGATAGAGTTGTCCGATTTTGATAAAATTTAATCCGAAATTCAATAGTAGTTAGAAAATGCCATATGGAAGAAATCAAGTCGATCTGATAAAAAACAACGGCGTAAGATTTTTTTATTTCATTCTCTTGTATTGGAGCTATCCGATATAGTCGGCCGATCCGGCCCGACCCGACTTATATACTGCGTGCAATAGCTACACAACTTTTGGGAAAGTTTCAGCAAGATAGCTTTAAAACTGAGAGACTAGTTTACATAGAAACAGACAGACGGACAGACGGACAGACGGACCGACGGACCGACGGACAGACGGACAGACGGACAGACGTACATACATATTTCGACTCAGATGGTGATGCTGATCAAGAATATATATACTTTATGGGGTCTAAAGTGTCTCTTTCACTGCGTTGCAAACTTCTGACTGAAATTATAATACCCTTTTGCTCTGCAAGGGTATAATGATCTTCGACGAGTGCAGCGCAGAGGAATATATACATACATACAAATATGCCTTATCAGACGATTCTTCAAAGTTGTCAGTTTCACTGAGAGATCAAGATTGCGACGTGAAATGTAAATATTTCTGAGCTTCTTCAGCTTCAACTTAAACTACTTTAACTAAACTCATCAACTTTAACTAAACAACAAAATTGTAATGATTTGTTTTGGCATTTCTCATTAGTTCTTTGAATAAAGTATTATTAAAATAAGAAAAATCAGACCAATTTTTTCGCGTGTTCTCTGCTGAAGCTGCAATATCAGTTTTCTAAGCTAATCGTGGGACTCCCCCTTTTTCCGATTTTTAGCAGATTAATTCTCGAGACAGATAAGAGTGTCAGGAGTTTAATGTTGATATTGACTTTCACACATCACGGCATAAATGTACATATGTATTTCCAATTTACTGAACAAAAAATATAAACAATAAACAAGAATTCTTGAATTTTGTTATAAGTAAACGAACAAAAATGTATTAATTTGGATTTCGTCTACCCAATATATAGAATACCCAAGGACTATCTAGAAAGAATAAAACAAAGGCAGCTTTAGTTTATTTTTTTATGAACTTTTGTTTATTTTTTTGCTGGTTTTCTTTATTTTTCTTTTAATTTTTTGCTTTTATTTGTTTTTTGTTCCTTCTTTTAGTTTTTCGCTTTTGTCGGCCATTTCATTAATACTAAGTGTACGCATTAAAGGTAAAATATGTTTTATGTTTTACTTGTTACTTGGTTTCCGTCGATTTTTGTTTTTACGATCTCCCTCATTTATTATAGGCTTACTAAGAAGTGTTGTATATATTATATGTATGTAGTGAATGCTAACGGGGCCAAAATGGAGTCATGTAAATGTAATGGTTTCTATATCAACACGTTCTGCCGGCCCAAATTGATTCCCCTTGGTTTTCGCTTTATAATTATAATAATTATAATAGTTATTATTATTAGTTCCTGCATTACGTTGCACACGTAACGTTGCTTTAAAGTGTTTGTGTTTAGCGGTAGGCGCTTAAGGCTAAGATCGTTTGCTTTTACGTTTCAGAAAAGTGATTCTCCAGTGAGTTTTTCGCTATATGTTACATACTCCTCGATCCAGCTATCCTGCTATACTATTTCTTGTCGTCGTCTAGGTAATGCCCTCGTTAAGTAACAACAAAAGGTCAACAATTAATTGCTAATATGCCAAATGCATCTGCTAGAATTTGGGCGATTTGATCAGCTTGGACAAAAATCAAATACGTCTCCGTCTCCCATCGGGTGATGTGTTAAAATATATATATTTATATATATGTATAGATAGGTGTGTTATATTCATATATGCAAATAAGTTCATATCAGGGATGTAAATCTATAAGGAGGTGTTAATATAGATATATGTATATGTATATCATTTTTTTCGCTGAATTAAAAACTTATTTTTCTTTGAATCGTTTGGTTTTTTCTCAATTTTTATTTTCATACATTTCTTTTATCTTCTCGAGTGATCTCAATTAAATGCTAAAATTAAGTATAGAAAAAAAATGTTCCTTTCTTTTGTATATATGTTTCTGATGCATCTTTTTTCGTATTCTTTATATATATAGATTTCGTTAATATAGAATGGGGGATATTTTGTGATAATTTCTTCTGCTTTTCTCCCGCTGTCGAAAATAACTAATTTACACGAAACGAAATGACATTTCCTGCGAGTGTACATAACAACAAAGATCCTGGGGAAATCTGGGAAGTCGGGTTGATCGGGGAAAGATACGGATCGACTGACCGCCTCTATATACAAGGACATACACGTACCCCTATGAACACCCACACACCCACGCCCACACACACACACAAACACAAACACAGTCACGCACAGAACGAACGATCGAACGAATGAACGGAAGTCAGAAGCCCAAACTTAAATAAAATGTACATTATGCACCTGCAGAGTTGGATGAACCACTTCGTTAGCTTTTACATAGATAGTTGCTACCATAAGTCCTATTGCTATTACAGGATCAGAGTCCCTGATGGAGAGATGACCTAGAAGTGCCTAAGGGTCTATATACAGGGACACATTGACGAGGAGGATCGGATGCATGCAGGCGATGAAGATATAGACGAAGAGTATACATGGAAGACGGCAGAGACTCCAAACATGTATAATTAATTTACTGAATTGTCACTGCAATTTTGGGGATAGCATCCTTCCTGGCGCCTACTTGCAAGGGCTTGTGCTCGTTAAAAACAAACAACAAATTACAAGTTAATCGTAGTTTCATCATCATCTTCTTCTTCTTCTTCTTATTTTTGCTCCTGTGTGTTTTTTGTTTTTTTTTCTTTTTGGCGCGTCATATACAAAGAATGGTGTAGCTGCTTATAACTAAATTTGTTTTCATGTCGAAAGCCCAAGCCTGAACTTCTTAGTGTTTCTCTTTTATATTTCTTTTGGGTCTGCGGTTCTGGTTCTGCGTATCGTAACGGTTTTTTTCAAGCTTGCACATTCATGTCTGGCCGCGTGCAGACGCGTGAGTGCTTCTTTTGTCAGCGTTTAAATTACAGGTGGAGTGCTGGCTGCTCTACGGCCGCATTCAGGTAAAAAAAAAAAAGCAAAGGAATAAAATCGTCAAAGAATAAGATTCCATCAAGTTCTGTTCACAGCGGTCCGAGGGATGGACTGAATGGGTCATGGGGCACGGAGCACGGGGAGTGGGGATCGTCGGGTGGACTCTATTTATAATGACATTGTTTTTCAAATTAATATAATTGAATTTCGCCATCCCCTTACGTCTTGAATGATGTCTTGAATTGATTTCGTTTTGTTTCGACTTGTTTTGTTTGTTCTTTTTTTTTTTTTTTTTTTTTTTTTGTTGGGTTTTTCTTGTTTGTTTTGTGTGTTTGTTTTAAATTAGTTAACAACTCTAAGCATAGGTGTATGAATACAATTAGGAAAAAAAAATAAGCATTATCAATTAGGTTTAGGACTACAAACTAAACTTGCCTACGCAATCAATAATATTAAACATAATAAGCTTCGGAACCATGTGCGGACTTCCTTGTCGCCACGATCCCACGATCGCCATCGAATTTGTTGTAATGCACAATCATCGAAGGTGACATGTGATTTGAAAAGAGTTGTGAAGAATCAATTGCTAACCGAAGGAAATTTGCCATTCTCTGTTTGTGTGTGTTTTTTGACGCTGCTGCTGTTGCTGCTGCTGCTGCTGGATTTTCTTTTTTTTTTTTTTTGCTGGTAGCGGCTTTCACTTGATTTCTCCCAGCTTTCCTCCTCCTCACTCCTTTCGTATATGCATTATATATATCCTCACTAAATGTACGTATGTGATTTACGCCTTAGAACATTGCTTATTGGTTTTAGCCTATGCCGTTTGTTTCCTTAACTTGTTGGCTGGGTCGCGTTTGCTTGCCAGCATGTTTGTTGGTTTATTTGATTGTTGGGTGAAGTGTGTGGTTGTTTTTTGTTTTTTGTTTGCTCTAACAGTTCTGGGCCGAACTGTCGTCGTTGTTTGTTGCTGCTGTCTTAGCCGTGCTGCTCTGCTCGCGCTCTTGCAAGCCGTCGTCCCAGTTGGCTCCTTCCAGCCGGTGTCCCAGGTGCTGGCGCCTCGTCCGCCTGGAGCACCTGGATGAGGTGCTACTGGTGGTGCCACTGGAGGTGCCACTGGTGGTGCTACTGGTGGTGCTACTGGTGGTGTGGGTGGTGTTGCTGCGGTCGCCGTTGCGGTTGCGGTTGCGGCTGCGGGTGGTGTTCGTATTGGTATTGGTAATGGTATTGGTATTGGTTGAGGCGAAGCCACTGCCCCGGTGGTTGGTCGACTTTCTCCGGGCCTTGGCCTACAGCGTCTCCTCGAAGGCAGCCATGAGATCGCTCTGCATGTTCATATCGATTTGGCCGGCCAACTGCAACAGCGAAAGCATTTGTGATTAGCGGTTATCTTCTGGCCATTCCACTACTGTAGGTATGATAACTTACCGCTTCGCGCCTGCGCCGCTCCTGCTCGGCCCGCCGCTGCTCGGCTCGCTTGGCGGCGGCCCGGTCCTGCGGCGATTGCTGCGCCGGCGAACTCTGGCCTTGGCCGCCCGGCGACGCCTTGATGTCGTCCACCCGCGAGATCTGCGGCTGGGCATCGTGCACGCTTTTCCTGCAACATTTCGAGGAGGATCTGGTTAGTGGGTTAAGCTCAAAAACGAGGGGCTCACATTCAGCTAGTTCTTTAGGTTTAAACCTCTTTGAAAACATTTTAAATACAGGTGGCAGTATCTTTTATATGCTTGATTTTGTATCTAATCTTTTTAAAGGTAATCGTGAACTAAGTTAAAGTTCGTTAAGTCTTCAAAAGGTATTCCCTTTTCAGACCAACAAGTCTAATCATTGTAATATTTTTACTATTTGCTTTACGAGATAGCAACCAATTGAGTTTATGGATAGTCTCATTTGGATACAGAAGAGGGATTAGTCTGTGCATAGCTCACCTGCCGCTCTCCATGGCACCGAGGGGCGAGGCGGCCAGGATGGCCTGGGCGGCGACAGCGGCCGCCACGTGCTGCGCCTGTGCGTGGGCAGCCACCTGCGTCAGCACCGCCACCTGCTGTCCGTAATCGAGGGCGCCGCTACCCATGCCGCCGCCACCGGCACCGCCGCTGGCCGGTCCCCCACCTCCGCCACCGCCACCGCCACCACCGCCGCCGCCGCCGCTGCTGCCCTGGCTATTCGATCCGGGTCCGCCGCTGCCAACGATGCCGCCGACACTGCTGTTGCTGTTGCTGCTCGCGGCGCCGCCACTGCCAACGCCGCTGTTGCTGTTGCTGCCGGCATTGAGCAGCGGTGCCCCGCCTCCTCCGCCGCCGCCGCCTCCGCCGCTGTTGCTGTTGGCATTGCCGCCGCCGCCACTGTTCGGTCCGCCGGTGCTGGCGGTGCTGCCTCCTCCTCCTCCTCCTCCGCCGCCACTGCCTCCGCTTCCCGCGCTGCCGGGTCCATTGCTGTTGGCCGAATTGCTGCTGTTGTTCCCATTGCCGCCCGACTGACCGCCGCCGCCGCCGCCACCTCCTCCTCCGCTGCCGGAGCGCTCACGTTCCCGGTCGCGATCCCTTTCACGCTCACGGTCGCCGCCGATCGCCTGGTTGCCCGAAGCTGGACCACCGCCACCGCCTCCGCCCGAGGCACTGCTGCTGCTGCCGCCGGAGGCATTGGATCCGCCGGAGGCATTCGAGCCGCCGGAGCCGCCCACCGACGCTGCCGCAGCAGCTGCCCCGGCTGCCGCCGCCGCCGCCGCTGCTTGGACGGCCACAACGGCTGCGGCCGCCGCTGCCGCTGCCGAGGCGGCGGAGGAGGACTTGTGGTGCTTGCGCTGCTGCTGCTCCTTCTCGGCGGCCTCCTTCTGGTTCTTCTTCTCCTTCTCGGCCGCCTCGAGCAGCTTGAGGCGGTCGCGTTCTTTGGCTTTGTTGCGGAACTGCTGGAACGAATCCATCGCCGGCTTGGCCTTGCTGCTGCTCGAGCTGCTCGACGTGTGCGACTGCGGCGAGTTGGCCGATGCCAGCGACGACCACGAGCTGGCGTTCTTCAGGTTCTGCTCGTTGGACGCCTTGAAGGCCTGCGCCAGCTTGCCCTGCGCCGCCGCCGCAGCAGCAGCCGCCGCCGCCTGATTGAGATGGAGCTTCATGTCGGAGGGCGACTGCTGCGGCGGCAACACCTTCTGGTGCTGTTGCTGTTGCTGCTGCTGCTGCTGCTGCAGCTGCTGCTTGTCCGGCGGACTGGGCATCATCGACTCGATGGGCTTGGGTATGATCAGCAGCTTGTTGGCCACCTGCTGCTGCTGGTGCAGCTGCTGTTGGTGCTGCTGCTGTTGCTGCTGCTGGAGGTGTTGCTGTTGCAGCTGCTGCGTCAGTTGCTGCTGTTGCTGGTGGTGTTGCTGCTGCTGCTGGTGCGACTGCTGCTGCTGTTGCTGGTGCGACTGCTGCTGCTGCTGCTGGTGTTGCTGCTGCAGCTGCATCTGCTGCTGCATCTGTTGCTGTTGCTGCTGGAGCGTGTGCTCGAGGTCGAGCAGCGAGACCTGTCCCATGTTGAGGCTATCGAATCCGGCCATACCGAAGTCGGCCACATTGAACCCGTTGTTGTGCGCCTGCTGCTGCTGTTGCTGTTGCTGCTGCTGTTGTTGTTGCTGCTGCTGCTGGGGATGCTTCTGCTGGTAGGCGGCTGCCATGTCCAGGCTGAAGTTGAGCAGGTGGTTGCCATTCATGCCGCTCACGCTCTCCGCTCCCTTGGTCAGCAGCTCCGTGACGTAGTCCATGTGCTGCTGCTGCTGGTGGCCGAACGGTTGCTGCTGCTGCTGCGCCTGCTGCTGCTGCTGTCCTCCTCCGCCGCCGGGTTGCATCAGGTGTTGCTGCATCAAAAAGTTGTCCGTCAGCGAGGATTTGCCCGTGGAGCCGGCGCTGAACTCCAGCGAGGCCAGCGACTGCTCCACGGGGTCGTCGAACTGTGGTATCTGCTTGAGGCCCGATCCCAGCGAGGCGTTGGCCATCGCGTCTCCGTGCGAGCCACCGCCCATGGGGTTTGTGTTGTTATTGTTATTGTTGTTGTTGTTATTGTTGTTGGTGGTGCTGGTGGTGGTGGTGCCGCCATTGCCAGTGCTATTCACATTCACGCCGGACGTCAGGGCAGCCGCCAGTGCCGCATGGTGCTCGCCGAGATCACCGCCACCCCCCAAGCCGGAGGCCGCCTTGTGCAGATTGCTGGCGATGCGAATGCCCCCGCTGGTCGACTGACTGCTGCTCACGCCCGTTCCAGTTCCTCCTACTCCTCCTACTCCTGATCCTGCTCCAACTCCTCCGGGGAAACTGTGCGGCGGCAGGGCGGCGGTGATGGAGCCACCCGGCGGCCCTTTGCTCAGATCATTTGGTCCGTTCTTGTTGTGCTGCTGCTGCTGCTGCTGCCCCGCCGCCGCGTTAACTGCAGCAACACCGGCGTGCAACATGTGGCCGGCGGCCAAGTTGGGAGCACCGCCACCAGCGAAGTTGCTGCCCGGCAGCGATGTCTTGTTGTTGTTGTTCAGCATGGCAGCTGCCGTCAGCGGATTGGTGTTGCCCAGCATGTTGGCTACAAGAGGATCGGATTCGAAATCGGAATCGGGAAATGGGAATCGGGATTGGGATCGGGATCGAAAGGTACAAAAGTTAGTCACGTAACGAAAACCTTGGACGACGCATGGCCCACAGAACTCTCTGGTTTTGCAACTGGGAGAGATTTGGGTGAGCTCATGGGGGGCGTTTACTTACACATTTGTGATGTGGGCGTGTTGGAGTTCACCACATGGTCCAGGCCCATCAGCATGGTCGTCGGCGTGAGGGCGCCGCTCGGCAGGTTGCCGCCCATGACCACATTTATACTTGGATTATTTACCTGGTTGTTGGTTTGTTTTTTTGGGGGCAACGGCAACACACGGAATAGAGAAAGGGAAAAGGCGAGGATGAGCAAGTGTAACATTAACTGTTGTTATCACAACATTCGACAATAAATATGTATGTATGTGTAAACATTTGGTGGGTGTCATTTTTCTGGCAATGGGATAGCCAATACATTATCTTCTAATTTGTTCAATATCTTTCTTTAGATTGATTGCAATCAAAGGAACTCTGGATAGATATGTCGCACTTTCCCATTGCCAAGATCTCCCTACGAGGTGTCACTGTCTGTTTTTTATCCCATCCCCAATATATTTTGTGGTCCACTGTCACTGCAGTTCGGTACTTACATTGCTTCCATTCGAGTCCCGTGATTTTTTCTTGCGCGGCGGTCGCTCGTCACCATCGCCTATTGAGTGGGGAAATAATTCAGAAAGAAATCAAATGAGCGGAGCTGCCAAGGATAAGGTTTGTAGGCTAGAAACAATAGCTAGTGGGGATCAGTTAAGAAAGCAACAGGCTGGGAAAACCATCAGGTTGGATCTCTATTCAGGTTTAGCTTGCTTATCTTTTGGATATTGAATGAATTGAATTCAGATTGTTTTCTTTTCAAGATATCAACTTAAATTCAGAAAAAAAACACATCGTAGAGTTCCAGCCCGACGGGCACAAGCAAAAGAGAGAGAGATTTGGGGGGCGACTTAGATCGTATTCGTATATCGTAAAAACAATATATGAGCAGTGGTTAAAGGTTTACATTTATATTTATATAGTATATAGTATAGGTGTATTAAAAATACCTCTTACAATGCCGATCGATGAAACAATTGTGTCGTGGTGGGTTTTCGTGGTGGTGGTTTATTGGAGTTTTCGTGGATGAGTAGCCGCTTTTCGGCGCTCTTTCTTCTCTTCTCTTCACTTCTCTTCTCTGTCTATCTGCCCTTCTCCGCCCACTCTCTTTTTCTTTCATTATCTAAACTGTAAGTGAACTGAAAAAGAACGGCCAGAGACCCCCGCGTCCACGCCCCTTTTTTTTTTTTTTTGCTTTTTTTTTTTTTAATTTTTTTGCACCAGCCAAAAATGAATGGGGGTCATTGGATAATTGCAACCAAACCAACCTTCGATGCTCCAATCGATTTGTGTTAACGGTTTTGTTATTTAATCGTTACTTTCGTATTTTTTTGTTTTACTTTTTTGTCAATCGTTAAGTTATTTCTCCACTGTGAATAGAAATGGATTTTTGGGGATTTAGAGGAAACACAGAGTTAGTTTTTTTTTCTTCTTTTTTTAATAAACATTTTCTTTTCTCATTTTTTGTTTGTTGTATTCATTGCGTTTTTTAGTTTAGTTTAGTTGTTTGTTGTTTTGCTGCTGCGGTTGCGCTGCCATTTTGTAATAATAAATATTATTATTGTTTTTACTATAAATATTTAAATGTATGCGGGTGTGTGTTTTCATAATGCTAAATGTGTGTGTGTTGCTTTGTTTGTAATTGTATTTGTGTTCGTGTGTCGGGTTTCGTTACGTAGTTCGCGTCGTCCGCTCTTTATTCTTGTTACTCCCTCTATAACCTCCTATCTTTCCCTAAGATTTTCACTATTTATCCTTGCGTTTATTTTATTTTATATTTTATTTTATCTCTTGTTTGTATCCTTTTTTTTTGTGTGAGACGCCTGCGCAATTTGAAACCAAAAATGCACTATTTTTTATATTTTGTTTTGATTTTAATGTTTTTGCTCACAACGTTCTTTCTGCATTCTTTATCATTACAAGATTTTTTGAGCGTGTTTACATGTGTGTAAAAGTTGGTGCTTTTGCATTTCTCTTCTCTGGTCTTCCTTTTTTAACTACGGGCTATACAAAAACTCAAGAATTAGGCTTACAATAAAACAATTTCAATATTTTTTGGGGTTAGTTGGATGGAAAAGGCGCTTACGGGGTGTGGTGACCTCGATCAAGAAAGTACAAGAGCTTTAATATAACTACATACAAATGCTCGGACCCTAAAACACAGGCAATTGGGTTTGAAACAATAAAAAAAAACTCTAAAATTAACTGTGGTCAAATAATGTATCTTTTTTATGCTTGACTGTTTCGATTTTTAAAGTACTTGTCACTCCTAAAAACTGTTTACTATTTACGCTTCGCTTTTTGACCGTTGAGTTTTACCGATTTGAAATTAAATATTGTTACATTTTGTGTGGTGTTGTTTTGCTTGGTTTCGTTTATCGTTATTATTGTTGGTTTTAATTCATTTCGTTTTCCTCCTGGCGATTTTCGTTTGAATTAATTTAATAGTAAAAATTTATATTTAAATTGATTTTATGCAATTTGTTTTGTTAATTTTTCTTTATTTCCATTGCATTATCATCTCATCTTATATCATCATCATCATATCATTAATCTCCTCTCATCTACGCATTTCTTTTTTTGTATATTTTCGTAATACAATATATATATATATATATTATTATTTTTATTTTTTTTTTTTTTTGAAAAAAACGTGCAAACAATGTGTAAAGGGGAAAGCCGACAGCCGAAAAATAAATAACAAAATGCTTTCAAAATACATTTAATTATTTGTTTTTTTTTTTGTATTTGTTTTTGTTTTATACCTCTTTTGATCATGTATAGCATACATCTATGTAAATATAGCTATGTATATAGAACTAGTTGGAGTTAAGTGGCTATAGAGCAAAAGGCTTTATATACGTATTGCTTGGTTTCATTCCGATTCGATCCGCTTCTCTCATACCGTTATACCGTTACTACTACAGACAGAGACAGACACAGTGGCAAGGACACAGAGAGAAAGACAAAGAGAGAGACAGAGGAGATAGTCAGATGGAAAGTGGGCCGGATTCCGTAACCCCATTTCAACTATTCGAATGTTTTTTTATTCCCGGTAGTTGTTTCTCGATATTTTTAATATTTCATCTGTTAAGTAGTTTTTTAATTATTTATTTATTTGGAAGTTAGCTGGAAGCATTGCTTGTTTTTCGGATGACGGTTCTCCCACATTGATACACATAAAGTTTATGACAACAACAAATAATTATTAACCACGAGTTAATGATATACAGAGAGAGAATAGGCCATTCTCGACTTTGTTTTAATGCGAGTTGGTGGTCGCGAATTGTGCTAATTGCAGTGTTTCAGTTCTAATACTTTACGTTTGGAAACACTTGTTTTTTAAGGTTAAAATCGATTAAACAATTAATAACATTAAAATCAACATTTACATCTGTCGGCGGACTTAACTAGAAGTAAGTTGAAGTATCCCTCTAAGCTTTTTCATTTTTGGAGATCCCCCCTTTTGTTTTTTCTTTCTTTCTCTCTGTGTTTTTCTCTCTTTGTCACACATTTCTTACGTATTCGTTCCTTACGTTTTTTATTTGAATTACAAGTTTGTTTGTGGTTTGGTGTTCTCTTTTCTTTTTATTGTTCAAAGCATTTTAAACTTTCTTTGTTTTTACACATTGTCTGCAAGTGTACCGAGAATTTCATGCGTTTTTTATTGCATACTTTAGACACATATGGTAATTTTGCTTGCATTTTGGTTCATTTAGTTGTGTTACGAATTTCATAGTATTATGGTTATTGTTCATTTCATTATTATTATATTTTACACATAGTGGTGTGTCGTTGTGTGAGTATATTGTGTGTGTGTGTGTGTGTGTATGTGTGTGTGTTGTCCAGCTTTCTAAAAAAAAAATACTTCGCTCGGACTTTTACTTCAAACCTATTGAAGTAAGATAGTTGTTTATGGGCTTTAGGTTTAGTTGATGGTAATAATCAAGAAATAAGACTAGAAATACAATGGAATTGGCACAGAAGTATCCGTTTTTTTGGGATTAGGGTGTTTTTGCACCCTGAAAAACCGGCGAAGAAGATTGACCTGATTTAACCTTGTATGATCTATAGATATCTTCTTGGTTTTAGCAAGTGGATGATTTGGTTTTAATGATAAAATTGGGAGGGTATGATGTGATGATCGATGAAGTTTGCTTCTGAGCTGCCTCTAAAAGATATACTGCTAATGGGTTATACTACTGAGCGTTAAAATGTGTGTACAGTGTGGATGATACGATTTTATTTTGATTTATTCGTTGATCTTTTTCAATCATGCATTGTTGCTCTGCTGTTTTGTAGGTTTGATGAAGAGTATCGACTTGGTTGATTGGTTCGATTAGTTGGTTTTGATTCGGTTGGTTTGGTTGGTTGGTTGATTGATTGATTGATTGATTGATTGATTGATTGATTAATTGATTGATCGGTTGGTTGAAGTTGGAATTCATTACTTTCATTTTCAGATTGGCTGCCCCCAATACACAATTGCTTCACGATTTTTTCAGCATATTCTCATAATAATCATAATAATAATAATAATCATAATATTGGTAATAATAAGGTTTTTGTTTTTTTTTTTTTTTTTTTTCAAAAAGACTTAAAGTAGTAAAGAGTGTGTGGTTTTTCTCTTATTATTCTCATTTTAAATAGTTGTGTATGTGTGTTGTGTAAGATTTGTTTTCTCATTTTTCATTTACAAATACAATTCGTTTAATACCTACAAATGCTTAAATATGATATATGTTTTTGTGTGTGTGGGTGTGTATATATAATTAAGTTTATACTAGACCTAGATGTATATATATATATAGATATATATATATTTATATATATATATATATAAAGTTTTGCCGTTGTGTTCGTGTGTTTGTCTGTGTAACGTGTAGCTGCTTTTTTTTAATAATGAGTAAGGGTCTAATAGTTTTATGTTATGGGCTCTTTCAACCGTCTGATATTGGTATATCCCAACAACCAACTCTGATTCGGATCAATTGAGAATTGAAACCAAACTTCGGTTTATCTGTTTGTCAGCAAATTTGTTTAACAACTCTGCATTCCAATTGTAATCTTCAATTTGTTCACTTTTCATATGGGTTTTTTTTATAATAAAAACATCTGAGTAAACTACTTTTAAATATTGATTCAACTGAGGCATTTAACTCGTTTTCCAATAATTAACTTTGCTAATTTCCATATCCTTATTAGACTAAATGCATATTGCACTTTTTCATGAACTTGGTTCTTGGGCATTTCTTACACAAAAAAAAAAAAAAAACACATTTCACGAAAATAAAATGAGAAAATATATTTAAAAACCAAAAAAAAAAAAAAAAAAAAAATCAAAAAGAAAAAAATCCTTGTTAAACAGTCAGAGTTGGTTTGCTGCTTTTTTTTTTTTGGGACTGCACTCAGACGGTTGGGAAATGCGAGATATTGCGTTCTTTTTGATCTGGACTCGTCCTGTTCATTTCTTTTGTAGTTTAGCACACAAAAACATAAACAAAATGCGCTAAATTCAATAAATTAAAAATGCTCTATTAGAGCGAGACAGGGGAGTGAGTTAATTGTGTTAGTTAGAGGGGTAGCTCGGTCAGTCGGTCTTTGAAAGCAATAATAATACCCTATCATTTCCCCTCTCGCTCGCGCTCGCTCTCGCTCCTTACTCTCTGAATCTGTGTGTCTCCTTCTATTTCATAATTCAGTGTGTGGGTATGTGTGTCTGTGTCTGTGCTGTGTGGGATGGTGAAACTATCTTAAAAAGTGATAATAACGAAAGTTAATCAGATCAAAACACATCGAAAAACCTTTATTTATCTATCCGCATTGGATAGATCTTATTTTTTTTGCATGTACTAATAGGGTAGCTATTGCATTAAAACTAGTTAAACCTATATCCAATTGAATTTATTAAGCCAATCGCTCTATTCAAATCTCCTGATTCTGATGCTGTGCGACTTAAGTATTAGCTCATTTATTACAATTAATTTTTTAATATTTTTTTTTTACAATTTCAACGGGTTCTAATGGTTTGTATTCTCTAGATTCTAGACTGTTCATTACTCCTGCGATTCCTGCGTGTTTTGTTGACTTAAGCCACGCCCACCCCGCCCCTCTGTGCCTTATGTTTTAAGGATCTTTAATGTTAAACGATAAGCGATAGAATTAAAATGATGCGGTCTCGGTTTCTATGTGTGGGTGGTTTGTCTCAATAATCTAAATCTGTATCTGGATCTGAATCTGAATCGGTAACGGTTTCCGTATGTGTGTGTGTGTGTGTTTAGTGAGTTTTGTTGTTGTTTGCTTCTTAAACAACGCATCATATATACATATATATTTATATATATATATATATATTTATATCTGCATATCTCTATGTATGTATACTAATAAAAAAAAAAGGCTTTATAAAATAAAACAAACAAACAAAACGCGTCCTAACCTGCTTCACTGTCACTCGAGTCACTCGAACTGCTATCACTCGAACTCGACGACGATGAATCGCTGGAACTGGAACTCGACGACACGGGATTCGCCGGCTGCACTGCCTCGACCTTGTTCGAAGCGGACTCATCTGTGGGCGGGGGAACAGGAGAACGTTCGGCATTAGCATATCACTAAATAAATTCAGGGGTTAATCAAGGGTTATTCAGTTGCGGTCAGAATAAAATGGCAGTTACATTGTAGTAAGAATTTGAATTCTCTATTTTATAGTAAGCATTGTAATAACAATTTATTATTCGACCACAACTGAAGTACAGTATACATACAGTATATAGTACAGTACAGTAGTACCATATATACATACCTTTCTTGGCGGTTTTCTTGCTTGCCCCCAGCTGACCAGTGACGTCCTGCAGACGCTTTTCCAGCTCCTGCTTTTTCTCGGCCATCTGCTCGTCCTTCGACTTGCCGGAAGGCTTTTTATCTGCGATGCGGAAAGGAAAGAGGAAGCTTCGTTTATATTCAGCTCGATCTCGAAGGCCAGTAGGATTTCGGGGGAAGATAAGGGGGACAATGATAGGGGATATACATATATATATATATAGATTCATGCTCGAAACACAATGTTTGGGCGGGATAAAAGGTAAAGCGGCAATGTTTCTATCAGCGGTGTTACAGAAATCCCTTGAGATTCAAAAACAAAAAAAACAAACAACAAAAACAAAAACAAAATCTGGGAAAACACAGAATTTGGAGAGAACTTAAGGGATTTCCATAGCACATCGGCACTTCTACAGCATTCACAAGCTACTTGTTGAGAGGAAGGGAAGAGGATTTTATTTTAAAATTGTTGGTTTTTATTGTTTGCATGCACTTGCTAACTACGGACAGTTCATATCATCGGTAGGACCTCCAGAGTTGAAAAACTTAATTGTACTTGTTTTTTCGAGTTTAACTAACTAAACATGACCACTACGGTTTTTTCGGTTCGAAATCAAAATCAAATTTGGAAGCGCAGTCAGCAAAGCCAAAATGGAAATTCGTTTCGGTTTCGGGTTCGGTTTTTGTTTTAGAATTTGAATTTGCTTTGAAATCGGATTTGAATTTGAATTTGAATTTGAATTGGAATATAGAATAATGCTCTGTTGTCGGATGGCTGATTTTGTGCATCTAACTTGACACTTGTACTTGGTCCTTTTGGTTCTTTAACTTTCATTAGCTTTTGCTGTTTTTGCTGCTTTTGCTTTTGCTGTTGCTTTTGCTTTTGCTTTTGCATTTGCTTTGGCTTTGGCTTTGGCTTTGGCTTTTGTTGTGGTCTCGGTTTAGTTGCAAACTTACAATATGGCTTACGTGTTTTTTTGCGCAAACACGACGCCACATAGCTTTCAAGCTCGCGCAGCGTCGACGGCTTCAGCGTTTCGAAGTCGATCTCGATCTCGTCGGGATTGGAGTCACGCAGCGATGGCTCCCGGTTCTGGATGATGTGCACCACACGGCCGAGCTTGTCACCTGCGAACGGGGAATCGTATGTTAGTTCAGCTCCAAGAGTGTCTTAAATAGTTTGCAAATTGGTTGATCTTTCTTTAGATTAATACCAAATTGAAATACAATACAAAAGAAAAGAGCAAGCGGAACTGCTCAGCTCAGTCTCACCTGGCAACTTGTTGATGTCGAGCGACAGCTGGCGCTTCTCATCGTACGACATTGGCTTGGCCGTGTCCTCCTCCTCGGAGTCGAAGTTCATCACCTGGCTGGGCTTCTTCTTGCTGCTGCCGCGCGCACCGGCGCCACCGGTGCTGGCATTCGCACCGCCGACAGCGCCACCAGCGCCCGCCGAGCTGCTGCCCTTGGCCCGCTTGGAGGCATTGCCGCCGCCGCCGCCACCTGCTCCGCCAGCACCGCCGCCAACGCCGCCGACGCCACCGGCGCCCGCCGCAGCGCCAGCTGCACCGCCGCCAGCTGCATTGCCCACGGCGGCGTTATTGCTGGCTCCAACGCCGCCGGCTCCACCGCTGCCCTTGGCGCCGCGTCCGCCCTTGCTCTTAGCACCTTTACTGCTGCCACTGCCGCTGCCTGTGGCCGTGCCGCCGGCGCCCGCCGCTGCGCCCGCCGCCAGTGCGCCGGCCAGGGTGCCCGCCTTGCCGCCCGCCGATGCGCCCGCTCCCGCCGAGACGCCTGCACCGAAGCCACCGCCGCCGGCCGCGGCACCGCCGCCCGCCAGCTGGCCAAAGGCCATGGCCATGTCGTGCACCTGGCCTTGCAGCGCCGAAACATTCGGCACGCCGCCGGCGACGGCCGCTCCGCCCGGGCCGACCAACGAGCCGCTGAGCAGGGCATTCAGATTGGCACTGCCCGCTCCGCCGGCGCCCAGAGCACCGACGCCGCCCGGCACACCGGAAACGCCGCCCGCATGTCCCGCTGTCGGTGCTGATCCGCCGGCGCCCGAACCGCCCGCCGAGGCGTGGCCGTGATGGGAGGCCGAACCGGAACCGGATCCTCCCCCGACGCCGCCCAACGACTTCTTCTTCTCCTTGAGCTTCTTCTTCGCCTTCTTCTTGGCGGACGCCTCCTCGGAGAGCTTGCGGATCTCCTCCTGCAGGCCGAGCAGCTTGGACTCCAGCATCTTCAGCTTGGCGCTGCGCTCCTCGTCGGAGTTCGATTCGTTTTCGGTGTCGCTGGAATCCTCGCTGGACGAGTCGCTGGCATCGTGCTTGAGTGAGGAGGAGCCGCCGTAGCCGTGGCCATGCCCATGCCCGTGACCATGTCCGTGGCCGTGTCCATGGCCGTGGCCATGACCATGACCGTGGCCGTGATGGTGGGCCGCATTGGCCACCGGCTCGTCGGGTATGTTCGCGTAGCGCATCTCAAAGACGTCCTGGAGCTTGCGTCCCATGGCGACGACATCGTGATCTGGCGGATTGTATTTGTAGCAATTGGTGAATATTAATCGCACGTCGGCGGCGAATTCCGGCGCGCTCTTGTACTCGCGATTGTCCATTTTTCGCTTGACAGTGCCCAGATCCATCGGCTTCTTGATTATGTCGTGGTAGTCATGCAGGCCGAGCATCTCCGCGTCGACTGGCTTGTAGAACGGCCAGGCATAGCCCGAGTGCTTCTTCGAGAAGAGCTCCTTGAGGATCTCGTTGCACGACTTGAGCGCATCCGATAGCTTCTCCTTGTTCTTGGCCACAGCAACGCCGGCGACGCCGCCGGCAACCATACCGCCAAGTCCGGGAACGCCGGAAACGCCCAGCGGCGACATATTGTATCCCGAGCCCTGGAATGTAAGATCCTGTGGTTCAGAAGATCCCATCACGTTTCGGTTTAATGATGAGTTGGTTGTTGGTTGATTGGTGATTTGTTGTTGTAGTTGGTTGGTTGGTGGTGTTGTTGATTGATTCGTGTGGTGGTTGGTGGTTCGTTTGATTGATTGATTGATTGGTTGGTTGGTTGAGTAGTGCAAACAAAATCAACGCAAAAGAAAAGAAAAAATAAACGAGCAAAAAGCGGCATGGGGTTAGCATCGAGAAAGAAAAATCAAATGATTCTTAAGGAAATGATTGCAGATCATCAGGCGAACGGAGCTTGAACTTGAACTTGACTCCGGATATTCGGGGTCGGAGGTCAGAGGTCAGAGCAAGTCCCCATTCGCATGTCGCTCTATTTACAAATATATGAGATGGTTTTCGAGTAAAAGGCAGGACGGCGTATTGTGTATGATATCTTTTGACTGATTGTTTTTGTGCATTCGGATATTCTGATAATCTTAAAAACGGGGTGCCAAATATGATTACGACTGACTGAAATAATGATATTATTCAAATATTGTTAATCGGGAACTTGTATGCCAATTTAGTTAATAAGTTCTAAGTTGTTCAAAACAAAGCGAATAATTAATTTTTGAAGCGGGCACGATAAATTGGCATTAGAGTAAATAATTTATGTTTTAAACCCAATATTTGGCACACAATGAAATTTTACAAACAAACAAAGACAGTGGCTCTTGGAATAAAAAGCAAAGGGTAATTTTTGAAAGGGGACTAGGATCATACGACTCATACGACTGGCGATGCCCGTTACTCTTACCTTTTTGCCAATTACCTGACGATTCGACTCCCGCCGCGTCGCAATCTTGGCCGATTTGGAGTCCATCTGCGCGTACGGCGATTCGAAGGCATTGGCCGTCGGCGTCGTGGTGTCCGCCTTCCGTTTGACGCCCTTCTTGATTTTGGCGGGCTGCTGCGGCGGTATCACGGCATCGACGCCGACACTAACGCCGGCGTTCACATACGCCTGCACCGCGTTGGCTGCGTTGACGGCGACCGATGGTATTGTCACGCCACCGCCCGCTCCTCCGACGCCGGCTCCACCTGCTCCGCTCGCCGCCGCCGCTGCTGCTGCTGCCGCCGCTGCTGCCGCTGCCACTGTACTGCCATCGAGCAGGGATGAGCTGTTGACCGCCGGCGCGCCGGGATAACCGCCGGTTTGGCCGGCGTTCAGGAGGCTGGCCATCAGGGCGGCGGCATTGGGATTGGCCGCAGCTGCACCCACAGCTCCGCCACCGGCCGGGCCGCCAGCCATCGCTGTCGTCGTCGTATTGGTGCTGCCCGGCACCGTGTGCGGTGGCATTGTGCTAATCGGTGGTATGGACGGTGCACCGCCGGCCGTCGATGAAACCGTGCCGCCCATGGCGGAAACGGGTCGGGTGGCGGTCGCTCCTCCGCCTGCGGCACCGGAACCCGCCTGGCTTCCCGGTGTGCCCGCTGAACCGCCGCCCGCACCCGTCGCTCCCTGCAGGCCAGACTGTTGCGCGGATGACGCGGCGGCTGAGACTTTGTTCGAGCCACTGCCCGTTCCGCTGCTGACTGCCGCCGAGGAGGATGCGCCGGATGCTCCGCTGGATGCACCGGCCGCTGATGACGATGACTTGGGCGTAGCCGGCGCCCGTTGCTTCTTCTTGCCACCCTTGGCCGTTACCGGCTCCAGTTCGAGCTCCTCCTTGGGCATCGATTCGATCTTCTGGAGGAAGACCTTCTCGAGTGTTTGGGCCATCACAACGACATCCTCGCCGGGCTTGTTGTAGACATAGCAATTGTTGAACATCGTGTTGAAGTCGTGTATGGTCTCCTTGGCGGACCAGTAGTAGTTGTTCTCCAGCCGCTTCTTGATCGTGCCCATGTCCATGGGCTGTTTGATGATCTTGTGGTAGTCGGGCAGGTTGAGCTTCTTGGCATCGACGGGCTGTTGGAAGGGCCACGAGAAGTGGTGCTTCCATATCACCTTCATCACCGTCTTGATCAGATATTGCAATTGGTTCGTATTGCGGCCAGGTCGTTCCGCTGGCGGGATCACCGGTGGCTGTACAATGCCATTGACTGGCTCCACGGGTGGCTCGTAACGAGGCGGTGGCTCACTGGACGACATGGTGGTGCTGGTGGTGTTGGTTCTTCTTGTGGTTGTGCTTGTGGTTGTGGTCGGTGTGGTGGTTCTGCTGCTGCTTTAGCTTGGGATGTGGACCTCGAATTCTAAGAGAGTTGTTTTCGGAGAATCTGGGTTTCGTAGTTATCCGACTGAGACGGCCGACACACACACACTCCACATACACACACACACACGGGCCGTCTCCGTCTCCTCCTGCTCTTCTCCTCCTTGTCCTCTGATCGGCTGCTCCTTGTTCTTGACTTTTGCAACGGGTAATTTGGAGGGTCCTTAATAGGTGTTTTGGGGGGTGGGGGAATGGGTGGGGACTAGTCCTATGTAGCCGGTGACCACCTCCTTCTCCTGCGACTGGATACGCCTGCTCCTGCGACTCCTACTCCTGGTGTTCCTCCTCCTCCGTTTTCTATCGTCTTTTCACCTCCTAATACGACTGCTGCTCCTGTTCTGGTTTTCGATAAAAATTTCTTCTTGTTTAAAGGATAATGCTGCGTAGTGGTCCGTAGTGATTGCTTCATGCTCAGCAATGTCTGTGCACTGTGAATTTAGTAATAATTGAGTAAACATAATAAGGAATAAGCCATGTTATGGAGAGGATACTACTTACCTCGCCTGCTCCAGATTCTAAGGGCCCAGGCTCCTCTCATTGGAATCGACTGGGTTTAGCTGATTCGAGGGCCAAGGATTCAAAAGCTACGACAGCTACTGAAGGCATTGTGGCTTTAATCCTTTATTGTACGCAAATCTTTTAGTAGGCGACCCTATGAATCTGCAAATGCAAATAGAAAAGAAAAAACAAGTTAGCCGGCACATTCGAATAGTTTGCAACTCTGGTCGGTGGGATATGCATTTCACAACACTTCTCTCCAACGAGGGTTACATAAACAAAAAATAAATAAGAAGCACCAAAAAAATTAACAAAAATAAAAATTACAATATCCACTTAATGCGAGAGGCGGTTGCCATAAACAAAACGCGAAAACGAATCTACGTAGAATGTGAAATATGCAGAGGCGGCAGGAAAACGGAAAACACAAAACAGAACACACGGAAAGAAGCAAAAAACACACAGAGAACGACACAAAACACACACATAGACACACTAACACACAAGCCAAGTGCAAAACAATCAATTCCGGGCACTTTTTAACAGCAATCAATTCACTCGCTTCGCAATATTCCATGTATTTATTAGTTTATGCGTTTGAGTATAGATTCAATCTTTATTTTTAGCTGTTTTTTTTTCTTTTTGTTGCGGTTTTTGCCGTTTTCCTAGTTTTCCCTTCCACCGTTTTGGTCGTGAGTAGTTACTTTGCCGCCGTTTTGGCACTCACAGCAACAGCGAAAATAGAGAAGAGGCGAACGAGCCGTAGAGAGCAAGAATTAGCGTGAGAGCGGTGCTCATATTTTCGAAGTCGAAAACGAGAGAGCGCCCGGCTCACAAACACGCATACGGACAACAGCCACAAAATCACACCAACCAATAGAGCTGTCTCGCTTGCACTTGTCGAAAAGAACTAGCAAAAAGGCAATCAAAAGGCGCACGCCAAGTGCTGCAAAGTTTTATAAACGTAAAAAACAAAACCTCCAATAAACACAAAAATTCCTTTTAATGCAAACGCACAAAAAAAGTTTTATTAACTAGCACACATACACACTGCACAACTGATCCACAACGCGCACACACACAGAGGTATGGCGTGTGTTGTGTTTGCTTTAAGAGAAATTCACCACGCCGCCTTTTTATTTTTTTTATTGTTTTTTTTTTTAAGTTGAGTTCTTGTCACTTGGCATGATTCATTCGCTTTGTTTTTTGTTGTTGCAGCGCTAATGCAAACGCCATGCCGACGAAAGGCAATAAAATGCACGTAATTCAACGTTTTTCGATTTTCGCATTTTGTTTAACACCCTCAACTACGTGAGGTGAAGAGAGTGAGGAGGAAAGGGAAATAGGTGTGAGCGAGGAGGAACCCACACTCACACGCGCTCATACAGACATTGGAATAGTTTGCCTTTTGCCGATATTCCAAACTAACAGTGGTACACATTGCAATTAAGTTGCACATAAAATTCATTGTACAGATAACTGATGCAAAATGCTTTGTTTTTATTATAGTTTATTTATATCAAATTTTAAACTGTAGGTCAAGCACAAACATTTGCTTATTTCTTTTTAGCTCCGATCTGTTTATTGTGTTGACCAACCCGATTTTTTGTTGATGTTGCGAATTTATTTACACTCGCACACAAACACCAATCCACCTGTGTATGTGCCGGCCGGCAAGCGGTTGTTGCTCTTCTCTTCAATTTTTTTTTGATCGCTTTCACTTTGGGCTTTACAGTTATCAGCTGGGTTTACAGGGTAGCGATTAATTATCCGTTTTGGCCCACTGTTAGTTAGTTTAGTTTTTGTCAGTTGCCAAGTGTGCGTATGCGAGAGCGTACGAGTTTGTGACGCGAAATTAAACGGAAGACGAACGAATTTAAACGAAGGTAGACAACAAGGCCAGCAAATGGTTATGACGTATTTGGTCTATTCTAAACTCGCCACAAACAACATTGGAATATTAGGAATAACATATATTAAATACACAATAGCGGGCGGCTAGTTCTCTCGCTCTCACAACAAAACAAAACATTAACTGGCACTCGCACACACATTTGGCTACGAGAGAGGGAGAAAATGAGAGAGAGCGCGAGAGCGGACGAACGTGCGGTTGTAATTATGTAGTACAGTAGACTTTGAGTTTTCAACAAAATTCACGTAGAACGATACGATGACGTAGAGAAGAGGAAGCAGCAGAAGTGGCGGAAGAAGAAGCAGAGACAGCAACGGCATGCATTCGAAATGGAATTGGAAATATGAATTTATTTTGTTAAGAAGGCCGCCAATATAAAGCCATGCGTTTAATTTAATGTAGTCCCTGAGTACAAGGGTCCTGTTCAATCGTTTTTTTAATGTTAATGTTACAGTAAACTTACTTCCTCTTTCTCAAATAAACAAAGGTCAACAGTTTATAGGCGGAGAGTAGAAAAAAGCAGTATTGGTATAAACTTTGCCTGCCAAAGCTTATTCACATACTAATCAATAAATAAATTAAGTTTTTTTTTGTCCCGCTTAAAATCTATGCACTTGAACTACGGGCAAATATATCAATTTTATTTAAATAAATAAAATACTTAAGTGAAACACGCTAGCAAACACACACCAGTATAAACACTAACGTACGCTCTCTGCTGAAAGTTGCAGCTGCCTGGGCGTGCGTCAGAGCGAGACAACAATAGGGGGCCTACGTAATACGTAGTCAAATGCAAATATGGCGGCATGCCATGTGTGCGTGTATATGTGAGTGGCATTCGAACGGGGAGAGTTGTTGTTGTTTTCATTGTCATCGCTGTGTATCTGCACGAAGAGAGAAAGAGAGCCAAAAACGGAAAGAAGGGGGATAAGGGGAGCTGCCTCTAGGTTAATAAATCGTGCTAATAGTGGCACGAATTTAAAGCCGGTTTACATGGCAACATGCTGCAAATGCAAAAGAAGAAGAAGCAGCCGCATCAGAAGAAGCAGCAGAACATGAAGAGCAAGGCACCCAAAAAGCATCAATGAATTCAATTCGAGAGAGAGTCGCCGAACCGCAATCGCAATTTTGCGCTTATTTACGATAAACATATCTTCAATTTTTGCGCCCCGACAAGTAAACAAACAAATTGCGTTTGCCTATTTACGCGCCAACTAGCAATGTGCACCAGCAACAACAATTGCACTTTAATGAGGGCAAATAAACGAAAATCCCAAATGCCGGTTAAAACAAAAATCTTGGAGAGGTGAAAGGGAGAAAAGAGATGTTTGTCAAGGAATGTCAGCAAAAATTTGAGATCTGCAGAATGATAGTATAGTATTTGCAAAAGAAACGATGAAACTATTATATTTTTAAAAAGAAAATAACATGTGACTGGTCTTAAAGCGTTTAAACCTGCTTTTATTTCACCAGACATAATGATACCGTTATTAGCAAAACTATTTATATTTATAATTTAAGAAGAGAATACAAGTACTTGCAAAGTACAAAATAAGTAAACAGTAAATTATTACCAAATTCAATCGGAATTTTGTGCTTTACCTTTCTGATGAAGAATGTCAAATAATTAATTGAATGCATTTTTTAAAATGATATTCAGACTTTTTAATAAATCTGTCCGTAAGAGAAAAATAAGTTGCTTAAAAACACAAGCAAAGATTTGTGGTTTCCTGTCTGGTACGCACTGTGACACAAGCTCATGAATGAATCGAAAACGTCATTTAAATAAGAATCGACTATAATAATCATGAAAGCAATGCACACAGGGTTGCTGCGATGCAGTTGAAAAATTTTGGCAAAAGGCAGCTGCCCTGTCAAATTGTAGGGTGGCTAACCCCTAGATATAAACTCAAAATAATAATAAAAAAAATAAATAAATAAATTTAGCTCTGGGAAAAATGTAAATAAAAGCTAAAGACGCTTGAAATTATTCCCACTTATGTGGGTTGGCGAGCACAGAAGGGGGTGGGCGCCAAAGCCACGTGCGCTGCACTTTTCCAACTTACATTTCCTTCGTCCTTTTCTTGTTAAAATGTTTGTTTTTTGGTGAAATCCACTCCTTCTGCTGCAATTTATCCTTTTGAAGGGGATATCCAAATGGTTTCTTTATTTTGACTTTTTTATGGCCGCGCTGCTGTTTTTTTTTTTTTTTTTTTTTTTGCTATAGCATTCGTTGCATGCTGGTTGTTGGTTTAGCCAAAATTAAGCTTGTCGATTTTGTTTATGTTGTTAAAAACTGTGTTGCGTTGTTGTTGTATCTAAATTGAACATATACAACATACAGATTGTACACGACTGTTAAAAAGGTGCAACTGTAAAAATAAAAACAAAAAATATCACTTTTTTACATGAGCACTATAACATTTTCGAGATTTTTAGATTCGCGCGCGAGAGAACGGAGAGAGAAAAAGAATCCCCAGCGACAAATACAACGTAACCTACACCGTTAGCGTCTTTTATACGTCACCGCACTACGTCACGCTTCGTAACGGCATGCTTACGTTACCGACGGCGCCGCAAAAACCGCAAAATCCAAAAATACAATAACAATATCGAAATATAGATTTTTAATGTGTACGTTTTTGCTTGTAAAAAACAACTAAAACTAGTAAATTTCATTTCGTTTCTCATTTAGGGTGAAGTTTTTTCGCGCGCTTCTTCGTGTGTATTCCCCTTTTTCATTTTTTTTGTTGTTTTTTTTTCGTTAATATTATTCACTAGGCGACTACACACGCTAACACACGTTCGCACTCATGCCCTCACTCGACACACACACAGTGACGAGAATTTCTGCTTCTTCCTCCTCTTTCGTTCGCTTTTGTTCCACCACCAAAAAAAAAATTGAGAAAAAAATTGTCATGTCCATTGAAGTCTCACATTTTTATAAAGCATTTTTTGGCGCTAAAATTGTGGAAATTTCACAATTTCCGACGCCCAGCGATTAGCACTGCACACCGAACACAAATTTATATCATTTTTGACATTTTTTACCATATTTTTTTAGTAATTTCTACACACCGATATATACGTACGCGCTACGGTTTTTCGACAAACGCGCGAGTTTCTTGTCGCCATCAAATATACAAAAATTTTTTTCGAAATTACTGAAAATGCGAATACACACGCACACATGGAAAGCGGTTGGGCACGAGGCGCACGCGCCAGGCTTATGCTGTTGTGCCGTTCTAACGCACTGCTGACGGTCAGCGTGCAAGAATGCGACAGTTGGAGAGAGGGAGCACAATTTCAAGATGGCGGTCTCTGTACAGCCATGCAACATGGCAGCTGTACCGCTCTTACGCACCAAACGGGATGGGCAGGCAGAAGCGAAATGGATATAGCAAGCGGGAGAACGCGTGTGTGAGTGTGGAGCGGAGAGAGCGTGGTGGATTTTACTTAGCGAGTGCACCCTCCGGTGTGACCAGATACATTTTTCAACACTGGTACAAGGCGCTGCCACATCTATGGAAACATCGATATTGTGGTGTTAAAAGCATCAACCTATACGTTTAACGGTGAGTATCGAGCTATGTTCCACCACCAATGCTGTTCTGCAAGACAATCGTTGCACTGAATATTTCTGGTTGAAAAACAGGCCAATCGGAGGCATTAACCATTGGTACCTGGGTCGGTGAAAAAGTCTTTGAGGGTTAAAATATCTTGAATAGTTCAATCAATGTTTTTTCTCGTCCAGGATTTGATGCTGCTATTCCACTGTAGAAACACGTACTTTTAAGGATTCTGTTAAAAACAAACGATTTTATTAAAATTGATGCCAGAAAAAATAGTGTATTCCGAGATACCAACCATGCTTTCCTGGGTCGGTGAAAAAGTCTTTGAGGTGGATAAATATCGATTGCAACAATTTAAAAAATCGATGAATCGTTTTACTGATTCCACCGATTCTTCTCCACCTCTACACAAAGCAGTAAATATTAATTTAATCCAAATCCAATTTCGACTCCAATTGGCGGTCTTTTGCTGCTGCAGTCCAAGTTTTTTTTTTGACCCAGAAAGAATTAAATTCGCTGGACTTGCGAATAGCGGCAGCAAGTACGAATAACTGCAATAAGTTCGTGTGTGCAAAGCGTTTTTGCGCGTGTGTGTGTGTGGAACTCCACAAGTGTGCGAGAGAGCAATCAAAATAAGAAAAAACCGCCCCTGATGGAAATTATTTTCGCGAATTACCAGCGAAAACGCACCGAAAGTTAAAACAAAGTGTTCGCATTGATAAGTTAGCAAGTGAAATAAGTTGAAATTACGTAAGAAATCAATAGATTCCGGCTGCGTTTGGCCAAAAAACGTTCTTTTTTTTTGATGATTTCATTCGTAGTGACGACACACAGGCACGCACACAAGCACAACACCCCACATGTGTGTGGGTTGTTTGTTGAGCTAAGGAAATAATGAGTCTTCAACGATATAACATTTTTATTTATTTATTCGAATTTCTTTGAGTGCAGATTGGCGGCGTTGAGACGCCAGTTGTTGATTACGCCTTGGTCTCTTTATCGCAACTTCCCCCACCCACTGATCTTGCATTCGAATTCAAAATCGAGTGGAGTACGTAGGCAGGATCAAAAAAAAAAAAAATAATAAGCAAAGAGAGGGGGTTCATTCACAGTGGCGTATGTAGAAGGTTTTCGGAGGGGTAGTAAACTTTTGTAACTAAATATGTATTTCATTATTATCGACAGCCGACAAAAGTCAGTTCAATAACTTTTATTAATAATGTTGGCCAAAAACTTTGCCGGAGCAGACCCTGTGCTGTCCGCCACTGGCTTAACTAGTACATGTGGGCGGCCCAGATGTTGTTCGTTTTCTACCCATCTGGCGTGGGCGTCTGTCCATGGTAAACTTTGCACTGCAGATGCTGTTTACTTTGGAGGATATTACATCTCGCTTTGCGAGTGTCTAAAGCTGCAAAGAAGTTGTTAGTTGTTGTTATTAAGAAATCCTTTCAATCGAAGTTAAGGTGATTCGTGGCTTATAATAGTGCTAAATAATTCAATTTGATTGTAAAAGTTGTTTTGTCCCAATGTTTATGTGAAAACTGCTTGACTTTTGTAAAATCAAAAGAGGGATTCCAAAAAGAAAAGATGACTAATGCTTTTTTAAAGCATAACTCAAAACTTGATTATGCCATATGTAAATTTGTGTGTTTTTATGATAATTAAGCAGTATCTGTTGGGCTTTACTATGTGTATCTGTTTTGAAATAACTGCAAGGGTATATCAACTTTGGTTTCCCATTTAGTTTATTTATATTTTTTTTAATTTTTGGCGGCACGATCTGTTGCAAATTGAGTTCTGTTGTGCGTGCGTGGGCGTTTAAAAATAGACGACTTAAACAACACAATACGTAATCTGCAGCCCTTTTCTTGCATATATTGATTTTGGAACTTTGAGTGTGATTGGAGTGAGTGATTCATTTAAGCGGAAATTCATCTGTCTGACTCAATGACTACTCATTGTGTCGCTCCCTCTGCCTTTGTTTACATTTCGCCAGGAGCAAAGAGAGAGAAAGAGGGGCGGGGATGGGGTGTGAGAGAGCGTGCTAACAGAACGTGCTCGAATGAGTAATTCGCATTGCATTTTGATGATGATTATCAAAAGCTCTCTTCCTTCCTCTGTTTTTTTTTTTTGCTTTTAGCTTGTCTTCTTTTTGGACGCCAACAAAAAACACGCACACCCACTCACGAATTCGTTCATCTTTTATTTGTGTTTGTGTGTGTGATGAGTCATCTGGCCAAGTTGATGAGAAAATAAAATTAAACATTAAGGTAGAGCAGAAAAAACAACAACAGAAAAAACAGAAAAAAGGGGGGCAGATGTGGGCCATTTTCTTGTTGTTGTCGTAAAAAAATCAGGACAGGCGGGGAAAGCAGTGCACGGCAAAATACACAAAAAAGCAGTGCAGGCAGCAGCTGGTCTTGTATATACAGCTGCGGTCGAAATAATAGCACCAATCGGAAAAATAACCTTAGTTTTCACATTGATAAGTGTGTGTTATACAACAACTTATGTAAAGGCTAGTAATCAAATTTGCTTTTCCAAAAGTGTTGTGTTACGTGAGTGCTATTATCTCTTCTGCAACTGTAGTTCTCAGACTATTCTATTCGAATTGGAGAAACTAATCAGTTCAATTGGTTTTCCATTGCAGTCGACGCATAAAAGCGACAGAGAACGCTAACGAGCGAGCGAGCGAGACGGCACATAGCACACGCACTTCCAAGGAAGATCCTTCTGCACCATCCAGATCCTGCTACCTGCACACAAAACAACCCAAAAGATGATCCTCGAGGGAAGCCGGAGGAGCCAACTGGCCCTCCTTCTGATCGTTCTGTTGGCCGCCATCGCTGGCCAAACGGAGGCCCAGAAGTCGGCCAAAATCCAGAACACCTGCGCGTCCAAGGAGAAGTGCCACACTTGCATCCAAACGGAAAGCTGCGCCTGGTGCATGCAGCCCGAGTTCAAGGGTCAATCGCGCTGCTTTCAGCGCATCAGCAATCTGTGTCCGGAGGAGTATGTCTACAATCCGGACACCTACGAGCAGATTCTGCTGAACAAGAACCTAACGTTGGCCAGCCGAGTTATGGGAGCGGCAGGAGGAGCCGCCGGAGCCGGTGGAGCAGCGGGTGGCGGCTACATCTCCGGTGGCAGCTCGAGTTCCTACCACTCGTCCTCATCCTCGTCCTCGTCCAGTTCGTACGGCTCGGAATACTCGGCCGGTTGGTCAGCCAGCTCCGGCGAAATTGTCCAAATCAAGCCACAGTCCGTGAAATTGCAGTTGCGCGTCAGTGAGTAGCAATCTGTTCTCCATTCAGTTTCAGAACCTAATCCCAATCCACTCTCACCCACTTTCAATCAACCTCAGATGAGAAACACGACCTCAAGGTGAGCTACTCGCAGGCGGAGGGCTATCCCGTGGATCTCTACTACTTGATGGACCTTTCCAAGTCCATGGAGGACGACAAGGAGAAGCTGTCCGCGCTGGGCGACCAACTTTCGCAGACCATGAGGAGCATCACCTCGAACTTCCGCCTCGGTTTCGGTTCCTTTGTGGACAAGGTGCTTATGCCCTATGTCTCGACCATTCAGAAGAAGTGAGTCCGGCCTTAGAGCAATAAATAATGACAAGTTATAAGTTAGGAATAATATTCGATATGTTTGTAAGTATCATCAACAAATTTTCGGTGACTAAGTGCATTTGGTGGAATTCCAAACTCATAAGTCGCCAGATAGCGATGTTTTTTTTGTAGGATTTTAAATTGGTTTTAAAAAATTCTATGTATACTTGAAAGTTCCTTTAATGACAACTTGTTTGTATGATTCAAAGTTAATATCAAAGTAAGGTAGTTTTAAGCTATCTATAGCTGCTAAGAAACACTGTAGCAGTCATGGGCTAAAACTGATACCCGGTTAGTCAGCGATTCTGGAGAAATTGACTGCCAAGCGTCACCTAATCCATGCGTAACGTTCACTCTGGTGACCCATCGTTTTATCAACACGAATTCCCAACTCCTATCGTTAACCCAAAACATACAAAAAAAAAAAAAAAAAAAAAAAAAAAAATTAATAAGAAACACATATCTCATTGGCTCCCTAAAAACATTTGCAGCTGAACTCTTGTTAAACTTATCTCGTTGCTGTATGTCTACACGATTAATGCAAACTTTTGAGCTAATTTTATCTAATTTACCAGACCGAAACAGCCGCTAACTTTGTTAATTATTTATATACTTACAACCCACACCATGAACACCAACCAACAAACAACTCGACAACAACAACAACAACAACAACAATTATCACCAATGATCGACGGAACCGAATTAAACCGAATCGAATCGAATCGAATCGCATTGCATTGGTAGACTCGACCATCCCTGCGAGAACTGCAAGGCTCCCTACGGCTACCACAATCACATGCCACTCAACAATAACACCGAAAGCTTCTCTGTAAGAGACGATTAATCGTATTACCCCATCCAACTCCGCCTGCCTGCTTCCCCTATATCGTATCCACATCTATGTCTATCTCCATGTGCGGATCTCTGTGTGGGATCCGCGTGCATGTCTCCCCGTAGCTCTTTGTGCTTGGTGCCCCACATCCCGCCTCCCATCAATGGAATACTCGCTCTCCTAGTTGCACCCCCTAGTTTTAAGCATATCCACATACGAACTTGTCCTCACTTCTGTGTTGTGTGCTGAGATCGGGTCATCAGCACATCTTGGCATCTCCACCCACACTCTATAGCATATTTATATTATATTGTATGGTATCGTATCGTATCTATATCGTAATCTATTCGCACACCTCGATCGATGTTGTAAAACCAATACTTTATCTTTTGTGTTTCTCTCTATTTCTTTATTTCATTGTGTACTCATCACTTTCTCCATATAAATCCGGCCCCATATCAATCGTACTTGTTGTGCATTCCAAAATTTCCTGTTGCTTGGCTCGAAATTTTAACCAAAAAAAAAACCAAAAAAAAAACAAAACGAAATTCGAAATTAGCCTGATTGAGCCGTGCAACAAGTGCAGTCCTCCTTATGGCTATCGAAACGTCATGGCCCTGAGTACGGACACGTATAAATTCTCTGTAAGTGGTCACGCCCAAACCATCCGAATCATCCGAATCCGAATCCGAATCGCAAACATCGCACCGGCATCTCGGCTCAACGATTCCATCCTAACATTATTCCCATTCCCATTTCGAGTTTTGTTCATTTTTGCTTTCCATATTGTTAATTTCTTGCGTTTAATTTAGTTTTGGTGCTCGTAGTCCAGCTAACTCTGTTTTGTAGTATTTGCTTAACTACCTAGCTTACTTATATGTATATACTTGTTCTTGGATCTGGGCATGCTAATGGTTAATGGTTCTTGGTTAATGGTTAATGTTGTGCGATCTAATCTGCTGACACACTCTGGAGTTAAAAGAAAAGAAAGCTAACTCTTTTAGAAGCAATATAAACGTGATGTAAAGGTTCAGGTTTCTGCCAAAATACATTTAACTTGATCCAACAATTGTAGCATTTTATATAATGTCGACTTCATTTTACTTTGAAAAACGATTCAGTGACCCAATATCACTTAAAATGACTTTGATTCAAAGGTTTCAAATATCGATTCCCTTAGTTACCCGTGGAATTTGTTTTTATTAAGTCACGACTGCATATATCTTATCGCAGTATGGAAACCGTTGTTATCTCTGACAAATATTGATAGACTGCTCAAGGTTTGTGGGTGTTTGCCAAGCGAATTCTCTCTTGAAAAAGGGAGTTTCCTGATCCACTGAATGTAGGGGAATGCCAGAGAGTCAGACGGCCAGGGTGTGCCAGCACTTGCATCCGTACTAATCCGTAACCCGCAACCGAACTTACCCGAACTAATCCGAATCCCCTCGGGAAACCCCTTCGCTAATATCTGTTTTCTACTCCCCGCCGACAGAACGAGGTGAAGGACGCCAAGGTGTCCGGCAACCTGGACGCTCCCGAAGGTGGCTTCGATGCGATCATGCAGGCCATCGCCTGCCGTCAACAGATCGGTTGGCGTGAGCAGGCCCGTCGCCTGCTCGTCTTCTCCACGGACGCCGGATTCCATTACGCCGGCGATGGCAAATTGGGCGGCGTGATTGCGCCCAACGACGGCGAGTGCCATTTGAATGCCGCCGGCGACTACACCCATTCGACGGTCCAGGACTATCCGAGTATTTCGCAGATCAACCAGAAGGTCAAGCAGAACGCCATCAACATCATCTTCGCGGTGACCGCCAGCCAGTATTCCGTGTACGAGAAGCTGGTCGGCCACATTCAGGGCTCGTCGGCTGCTGTGCTCTCCAACGATTCGTCGAACGTGGTGGACTTGGTCAAGGAGGAATACGCTGTAAGTGTGCTCCTTGCGCATCCACTCTTTGATCTCTCCCTAACTGGTATTCTTTCTCGTGCAGAAAATCTCCTCTTCGGTGGAGATGAAGGACAACGCCACTGGGGACGTGAAGATCACATACTTTTCGTCCTGCTTGAACGGCGGACCCGAGCTGCAGACCTCGAAGTGCGACAACCTGACCGTCGGCCAGCAGGTGAGCTTCACCGCCCAGATCCAGGTGCTCAAGTGCCCGGAGAATCCGCGCGACTGGCTGCAAACGATCAACATCTCGCCGGTGGGCATCAACGAGAGCATGCAGATCCAGCTGGAGATGCTGTGCGCGTGTCCCTGCGAACGGCCCGGCTCCACTGGCTACGAGGAGCACTCGCGGCGGTGCAGTGAGCACGGAACGTCGATGTGCGGCATCTGCAACTGCGACGAGAATCACTTTGGCAACATCTGCGAGTGTTCGGCCATGGACGTGACCTCGAAGAACGGGAACGATGCCAGCTGTCGGGCGGACAACACAACGACCACGGACTGTTCCGGGCGGGGCAACTGCGTGTGCGGCGCCTGCGAGTGCTTCAAGCGACCCAATCCCGAGGAGGTGATCTCCGGCAAGCTATGCCAGTGCGACAACTTCAGCTGCGAGCGGAACAAGAACCAGCTGTGCTCCGGGCCCGATCACGGCACCTGCGACTGCGGCCGCTGCGAGTGCAAGCCGGGCTGGACGGGCACCAGTTGCGCCTGCAAGGCCTCCAACGACACCTGCATGCCGCCCGGCGGCGGGGAGATCTGCTCCGGCCACGGCACCTGCGAGTGCGGCGTGTGCAAGTGCGCGGTGACCGAACAGGGCCGCTACTCCGGCCGCCACTGCGAGAAGTGCCCGACGTGCTCGGGCAAGTGCCAGGAGCTGAAGGACTGCGTCCAGTGCCAGATGTACAAGACGGGTCCGCTGAAGAACGACGACGACTGCGCCCGCAACTGCACGGCCTTCACGCCGGTCAGCGTGGAGAAGGTGGAGATCGACGAGCACAACGGGGAGAAGCTGTGCACGTTCTACGACGAGGACGACTGCAAGTTCACGTTCAAGTACAGCGAGCAGGGCGAGCTGAAGGTGCACGCCCAGGAGCGCAAGGAGTGCCTGCCGCGCGTCTTCATGCTGGGCATCGTTCTCGGCGTGATCGCCGCCATCGTTCTGGTGGGCCTGGCCATTCTGCTGCTCTGGAAGCTGCTGACCACGATCCATGACCGCCGCGAGTTCGCCCGCTTCGAGAAGGAGCGCATGAACGCCAAATGGGATACGGTGAGTAGTACATAGCATACTTGCCATAGCTCTGATCTGATCGAATCTCTTGTGCTTTATCCGTTTGCAGGGCGAGAATCCCATCTACAAGCAGGCCACCTCCACCTTCAAGAACCCCATGTATGCGGGCAAATAAATCCGATGTCTAACTAAATATTAGGGAAATATTACTTGTGTCAACTGTCTGTGCTTGAAACCGGAAACCAGAAACCAGAAATCAGAAAACCAATCAACTAACCAACCGATAAAAATCCCATTTAAACTCCGAAATACATCGACAAAGCTGCTTTGCCCGGGTGCAAAACCACTGAAGTCAACTGCCATTGAAACGCGTTCTAAACTAAGTCAACCTTATATATCTATATATATATATATTTATATATACATTTACACAACCGCCCCGTTGTGGGACAGCCTTTATACATTGCGTATACTTAACGAGCAAACGATTTGTGCCTTGCAACATATTTTAGACTATATATCTTTACGTATATACACACACGAGCAAGAAATCGGACAACACGCACAGCAAAGCCAAGAAGCAGCCGAGAAGGAGAAGATACAAACAAACAAAGCAACAACAGCCAACAAATTAACTACGAACGATAGTTAGAATTATGATTTTTGTGTTCTTTTCGTGCCCATTGATTGTATGTCGATCGGAGCCAGCATATGAATTTGTATTTTATTTTACTCTTAATTTGTAGTTTTTTGTTTTGTGTTTTTTTCCCCCGCCTTCCTAATTTATCCAACGATGTATTTAACTTAAAACGTTGAATCTAACTGAAATGTTTCCGTTCCAAAAACTATCTGTCGTCCTTCGCCACGTCCCAAGTCCCCCGTCTAAATGTTTTTCTATTTGTTTTAAAACGCTAACTTTACAATTAATATTTAAGCAATTAACATTTAAGCTTGTAATTGTTAATTTTAAAGTGCAAGAGTGCCACGGGGACATTTTGTTTTCTGTAAAATCTTTTCATTTTTATTTTTGTATGTTTTATTTATGAAAAAAAAGGAAGAAAGAAAGAAAGCAAAGAAAAGAGGAAAAGCCGCGTGGAGCGGAATGGAATAAAGTCTCTTGTGAGTGTTTTGTTTTATTAAATTTCGATCATTAATAGTAAATTAATACTACTATATAAATATATATTTTTTGCCATTTGTACTGATTACTGATTAACATTTAAAGTAATACAAAACGAACATTTTTGTATAAAAAGATGAACCATTTTGGGTAATTTTATTGAATGATAAACCAACACAAAATGAAGTGGAAACACTAGCAATATAAAAAGAAGTGGAATTTAAATTGTTTGACGCTAATTTTAGTAAAATAAATAAAAAAGAAACTATAAAAAAAAAAGAATTCAATGTGTGTCTCTGTTTTAAGGTCTTCGATTGGGAATATTGTCCATTTAATTTACATTTCCCTCCTGCATTTGAGTATTACAATTTGGCCACTCCGATATTCAGTTTCTTTATTGGAGAAGATCCGATACAAAAATTAGTTCAGTTGCTGGCAATTCAAAAGAAAATGGGAAATTAAATAGTTAAAATGTTGGAACTCTGAAAATCAATCGCTCCCATCCAACAATTTTTCCCCCAAAAAGGGAAAAATCCTATTTTTCAGACTGCATTCTGCATTTCATTTAAAAATGTCAATGGAACAGCGAACATCGGATGGCAAATATCACCGGATGTGTGTATGTATGTGTTTGGGTGTGTGCGAGTGGGTGGGTGGGTGTTTGGAAGTGTATAACATTCTATAACATTCTGTATGTATCGTTGTATACGTGCTATTCGTTCTCCTTATTTTTTGTTTTAGTTATTCAATTGGGTTCTGTTTTCGAAACAAGTCTAGGCAATTTTACGTACTATGTAGTGTTAAAATATACGGATGCGGATCGGGGAGCAGCAGTGCTCGCTATATACACGATGGTATCGAGGACGAGGACGTGTGCACCCGATGCCATTTGGATTGGCTTGAGCTGCCGCGACTCCTTTTTTCTTTTCTTTTTTTTTTTGGGGGGGGTTTTGGGGAAGGGGTTTCGTTTTCTTTTTCGGTTGACTTAAGTACGGCTTGAGGTTGATGTGGCTCGTTGTGGTGGTGGAGGACCGGGACGGGGCTTGGGAGTCCGATCCAGAGGAGCGCTTCTGGGCATTCCGGGTGACGGAGAGTGGACGGCTCTTGGAGCGCTGCTCTCGCCCCTTCCCTTCTCTCGATTCCGTGTTATTCGCAATCGTAATCGTTATCGCAATCGCAATCTCAGTCGCAATCGCAGTCGCAGTCGCCGGTGCCGCAGTCGTCCGGCAGCAGAGAGTGGTAATCGTTGCGCCGCTAGGCGGCCAGGTGGCCAGGAGGCTGTCCGCTCTCTCTTGGTTCTTCAGGCAGAGGGGGCTGAGGGGGCAGCGTATCAGTGGAAGATGAGGTCCGCGTCGGGCGCGCCCTTTTGGTGCTTGAACTTGTGCTTGTTGGGCTTCTGGTAGTAGCTCTGCGTGAAGTTGCGCTGCTGCGGCGGCAGCAGCGACTCCTGGTAGTCCTCCTCCTCGATCCGTTCGGTGATGTTGAGCGTGAGCCGCTTCACCTTCTCCTTCTCCTCGCGGATCTTCTGCTCCTGCAGCTTCAGATTGATGGCCAAATGCGAGTCCGATGGGGCAACGAAGGACTTGAACTGCTGCTTGCCGCCCTTGTTGCCGCGCACCATGAGCACAAAGGGCACAGTTCCGGCGGCACAGCCACTGGCACTGCCACCGCCTCCTCCTCCGGATTTCCCATTGCCATCGGGCGGATCCGTGCTGGGGGAGCCAGGCGTTCCGTCCTGACTGCTCGTCGCCGCACCCGCCGCCGCCGCCGTCGACTTTGAGATTTGAGCGGCTTGGGGGGAGCCTCCTCCACTGCCGGAGGCCTGGGCACCCGTTATCTGGTCGTAGGACTTCTTCTGCAGGCGCGCCATCATCGGCACTGGTATGTCCTTGGCGGTGGCCTTGATCGGCTCCTTCAGCCGCTCCTGGTACGAGTCGGTGGTCATCTTCTCGTACAGGTGCTCGAACTCCAGGTCCTCCTTGGACTTTTCCGGCGGCGGAGGCGGCGGCAGTGGTGGCTCCGCCTCGTTCTCCGTCCAGTCATTGCTCTGCTCCGGCTCCTGGCCAGCCACCTGTCGCTCCCGCTGGTCATTCGAGGAGCCCGAGTCCTCATCAGTTATCTGTGGCCATAGAATGCAATTCCAGTTGAGAAACTTTCTTGGGAAGAGAATTTTGGTGTGGAAGAAGAACTTACGCCATCGTCCAGCTCGCTGATTTCACTGATGGTGGCCAGCGAGGGATCCTGGGTGCTGTTGGCCTTCAGCTGCGGATAGAGCTTCTCCTGCAGCTGGTCGATGGCCGCCTTGGCCTGCTCCAGGCTCTTGTACAGCTTCAGTTTCGGCCGCACGCCGGCTAGGCAGTCGCGGTAGGTGTGATCCACCAGGATGGGGAACAGGTCGGAGGTGTTCTCCGACTTGCTGAACACGGGATGCGATTTCTTGAACCAGTAGTAGTGCTGGAAGAACACCAGGAAGTAGTCCAGCCTGCGAGGAGCACGAAATAAATATAAACAATAATATATGCATACAAATAATAAATATAAAAATATTTATTTTATATTTAAGCACTTTCAGCCAGTCGGCCAGATGATCCTACTCACTTTTTCCGCGTGGCCTGGCTGGTGAAGTAGGGACCGCAGGTGTCCAGCAGCATGCAGGCCAGCTTCAGGCGGAACAGGCTGTCGGGCGGATCGAGCGGCGAGACGACGCTCTGGTCCATGGACACCCCCAGCGAGATGATGGAGTAGAGCGTGTTGAGGATGTGCGTCGACTCCACCAGCTTGTAGTTGTACATCTCGCCCAGATACTTGGCCATCGCGATGCGCCGCTGGGCCATTCGCGGCGAGTGGATCTCCAATCCAGCGCGAATGTCCTCGAACACGTTGTCGATCACGATGGTCACCGCGCGTGGCTGATACGAACTCAGACCGGAGACGAGGTCGGCCAGGCAGCGGATGAGCGGGAAGCGCAGCAGGTACGCCTTGCTGAGGCACTTGATGGCATAGCCATTCGTCTCCGGGTCCTGCCAGTCGATGCGGCGCAGCATCTTGATGCAGCGCTCCACGTTCTGCTTGCACAGCTCCTCGAAGATCAGATGGCGGATGTACTCGTGCATGGGCGGCCGGATCGTTGGCTCGCGCTTCGCCGACTCCGGCGGCTTCACCAGATAGTAAACGCTCTCGATCTGGGCCGCATGCCGCGAATCCATCGCCGTGGCGGTCTTCAGGCGCAGCATTTGGTCGAGGAAGACGTTCATCAGCAGTCGCGAATCGCGGCAGTTGTACAGATAGACGCCGCTCACCTCCACGAAGGCGCAGGCCATCTCGATCTGGTGGTGCTGGAAGTCCCGCAGCAGCATCTTCAGACAGCCCAAGGCATCGAACTTCTTGAACAGGCCGAACTTGACCAGTTCGCCGATGAAGCGCACGATCTTCAGCTTCGATTCGATGTTCAGCTGGTTCTTCTTGCGGATGTGCCACTTGAACTCCTTGCGCAGCAGATCGGTGAGATCGGCGGCCATGTCCGTGTTGCACAGATGCACGATGGCCACGAAGCGCGACAGATATGGGAGGATGTCGAGGCGCGTGCGCTGCACCGAGAAGATGGTGCGCGTGAGCTTCTTGCGCTGGTGCTTCGTGTTGAAGTTCAGCAGGAACTCGATGGCCGCCGAGTCGATGAGCTCCTTGTTCACGCAGTTGAACAGGTTGACCAGGAAGCTGTCGAACTGCTGCCGCATTTGCGTCTGGCTGTGGCTGGGGTTCTGCTGGTTCTGCTGGCTCTGCTGCTGGCGTCCCAGTTCCATCAGGGCGCTGCCCATCTTCACCGGCTTCACGTCCGCATCGCAGCTGGCGCTGCCAGTGGCCACCGGCGTCGTCGGCTGCTCCTGCTCGCTGGCATTCTCGAGCGCCGTGTCCGAAGCGTTGGACGGCGGATCGTCCAGATCCATTTCCGCGTCCAGATTCGCATCGATGGCCTCCTCGGTGAGTTCGCTGGGCTCCTCCAGCGTCTCCAAGTCCACTTTCGGTGCCGAGAAGTTGGGCAGGAACTGCCGCAAGTCCGGCAGATCGGTGTAAAAGGCGCGCGTCTCGTCGTCGCCCCAGGGATCGAGCACTCCGAAGGCGGCGCTGTCGAGCATGTTGTCAATCACCGTGCCCGGATTGCAGCACTCCGACTCCTTGGCCAGCTCGGGAAGCGGTTCGCCGAGCAGTTCGGAGAGCGACTGCGCCGAGGCGAGCAGCTTGTCGAAGCCCGCCTGCATGAGCTCACACTTCTCGCGCTTCTCCGTGGATATCTCGCCCTTGCACTCCATCGTGCGCCGGATGTTCTTGGTCATGTTCATCAGCTCGGCCTGCTCGGCCAGCACGTGCTTGCAGAGCGCCTTGAAGTAGCCCTTGAGCATGGTGCGCAGATTGAGCTGCTTGTCGGCGCCGAGGAAGTCCGACTTCGGGACCTCCACGTTGTACTTGCTGGCCAGCTGCTGCATCTTCTGCGGCACCAGGCCGGCGTACTCCTCGCCGCAGTGACGGCAAAACGAGAGGATGATCGAGAAGTTGCTGTGGTCGTCCTTGTCCTGGGCAATCAGGTGGACCAGCACCACGCCGAGCTGGGCCAGGCCCGGCTTCATTTGGATGACGCCCGAGCTGACCAGCTCGGCGAACAGGCGCAGATCGACGCGCAGTTTGCTTGGATTGGCGATCTTCTCGCTGGCCTTGATGTTCAGCGCCTTTTGCCAGGCCTCCAGGAAGTGGGCATCGAAATCGGCGTAGGTGCAGTGCAGTCGGGAGGCGAGCGTTACCACCGCCGGCACATCGGTCATCTTCAGCTTGGCCTCGGCGAGGGCGGCACAGATTTCCGAGATGTACTTGCTCAGATTCAAGGCGGACAACTCGCGCAGGATGCTCTCCAATTGGGTGGCCGTAAAGAGCTTGAGTTTCTTAACGAACGCTGTGTTCTTCTTGAGGTTGGAGTCCAGTTTGGCGAAGTACTCCTCGCCGGGCAGCTCGAACGTGGAGTTCTGCAGTCGCAGCTGCCGTTTGCTCTCGATTTTGTCGCGCAACTCGTTGATGAATTGCTGCAGCTCCTCACGCTCCTCGGCCTCCAGGGCGCTAGCCTCCGCATCGGCATCCGTGTCGGCATCGGCATCACCATCGCCATCACGGTCGCCCTCATCCACATCCCCATTGTACTCGGGCTGATCTTTTACAGAATCCGGCGGTGTGGCGTCTTCTGGTGATGTTCTTGTTGCTTTGCTTGCCACCGGCGCTTCCTGAACATCCGGTATTGAGGAATCGCTAGCCAGCATCTCGGCAACTTCTTGACGGGACTCACTTTACCCTCGATTCCCCAGTTGCTCTGTTTCGAATTTCGATCTGCTGGCAAATTTATTTCCTTGCGGGTTATTTTGTTTAAGCAGGACTGATTATGCATCGCATCTAGTCACTTACCTCAAGTTTTCAAATGGCGGGCAGAGTTCTTTCGCCGGCTTTTCCTCATTAAGTTTGTTGAGTCCTTATTTCGTATTGCAATTTTATTTAATTTTAATTTTTGTAATATTTATTTTGTATTTATCTTTTTGTACAATCGATAGGAGGCGTGCTCGGCTTATCGGTATCGATAGCAATTAAGTGTTGACGATTCGTTAGTGTAGTGTTACCGTAGGCTTATTACACCATTTTAATTAATACTAACACACATACCAAAAATGAGTCGGTGACTAAGTGGCGATGGGGGACGGTCGAAATGGAACATGGGGGAAGTTTTAAATCCAATATTTATCCGTCAATCCGTTTATCCGTTAATCCGTTGATCCGGTCATCTATGGTCCTGCTTTTCGGAAAATCTGAGAAAAAATAGAAAGTTAATGGACTTAGAAGTGAAGGATTGAGCACGTTTCTGCAATTGCACTTTTCGGAAATTTGGAAAAGGCGGGAAGTCATAAAAATTGAAAAAAAAAATATTTTTTAATTACAAAATTAACAAATGATGTGGCTTGTTAGAGGATTAAACAACAAACTTTTTGAGGTATCCCACTTCAAAATCAAATAAGAATTGGATAAGTTATGGGCTACAGAGTGCAATGTATACCATTCAAATATACAATTTATGGATAATCTCAGGCGGTTTTTCCTACTTTATCACACATAGTTAAACAAAAACACATGCAACACACAGAAGTGTGTACAAAAAAAACATATAAACAAAAAACAAAAAAAAACACTTAGACAACCGAGGAGGAGGAGGACCAGGAGCAACTCAGGATAACTAAGAACTTGGCATCTTGAGTTTGTTGCTTTGGAGGAGTAGCTTAAATATCCAAAATTCTTCTGGTGGATGCTGGCTGAGAGCACTGTGTTGAGGACCACTTTGGAGGATTAGGACCGAGGATCAGGAGCGAGGATTAGAGAGGAGAAGCAGAATGTACCAGAACCAGTTCATCTACTCCCGGGAGCGGCGTCGCTTCGGGCGGCAGTGCCGCTTCCAGGACCGCAACGAGCTGATGGTCAGCGTGCATCCGAGTGGCCGCCAGCGGCTGAAGTACATAATGCGCAACCCGACCACGGAGTCCACCCAGCTGAGCCGCCAGATGGCGCTCACCGTGATGGAGACGGAGAACGTGACCCTGGACCATCGCGGGATGGAGCACTTCGAGGGCGGCTGGCCCAAGGAGGTGAACACCAACGACGAGGAGCAGACGATGCGCCACCGCAAGAAGGTGGAGCGCGAGGACAGCTGGGGCGAGCAGGTGCTCCAGATCATCCGCACCACGATGCGCGTCGCCGAGCAGAACAACACACTGAACATCTACCAGGACTTCTTTGCCGATCTGCCCGCCGAACTGGCCCACGATCTGCGGATGCGGTTCCGTGCGCGGGTGGCCAACGTCTTCCACGACCTGTGGCTGCCCTCGCGCCGCCTCACCTCCATCGAGTGGATGCCGAACAACGAGCGCCAGTTCATGACGCAGTTCAGCAACCAGTATCCGAAGGGCGAACGCCTCCGTTTGCTCACCGAGGAGCCCTTCGGCGAGACGAACGCCTTCTTCGTGTGGGACGTGAAGAATCCTCTGAAGCCGAAGATCTCCTATGACAGCAAGGAGGCGGTGTCGCTGGCCAAGATCTGTCCGAAGGACGAGAACAGCATGGTGGGCGGCACGGTGCTGGGCCAGGTCTGCCTGTGGAACACCTTCAAGGGCGACATGCCCCTGTGGAACTGCCCGCTGGAGGTGTCCCACAGGGAGACCACCTCGGCCCTCTGCTGGGTGCACTCCAAGTCCAACACGGAGTTCTACTCCGGTTCGCTGGACGGCTCCATCAAGTACTGGGACACCAGGGACCTGAAGATGCCCATGCAGGAGCTGCTGCTCGAACCGGAGCCGAAGGAGCGACAGCTGAGGGCGGATGCCCACGGCGTGACCGTGCTGGAGTTCGAGTACACCATCCCGGTGCGGTTCATCATCGGCAGCGACATGGGTCACGTCTTCGTGGGGAATCGCAAGGGGATGACGCCCTCGGAAACGCTGCTCGCCCATTACCCTCTGTTCGCCGGACCCATTCGGAGCATCAACCGGAATCCGTTCTTCGTGAAGAACTTCCTGGTGACGGGGGACTGGCGGGCGAGGGTCTGGTCGGAGGAGGCCAAGGACGGGCCGTCGACCATGTACTTCCGGAAGAACACGCAGATCGCGTGCGGCGCCTGGAGCACCGGTCGCTGTTCCCTCTTCGTCACCGGCGACATGGCCGGCGTGGTGGACTTCTGGGACCTGCTGCTCCACCAGCGACTGCCCATCCTGTCCATCGACTTCAAGGTGCCCATCGCGGACGTGGTCTTCCGGCCGGACGGCGATCTCCTGGCCATCGCGCTCAGGAACGGCGACAGCTACATCCTCACCCTGGACGAGTCCATGCGGCACTCCACCACCAAGGAGAAGGCTCTCATGGCGGCGGTAAGGGTTACTCCTCCCTAGCAGAAGGATTGGGGAGCTCAGAACCACGGGTATCCAATACTTCGGCTCTACCCGAAGGGCATCCTTAGAATGAGGTGATTCCGACTTATATTTTGCCACTATAAATGTTTTTAGCCACCCAATAATCGCATGTTTTAGGATCATCTAGTTTGTGAATATTCTTATATCTTATATCATAGTTTATAACTCTGCAAGGGTTGGGATATTTAGGGGTATCTAATATTTCGGCTCTATCCGAATGGTAACCTTAGAATGAGATTATTTTGATTCATATGTATAGTGGCTACACTTAGTCATCCAACAATCGCATCACATTGCAACCCTTTTAGGTTCATCTAGTTTATGCACTTTCTTTTACAAGTGTTTACTCATATATCATAGTTTATAAGTTAGCAAGGGCTGGTATTTTTAGCAGGAATTAAAGAGCATTAATAAACCCATAACCTTCTGTTCTATTCAGATGTTCGAGCGAGAGATCGTGAGGAGCAAACTATTGGAGGCTCGCTACGATGAGGTGAAGCTGAAGCGGAAGACCCAGCTGAAGCTCGAGGAGGACCGCCTGCGGCAGGAGCAGGAGCTGGCACCCATCCTCGAGCTGGATCCCGACAATCCCGACCAGTTCGTGATGATGATCGAGGGCGACGAGCAGTTCCGCACGGCCATCAGCGACTTCCACGACACGATTCTCGCCGTGGAGAAGAAGCGATCCAAGCGGCAGGTGATCATGGAGCGCACCGTCTTCGAGGAGTGGAACCCGGCCGACGAGAGGCTCCAGGGAGAGCCCATAGTTTACCAGCAGCCCGATCAAAGGTCGCAGACGCGCTCAAACCAGGATCAAAGGAGCTCACCACGGAGGTTCTCGCAAGGATCCACCAGGAATCAGTGAACACAATCCCCGATAGAAACTAGAAACTGGAAACTGGATGTTCAAATTGTGATGTGTGTAAAATAAAAATGAAATCTTTCTTTTTTTTTATTAATCTATGGAGAGTGTGCTTGTGTTTTATGATATGATATATGATATGATATATGTATATTTTTTACTGACCAAAGCGAACCGCATTCGCATCAAATCTTGAGAAAACTCACCTTAAAGCGTAAACAGTAACAGCCACTTAAACTTAAACATCGGACACATTAAGCCAGCTTCTTTGGGTCAAACGAGCGAGACGAGACTTTATCACTTAGTGGATTACTCTTTGGAGACCTTTATTATACGACCAACACAATTAGCCCGACCAACGTTCGCCTTTAATTAAGTAACAACCTTTTTCTAACAGCCAAACAGCCAAACAGCTAAACAGCTGAACAGCCAGAGCTCGGTTAGCTTAGTTCACTTTTCGTGCATTAATTAGTTGCACTACTCCACTACTACTATTTCTACTTTACACGGCAATTAAGAGGTTACCCCCTCTTAAAAGAAAAAAAAGGAAAACTATTAAGCTATGTGATCTAGTGGGGAAAGCGGGGGGCTTTCTTTGCAAGAACTTCTGGAAGAACTTGTGGAAGAACTTCTGGAGGAACTTCTGGATGAACTTCTGGATGAACTTCTGGAAGAACTTCTGGATGAACTTCTGGATGAACTTCTGAATGAACTTCTGGAAGAACTTCTGGAAGAACTTCTGGAAGAACTTTTGGAGGAACTTCTGGATGAACTTCTGGAAGAACTTCTGGATGAACTTCCTCTCTAGATCTTATCGGTGTCCACTCCCGTGTCGAGGAAGTCGTTCACGAGTCGCATCGCCTTGCGGGGAATCAGGCGACCGATCTTCTCCACGGCGACGAAGTGGCGGGGAATCGCTGCCTCCTCCAGTCCCTGGCGCTGGGCCTCGATGATCGAGGCGGCGGCCACCTCCGGGGAGATCAGCTTGAAGAGCTTGGGGAACCGGTAGCGGGGGTTCTTGCACAGACCCGTGTCGATCATGTACGGGAAGATGGTGGTCAGCTTGATCTGTACGAATGAAATGGAAATAATAACATAGTAAATAGCATTCTCAATAAAAACTAATATTAAATAGCCAAAGGTTAGCTTGAACTGCAAGATGGATACGATGCATATAATAACAAACAATAAGTAAATAAATAAAAATAAATATGAAGTTCAGATGCACAGAATAGAATGTTCAACCCGCTTAAAAAGAAGGCTGTGTAAAATACCTTTCAGAACTTTAATTCGCTGGCAATAAACCAGGTTTCTTGATTATATTTGATGCTCTTTTTATAGCCACCTCAGCTTGGCTATCACGAGTGACTAATTGATGATTAGTAAGTGTATAGTGCGGTACTCACGTTGTTCTGGGGATTCTTCTGGCGCAGCTCCTCCGCGAGGGCAGCCATGTAGCCGCGGACGGCGAACTTGGTGCCGCAGTAGGGCACCAGGTTGATCAGACCGAAGAGTCCTGCGCAGGAGGAGAGTGCCACGATGCTGCCCTCGTTCCGCTCGATCATGTCGGGCAGGAAGGACTGGATTATCTGTGGATCGAGAACATAATGCATAAGTTACACTATATATATTAAATATGCTGGTAGTTACATTAAATATCATAAAGGCATCAGATATCAGTGCATGTTTAACATTAGAAGATTATTATTATCATGGTTAAATAAATTTAAAAAAAAGGAAAAACAAATTTCTGGAAAGGGATTGAACTCACATCTGGATTGTTATCTTGCTTATTTCAAAAAATGTTTGGGATCTATTCAAGATATACATATTTAGATATATATATATTTAGATTTATAGATTGTTTAGAATTGTAGAATGTAAAGATATTTTTTGACTAAGAACAAATAAATACAAAAAAAAAAATTAAGAAAAAAAATTCTGGAAAGCTATGAGGACTGATAACTTGCTTATTTCAAAAAATATTTAAATTCTATTCAAGTTATGAATAATCAAGTGGATATATAAATACATACAGCTGTGTTCATAATAATAGCAGTGCTGATGACGTACATGTTTAAGATCGAAAAAGCATAGTATAAACACTAAATTGGGACAAATTAGGTTTACATCAACATAATATATTTAATTTTAATCATGTTAACATTTATTTCAGTTTAATTACTCCATTTTTTTTCGAAAATATAGATAATAACAAAATAATACCGATAAAATGTGGTGTTCATAATAATAGCAGTGTTACCAAAAAAAATTAAAAAATTCAACAAATCTTAAAAATAACTTAATGCAAATAACAATAATGATAAATATTATCTAATGTTTTGTCGTAAAACCTTTATTGGCTATTACAGCTTCACACCTACGTGGCATGGAGTCCACCAAGTCCTGGCAGCGCTTGGGGGGAATCTGCGCCCACGCGTCCGGTACAAATTGCCAAAGCTGCGACTTTGAAGTCGGGGATTTCTTTGCCACATATCACTTGATGTCCCCCCATAAATTTTCAATCGGATTTAAATCCGGGGACTGTGCTGGACACGACATTACATCAATGTTTTCTTAAATAAACCAGCTCTTATCCAATTTGCTGGTATGTTTTGGGTCGTTATCCTGCTGGAATGACCATTTTAAGGGCATATCCCACTGTGCATAAGGAAGCATAACATTTTTGAGTATGTCCACAATGACGTGTTGGTCCATGATCCCATAGATCATATGTATGCGACCCACGCCGCTGTACGAAAAACAAGCCCATACCAATATTTTAAGGCCACCGTGCTTAACGGTCTTAAGAGTGTGGTTTGGGTGGTACTCAGTGTTTGGGGGGTCGTCGGACATACTGTCTTGAGCCTCTCCCACCAAACAAGACCAGTTTGGACTCATCTGTCCAAAGAATATTGCGCCATTTCGTCACTGGCCAGTTCAAATGGCTTTTGGCAAACTCCAATCCAGCTTGGATATGCCTTTTACCAAGTAATGGCACCTTTCGGGGGCTTCGCGCATTAAAATTTCCATTTACTAATCGAAGGCGAATGGTGACGTCGCTGATCCCCAACTTCAGCTCCACTTTTACATCCCTAGAAGATGCAAGAGGATTCGCTTTGCTGAAGCACACTATTCGTCGATCCTTAATATCGGTTGTTTTTCGTTTGGGCCCCCGTGTTTTGGCCTTCCAATCATATTTAAATGGCATTGGATGTCAAAAATGGCATTGGATACCATTTTGGTAAAACAATTTACCATATCTTGGATTTGTTGATAGGTTTTTCCCTGCTTTCTAAGCTGAACTATCAACTTCCTCTCTTCCTCTGAACAGTGTTGTCCTCTACCCACTAAAATTAAAATTTTTGCATGGTTATTGTGTATTTTTATTTAAATTATATTAATAAACTCAAGCAGACTCACTTTTTGCAAAATTTTTAATGTTTTCGGCACTTTTTGTGGATTAAAATGAAAAACTGCTATTATTATGAACAGCCAAAAACTTGTGATTTTGCACAAGAATGTCCAAAAAACGAAAATAAAAAGCAAATCTAATGGAACTTTTTTAGTTTTCCTATCTCTGTATTCCATTTTACAAAAAAAATGATTAAGCGATCAACTAACGAAAAGGAATATGCTAAAATTACCGTTGTTTTACTTCGTTGCTCTTGCACTGCTATTATTATGAACACAGCTGTATATAGTTAAATATTCCTATATGTCATATGAATGTTAAGATATTTTTGGGTAAAACAAAGAAAGTTTGATGATGACTCACCCAGTAGTGCGAGATGACGTTGATGTCGTACATGAGGCGGATCTCGGACTCGGTGTGCTCGAGGAGGGGGTGGCAGGGCATGATGCCGGCGTTGTTGACCACCACGTGGACGAAGCCGTGCTCCTTGCGCACCTTCTGGGCCAGCTCGATGAGCTCCTCCCGCTTGGTGACGTTGCACACGTAGCCGAACGCCTTGCCGCCGCTTTTCTGGATCTCCTTGACGGTCTGGTTGTTCGTCTGCTCGTTCACGTCCCAGCAGAGGATGGTGGCGCCCAGCTTGGCGTACTGCAGGGCCATCTGCTTGCCCATGCCGTGGCCCGTGCCCGTGATCAGGACCACCTTGCCGCCCACCTCCTCGAGGGGCGCCGGCCGGAAGAGGCCCACGACGGACTCGACGATCGCTATCCAGAACTTGACCACCAGCAGCAGGATGTCCACCACCAGCAGGAAGATGTTGTACACATCCATGCCGTTGGCGTTGTTGCCGTTGCCAGCACTGCAAAAAAGGGAAGAATATAAAGGGTAATATTAGTAATGAATTTATAAAAAATATATATAATATATATCAGGCTATTCGCAATTCACACACCCTTTTCACAAGCTTTCCATTTTATTTAACTGAAACTTTCCTGGTGATCATAAATTTACTTTACTTCCAGAATGAACTACATGTAGTATATATAATCATGTAATGTATATAATCATATAATATATATAATCATATAATATATAATATATAGTATAAATCAGGCTAAATTCAATTCACACACCCTTTCCCCAAGCTCTTCATTTCATTTAACTGAAACATTGAACTTCACTGCTGATCATAAATTTACTTTATTTCCAGAATGAACTTTTAACTGGTGTATTAACACTATCTCATTACACTCACGTGCTAAGTTTAACATCAAATTATAGGTTTCTTGCCCTTTTCGCACAATAATATATAAACAATATATAATATATTATATAAACTGACTTGCAAATTGTAACCAAATAAATACACTTTTTAGGAAAACCAAATTTTCAGTTCGAAAATGATGAGATTTTTTTGGGGAAGTGCGTGTTTCTGCTAGTTGGACTTTTGATCTGAGCATCGTAATCATCAAAGGGAGTAAGTGGAGCAGAGTGGAGCGGAAAGGAGATGAACTCGGCCCAAATGTAACCGCAATGTCGGATCTTGCATGACCCACAGCCATTTGAATTGCCGCTTGAATTGCGAGTGTGCGTGTGGTACAAGTCATATCTCACAGAAAGCGACATCGGATGACCTTCGACATCCTCGATTCATCTTTTTCTGAAGCTACACCGGAAAAAGAGATCGTAATTCCACAATTTTAAGCCACTTTTCCTTGGATCTGACTACACGGTGCACTGCAACCAACAAGAAGCCATAAAGAGCTACAAAATAAACACAATCTTACTAATGAACTTATAATAAAAATGCAATTTGAGCACGTTCACTTAATGTTTCTCTAATGAATCACAATCTCAAGTTTTTATTTTGGGTTTAGTTACAAACAGATTCCACGGAAGTTGTTCCCCCACAAAATAAAAAAGGGCGGTAAATGTGGGAGGTCCACGCCTTTTTTTTTGTTTTTTCCCAGCTCATGTTCTGTAATTATATAGTTATATATAGTTGGCTGCAGCTGCGTGAGATCTTGATAATGCCAAACTGTTTCCAGCTTTCGGTTTGATTTTGTTTTCTGGTCTGTTTGTATTTCGATCAGCAAAAGCAAGCTATATATATATGGGTATATATTAATATGCTATATGCCCAACCAGATCGTGCCACCAATTTGACCACCCATTTGACCACGGCCTCGGATCCTCTCGCTCGCTCTCCCCCACTTTCCTTAGGCGGCGTCTCGCTCGCGCATTTCACTCTTATCACCGCACTCCTGGAATGCTATTTATAGTAGGTCGATCGGACCAGAATCGGACTGAACAGCCCACCTATGAGTGTCTATAGTTCCAAACAAATGCACAATCGAAATAGTTTAACGCCTCAGTGGCAACAATTTTTTTTTTTTTTTTTTTTCGCACTCAAAAAGCAGATCATCCGTAAATAATATAGTTTTGGGTTCCTAAGTATTCGCTTCATTAGATAAATAATAAAAGAAAAACAAAAGGCTTATCATTAGGAAATGTTGAACAAGAGTTCTTTGAAGTAGGTATTATCCAGTTATCGGAAATGGATATTCCCCAAACCCGCATAAGTCCTCCCGCATTATAATCCTTTCGTTCTGTGGCAGTTGAGAGCTGATAACCGAACACGATCTTTGGTCAAGGTTCGCGGGGCAATTTGGAATAGTTAGTTAAGTTAAACTAAGTCGGTTGAAGGTGATTTCAGCGCTCAAGTGCGCTGATCCAGATTGCACAACGGTCAAAGGTTGTCGCGATTATCAAGACCATCGTCATTATCGTCCATTTGTGGATATGGGTTACTCAAATATTCTGGGTGGGGTTACGCCCACTGAACCCTGTTCCTGGGCAGTAATACCAGAGTTCGAGATAAGGTGCCTTATCGCCGACAAACACTATGTTGCACTACATGTGTACAGTTCACTTGATAAGATATTTCCGATCCGATCTCACTCCCACAATCTCCCTACTAACTTTCTCTTTATTTGATTTGTGTGTTGCCAACCGCTGGGACTAACTAACCTTTGCGACACTTTCGACATTCTGTTACGGCCTGGGGGCTATATCCTTAAAGGATCGTACGGGTATATAGATGATCGGAGCAGCCGGAGCAAACCGTTAGCGGCTGTTAACGAATTCGGACTGAATAATATTCAGCAAAGTAAACACTACGCACCGTACCGCCGTGCCGGTCTTATAAGTTATTATTTCAAATCTACTCACTCACACACTCGTTTTTCGTTTTCGTTTTCCCAGTTTTTTTTCAGTTACTATATGGTACACGAACTTGTAGATAAACTCTGCCGCCGGCGACGTCGGCTGCGGCAGCGACGCCGACCGCAGCAGCGACGCCGACCGAAGAGCGCTCCACAAAACACGACTACGACATATGTTCAATGGCGCTGCTATTCCGATTTATTCCATTACAATCCGATCCGATCTATATGGAACGACATCCATACTGTGCAACGGTTTCCATATAACACACACTTGGCACACTCACCCACACACACACACACAAAGGCACACACTTACAGCGGCTAATCGGGCTTCGATAATAATACCCCACAGTGGGGGGCTCTAGTGCGAGGCCCGTAAAAATATATACATTTATCATATATGAAGGGAGAATATAGCCGCATGTGTCATATATAAATACAGGCAGAGCGGCGGAGTTTACGACCCAGATCGTTCAGATATCCAGACACTTAAAGCGCCAAAGATGCCAAAGATGCCAAAGGGAGGAAAAGGGGGGAAAGGGGAGGAAAAGGGGGAAAGGAGGGAAAAGGGGGAGAGATCGGGAAAGGATGCAAAACGCAACGCTTAAGCAGATTCATGGATTCACAGATATATAACACAAAAGTCGCTCCCGATCATTATACAGTTTCAGTCGCAGTTCAGATCGGTTCACCGAGTTACTCTTCTATTCTATTCATATTTTTTGTAATTTTTGTTCGACTCAGCATGACCACAGCGAAATCGGAGATAAGGACTCCAAGATAATCTATAGTCCCCATTGAAGTTTAACATAAGCTAATCGGGAAAACAAAAAACCACAATCACAAAAATTTTTACATTTTAATAATAGAAAAATATATATAATTATTATTGAGTAGTGTGTAAATTATAGCTCTTTCAATTTTAAATTTTTAAATAATATTTTGTAAATATTTTTGCACTTTTTCTCAGTTATTTCCCACTGTGCACTACTTGACCCCTGGGACAGCTTAACTTGCGATTAGATTGGAGTCCTTCCCACATGCCAGCTCACCATGATCAGTCAGTTTGGCACAAGAGGGCAAAAGTATTGGGCTCCACGAAAGCGAAAACATTGCACCCGCCGAAGAATCAACCGCGTAGAACCCAACCCACGTCGATAGGTTATAAATAAGTTCGATTAGTCACAGAAGTTGCCAATAAACGTGCCGCCACATATAGTAAGGTCCCAGTATTATATAAGCCCCATTCACTGGCTTTACCTGTAATTGAAAGATAATACCGACTTGTTAGCGACTTCAAGTGCGCAAGGTTTATCCGCAATCTTGTTAGACAGATGCATATTCCTATAATTATTTATACGACCAGTTATAACCCAACAAGAACTTCCAGTTTTCCGATCAATTTTCCTCCTATGTTTTTCACTAGGCAATAAAAAATGTAAACTTGGCTTTAATTGCATTTATTTTATAAATTATTGACTTATCGTGGTTTAATGTTGTTTACTAATAGCTTAATTAAATGTTAATAAGTGAGATAAATTAGCTATAATACTTACTGTATACACTTGTCAGTTGCTTTTCAACTTTTGAACTTTGTTTGTAATCCATAATCAACATTTGTTCGGGCTACTCATTAATCATAGGCATTGTCTGCCTTTTAAAACACCTGACAACAAGTTGATATAAATAAAAGTTTTAGAACAAATAAACATTAGGTTTACATTTAAATGTGACTTTTGTGGTTTAAATATTTTAGTTATTGGGAAGTTCGCTAAAGTGTATCGAACGTTTATACATTGCTTGAGGCAAATGAAACACATTCAAGGGCAGCATCTTCCTTTCCGGGGAATCGCACTTGGCGACCGTATAGTGTTCAGCATGTGGCACTCATTCCGGTTCTCCGGCAATCCGGTCCACCTTCCAATCGCCAAGTGCAGCGGCAAATGGCATGGAGCCAACGGTTCCGAGTGGAACGAGTAGCACAGGCGTTTGGGCGTTGCATGAATGCATCCAATGCATCCAATAGATAAACAAGATTCGTGACAATTCGCCACTCGGCTGGCTGGCTGGCTGTTCATCCATATAGTCTATATAGTATAGGCATATATAGTTGTGGATGCGGCTGGCTAATCGAATAAATTAGCTCGCATTACCGGACCGGTTGGCCTATCCGACCGACCGACCGACTACTAGCTACTACTGCTACTCATTGTTTCACCCGAGACCTGCACAAATATGACGCCTTGACAGCTCATCCGTCTCCGGAGTCCGCAGTGATCCCAATGTGGATACGTGCCAATTGCCGATCGCGAATTGCCAATTGCATCTGTCGACGGCCAGCCACTTGCCCCCAAGTCGTCGTGGGTCGCGGGTCGGGGTCACCTCCACAATCGTCCAACTATCCAACTAACCATCTAACCAGCCGCCATCGATCGCGCTTCACGTCTGGCCATTAATCGGGGTCACCAGTTCAAGTGTGATTTACGATTGGCTCCCTGGTAACCAGCTACTTAGTTTGCACGCCACTTTTCGCTAAGAAGGGAACTCCACATTTCCGAAATATGAATCAACAAGAAATCAACTTCTGACTGATATTATAATAAATATAAAATTATAATAAATATAAATTATAAAATTATATTGTATTATATTGAATATTTGAATTGCTTTTACACGGCCACGTCATCACTAAATTTAAAAAAAATGGTACTCACCTTATTGGGTTTGGAGGCACTCCATCCTGGAGTGCAGTAGAAGCAGGAAGGGATCAGCATCGCCTGCATTCAGAATTAGTTTATAAAATAATTAAATTTATTAATTGCAAAGTATGTGATGATGCACTGCATCCTGGAGTGGAGTCCAGTAGAAGGAACCACTTCACAAGCACACACACACTTCCACAAACCAAAAACAGTTTCTCAGAGGAACTGCCGGTCATCCCGGAGAACTGAGGAATTGGCCAAAATCAACCCCTATCCCACTAAGATTCGACCAGAACCAGTTGAGAATTATAGGTGCAAGAAATAATACAAAACATTTAATTACCATTGCCGATGACGTGGCGATTGCCAATGTAAATAACATAACATTTACATTACATTAACATTAAAAATTACAATTAATGTTAACTTAATGTTATCTAACATTTTTCAGGTGTTAAATTCTCAACTTACAAAATGTTACATTTTCCATTTAGCATGTTAATTTGCAGAAATAGATTCAGATCGAGATGCTGATGAATATATATTCCTTATACCCTTTGCAAGGGTATAAAAATGTTTTTAATATGACGCACTCTCAGTTTAATAAATAAGTCACACATTCCCAAACAAATTTTTTATTTTCATTCGATAATAAACATGACAAATTCAAAGATACTTAGAAGCATTACTCACTGTAAATAATCTTTAAACTTACAGTCACTTCAAGTTAGTTAAATAATAGTCAACTAGTCAGTTTGTCTTTAAAGTTGTTTACCAAACAAGTTGTGTTACTTTAAACAGATAAAAGTATCAACAAATTCAAAACAGAACTGTGTTGTATGTCATTGATAAAATATATAACAAATTTAAACAAATTTAATTTAATTTATAATCGTTTGCAGATCACACCTGCAGCGTTGAGAAAAAGGAAACCACCGCACTGTCCGTGGGAAGACATTGTCCAAAGGCTTCGATTAGCAGGGGCTCAGCTGTGACCGTGCCCATAAAGTCCTCCAAGGATACCTGTCCAGGATGCCAATCAGCTCAGTTATTTGAAGGGAGGCACTTAATCCTGAAGAGATCCCACTTAAGGTCCGCCACTCACCTTGCCGTCCTTGTCCAGGTCGAACTTTTTCAACACAATCTCGACGAGGTCCTTGACTCCCTCGTCGGGATCTTCGTCCTGCGGCTGCTTGATCAGGCAGTTCCTCAGCAGCGTGAACATCTCGTCCTTGGTGATGAAGCCATCGGTGTTCAGATCGTAGACCCGGAAGCAAAAGGCCGCTCGTTCCGCCGGCGTTCCCCGCAGGAAGGTGGAGAGTCCAATGAGCCAGCCTTCCAATCGAAGGGGCAGTCCCTCGTGGGCCTTGTCCCAGCTGCAGAAGATGCGCTCCATCAGGATCTCCTCGGTGACGATGTCGAAGGTGCTGTGCAGGAGCTCTCGGAACACGATTCGATCGATGCCCTGGTTATAGTATTTTAGGTTTAGTAAGAGGTTTATGTTAGTTAATAATGATTTAATTAAAGCAATATACTTTACACGAAGCATAAACATAAGTTTCATTAAAAGGGTTTGCATTTGTATGCAGGAGTGGGATAAACTTTGAAGTAACCCATAAATTAAATACAATTCAGTTAATCAATCACTAAAATGTGATTGTTAACTAATAACAACAAAAACTAAATTAGCCATGGACTTCATACGACACCAAAACATGACTTACAAATAAAATGAATAAAATAAAAATGCTTTCAATGAAATTTAACATACTATATATATATATATATATATATATATATATTTTGTATGCAGGGATAAGATATATATTTAAATAAAATTCAATTAATCAACCACTAAAATGTGTATGTTAACTAATAATGTAAGTTAATAATATCCTTCACACGAAACAAAAACAAAAGATTCATTGAAAGCGTTTTAATTTGTATGCAGGAATAAGACAACATATAAAGTAAGCTTTAAATTAAATAAGATTTAATTAATTAATCCGTAATTACCTCCACTGCGGCATGGGGCTTGGCAATCGCGGCGCTCGAGGAGCTGGAGGCCAGCGTCTTGGCCGCGTACTGGCAGTTGGACACCAGCTTGCGATAGATCCTGCACAGGGCGTCCAGTTCATCCCTGTGAGGATTAGCAAGTGTTAGCCTGTTAGCTTGAAACTCCCCTGATCCCTAATCCCTGATCCCTAATCCCCAATCCCTAATCCCAGATAGTATGGTATGGCGTGGGCAACTCACTTGGTGAAGCGCGTCTTCTTGCGCAGGCTGTCCAGCAGCTTGGGGTTCACCTTGCCGCTCAGCTCGTCCATCCTCCGTTGGCGCTGCTGGCGCTTGTTCTGCAGGGCAGCCGCCGCGTTCTTCGACTGCTGGTTGCTCGAGTTGCGCTTGCCGCTGGCGAGGAACACCGACACCGTTTTCAGTATCGTTTTGTTGGCATGTAGTGTGGATCTGCCGCCGCTGGTTGTGGCGCCTCCGGTTGCTGTGGGTGCCGCTGCTCCACCACCACCACCACCTGCGCCACTCGTTGCCCCACCATCCCGATTGGGTGTCGGTGTTGGCGAACGCCCCTTGCCGCCGCCAGCTTTTCCTGCAAACAAAAAAAAAGGGGGTGGGGAGGGGGGGAAGTCGTGGTAATCGCGGGCTAAATAAGAGGAGAACTTGCCAGTTACTTGGGTGCGTGTCTCGGTGTCTGGGTGTCTACTGTGGGTTGCTGGGTTGCTACTTTATGTGTCAAACTCGACACGCTCAACCCAGCTACCTTCCCCCTCCCCCTGCCCCCTCCACCCTTTTGAGCCCACTCCAGCTCAGAGTTGGCCAGCAAAGCGCTGTCTGAAGTAGCATGTATAGCATGTGGAGCAGGGGCAGAGCAAACAAAAGGCCCCAAATGCAAATGCGCCCCATCCAAATGGGTAATAGCGTTCACATTCTGCCCATGAATCGCTTTGGCTGGCTACTTCGATTCAAGTACACTGCGAGAAACCAATATTGGAGGGACTATTCACGTTCTTTTCACGGATAAATGCCACATGCCAAATTTAAAAGGTGATTTGATAACTATTATATAATATATTGTTATAGTTGAGATTCTAAACTGGGAACTTTGATTTCAGTTTACTTAAAAGTTATCCCACTTACAGAGTTTCTGGTGCAAAAGTGTCGCACCCCGACTTTTTGTTCAGTGCACTCATTTACTTTTGTGCTCACTTTGATTTCAATCTGCGCCCATACAACAGAATGCACTCCTCCTCGCGAACAATGTTATTGTTTTGTTTAGTTGTTTAGTTGTTTCGATGTGTCGTGCTGCCTTTGGGAAAAAATGTTATTATCTTGTGATTACCCAAATAAAAATGAGTTGGGGGGCCCGTCTGTCTATCCATCTGCCTATCTGTCTGTTTATGACCGCCTCCGCCGACCCGAGGCACTATAATTTTATTAGCATTTCCATTTGCCTTGGGCGCTTTAGTCCTCGAGGAGCGTCTGTCTAGAGTCCATGTTCTCGTACGGCAAACGGGATACGGAATACGGCATACGGTTTCATGTAATTTGTTGATATCGGTTGCCACGGGCCATCCACCCACTCACCCACAATCACACCCACATTTACTCCCACTCCACTCGACCACCGATGGGGCAAATAAATCAGACATGTTTGGACCCGGCAGTCCGTCAACGGGTTGCACATGGCACTCCACCTCCTCCACTGGAGAATGCAACTGCCTATGGGTGCGCCTGTTCCATGTGCAACATCTGTCTGCTGTTCCCCCAATCACACATGACACAGAGCACCTGGTCGGTCGCCTGTGTCCCCGCCTGTTTGTGTTGGCCAATCCCTCGGAATGCTAGCCATTCAGTCAGTGCGATTCAGTCGCGATTGGCAAGCCAAACGAAGGGATCTCCTCCAGCGGAAGCACGGACTCCATTTTCCAGGCTGAGTTTACTTCAAATTTTGAATCCTTCATTTGCACCTCTAGAATATTAAGCCACAATTCCACCTTTACGAACAGGATTAACAACTTTAAAAGGAACAACAAATTACATGCTTTTAGAGGTTCTTTTTTCCCAAGAATTGAATCACAAATATTTACTTTGAGTTCGGATCAGAATTGGTAAAGTAATGAACTCTGGAAGTGCAGTGTTAGGCCATATTGAAAACCAATGGATACTTGAAAAACTTTGACATAAAGAGGGGTAAGCAAATTAAACTTCACCAATTTAAAGACTCTAAGGCAGTTTGTTAAGAGTTCGATTACAAGCATTCAACGCTAAGAGAGAAAGAACCCAATACTTGTAGAAATCTACCACAAACATTTACATAACATAATACATAAGTGAGTATAAAGGTATTCAATTCCCTGTTTTGTTTACTAATATTTTTCCACGGTTCTATACAAGTTGCAGGAGGGCTCAAAGTTGGAGCAGCAGAACCAGGCACGCCGAAATTATTGGTTTTCCAAGTGAACGCGCAATGCAACTGGCAACTGACATTACATCACAGAAAGACGTGACTCCGGATCCGGATACGGATAAGGAACTTATTTTACTGCTGTAACTTCAATGAGTTCGACTTTTGGCAGGAACTCCCCTTTTGGCCAGAAAGTGGAATTTTAGCCCGCAGTGGCGAGGACCAACTTGCGTTCAACTATTTGGCAAACTTGGTGCACTTTTGCTGGTGGGCGCAGTAAAGTATGCTACGCCCGGAGTAATTACAGCTCAACACAGTTACATGGGTACACACACACACAGAGCTTTGAGCTGCTCTCACACACACACATGCACGGAATGTTGTTGTTATTGCTTTTTAAATAGATCTTTAAAGTAGATACCCATGGCTTCGGTGGCAGTTGTTGCTGCTGCTGTTGTTGTTGTTGTTTTGATTGCCCGATTAACTCCACGCAGGAGCGTTAAAACCGTGTCCCTCGGCCCTTGGGCCAAAAAAACAAATGGGGGAAAACGGTAAAAACAGAAAAGCAGAGGCACAAACAGAATCAGAAAGAAATGGGCGAATAGGAAATCAACAAACGCGCCACTTTCCACCACTGGAGTTTCCAAGGCGTTGACATTCCCCAGGCATTGTCAGTTGGTCTAGGTAAGGAGTAACTGCCCCGCCTCCCTGCCCCTCCATGGATGGATTCTATATTGCCAAATGGGGCGGGGGCGGGGGCGGGGCGGTCGCGGTGCCAGGCGAACGAACGAACATCCAACAAACATCCAATTCAACTATTGACAAAACAAGGCCAAGAAACGGGCGTTACTTTCTTTTCTTTCGTTTCCTGATTTTTATTTGTTAGATTTCACTTGTTTGTAACAACATGTTTCTTTTGTTTTTCTCAATTTGTTTTAATTTGTGTTTACTATTTTATACTCGTCATTATCATCATAATCATCAATCCCCCTTGTCCACTGGGGCTTACTTCCTTCCATTCGACTTCGATTGCTTGAATTACGTTTCAATTATTGTGTATCCTGATAGATATAGGCATATATACGGTGTGTGTGTGTGTGTGTGAGTGTGTGTGTTTAACTTATATACAACTATCAGATTACTCATTAATTCTGCTTATAGACTTAAGCATAAGTATTGTTATAGTGTTAGTACACAGTACAGTAGATCGGTAGTGTCTATATATATGCACTTTAATTTGATTTCGCTTAAGACCCCTCTAAGACCAGACCCTCCTCCACATCCATGCCATGGCTATGGGTCATCCTTGAATCCTCCAATTAACAATTTTGAGGAGCGAAAGCGAAAGAGAGAACAAATGATCAAGTAAATGTCGCGTAAAAGCAAAATGTATTATATTAAGAAAAAAAAAACAGAGTTGGTTTTGGCTTAAACACGGGTGGCATAAGTTAGACAATAAGGGTTATTGCATTTAATTAATTACACGATCAATTCGAATCCTATTTTAAAACATTACATAATAACCGTACGATAATATTAATTAACAAGAAAAAGAACTGCAACGTTTATTCTGTCTGTTCCACGTAATCGTCTCCAAACGCTTCCTCTAGGATTTGTCTTGGTTTTCTACTTTAGTTCTATTTAGTTTCGATCGTTTACATTACATTTTTTGTTTTATTTTCTGTTTCTGTTTTTTTTTTGTTTTTGTTTTTGTTGTTCTTTTTAGGGTTTTTGGCAGGGACAATGCTGCTAAGTCGGATGATTTACTGAAAAAACATATAATGTGGCAATGGGAATCCTACAAAACGTGTTCACAAATAAACAAAACAAACAAACAAACACATAAAGCTGAGGCAGAACAAAAAACAAAAACACATTGCTTCGTTGATCGATTTAAGCGCGGCGATTGAGGCGATTCCTCTGGATTATTGGGTACACATCTTGTGGCAATTCGGTTGTGTGTGTTGTGTGTGGTGTGTGTGGTGTGTGGGGATTCTCCAAAAACATTCCTTTCTGATGGTGGTACTTGTGTTTACGATACGTTTCTATCAACTTGTTGCTTGTTGCTCCAATGCTCAATAAACTCTATGGAACGAACGGGCATCGACGTCTGTTTAATGCCAGATCAAGGCCAAAAGCAAGGCATGTGCACTTACTATTTAACCATTTAAATTGCGCTTGCATCTACGCTTCTTATCTTCGTTTATCTGTTATCTGTTGTATCTGTTGTATCTGCTGTATCTTATGGGTTTTTCTGTTTCCATTCTTTTTGTTTTTGTTCTCCTCCGTTCCGTTTTTGTTGTGGTCTATATTAATAACTGTTACGATCTGTTGCGATCCTTCTTCCTTGCTCCAATCCTTCTTGTTATCAGCTACTGATGGCTAAACTAAGAGTTTTCAAATCTTGTTTTTCTTTCTGCTTACATTAGTGTGTGTATATATATATATATATATTTTTCTGTATGTATATATTTATATGTATGTGCGTGTGTGCGCAGATCATCACACGCCATCGTCGAATCACTTTCTATCTTAAAATCCAATTATCATTTATACTTTATCAATTATATATGCATATATATATATATACATATACATATACGTATACATATATATATTTTGTTGCTTGTTGTTCCGTCGCCAACTGAGAGGGTATTTGTGTGTGGTTTCTTCATCATTATTTTTTCTGCAGTGGGGGCGGAGTCGGGGAGTAGTGGATGTGGATGGGAAAGTGGGAAGTGGAGTGGGGGATAGGGCAAATGGGAGAGGGTATCGAAGCATTTGTATTAGGCTGTTGTCAGTGTTAGTGGAGTCAGCGGTAGATCCGTGGTGGACTGGCGACCCAACCGATATTATAACTCCATGTCCCTGGCCTCGTCCTCGCTGTAGTCGGACATGCTCGACTCGCTGTCGCTGCTCTCTCGCTCCTGCTGCGCCGCCCGCAGCGCATCCTCGGTGGCATACCGCTGCACATAGTCGGCCACCTTGCGATGGTACTCCTCCGGCTCGTGCAGGTACAATGCGGCCGCGTCCCGATTGAGCGGATCGACCGGATTGGGATATGTGAGCAGTTGCGGCAAGAACGATTCGAAGATGTTCGACAGATCGTACAGCGCCGTCCAGGCCTGGTTGATCACATCCAGGCACACCGTGCCGGATGACTCGTCAATGTTCGGATGGTAGATCTTGTTCACAAAGCCGATGCTCGGCGACTTGAACGGGTAGGTGTCGGGCAGGTAGACGCGCACCTTCCACACGCCGCCCTCGTAGGGCGTCTCCGTTGGCCCAAAGAACTTCACGTGGAACTCGTTGAGGCCGCCCAGGATGGTCACCTCGTGCTTCGACTCGATCAGCTTGATCACATCGTTGTCCATGCGTCGCTTTCCGGCACTCGGCGAGGACATTTCGTCGTTTTGGTATTGGAGTTACTCTGGGTTGTCGTCTGGCTTTGCTTTATTTGTTTTTTGATTTGATTGATTTCCGTTCGGTACGGTTCGGTTCCGTTCGATTTGATTTGATTTTGTTTGGTTTGGTTTGGTTTTGGAGTGGTCGTCTCCTCGTTGTCTCGTTTTTACTAAGGCTAAGGCGGTGTTTTGTTTTGTTTGTTGGTTTCACTTTGTTCCGTGTGTATATATGTATATATTGCTAATGAGTTGCTTCCGCATCCCGCTTCCGGTGGCTGCTCTACTGCTCTACTGCTGCTCCTCCGTCTGCCTCCAACTGCTCCGCATTCGTCAACTTTCACTGGCCGCGTCCAGAGCAAAACGGGAGATCCCTGCAAGTGGACACAAGAATGAGCACAGGAAAGGTTATTTTAATTGTAGGCCAGGCAGTCGCCTCACAAGCAGGCTGACATCAAAAACACAGCAAGGCTTTTAAAAACATATTATATATTTTAAAAGATTTTCAAGGTCCTTTTTATTTTACACCTATTATAATGAGTGCAGTGTTTTATTAGAGTTTTTATCTTAATTAGCTTAAAATTTTGAATAAGTACAATAACGCTTGACTTTTCCAATTGACTGGTTAGGGTAAACATTTAAAACTCATTTAAAATAACAGCTACATATGTATTTCATTGGAGTCTGATATGTGATTTGAAGCATATTTTTCTCGCTAACTTGATCCTCTCAAAAAAGGGATTTGGTAAAGGTACAACATTAAGTTCACTAACGGAATTGATTTTAAAATATTTTTAATTACAGGTTAATTTTGCCGCCAAAAGATCGACTTCTTCGAATAGGACTGTGGGACCAGTGGAGGCGATATGATCTGGAGGAGGTCGAGTTACCTTCTGAGTTATCTATATGCAGTATATATATTTATATTCATGGATATGTAGGTCACCAGCGAATCTCATGCTTTTGCACACACATACACACTCGCAGGTACAACAAGCACATGCATACTTGGCCTAAATGAGAAAACTATGTCAGCAGTCAGTGACGTCGTCACCCAAGTCCACCCACTCCCGCTCTCTTTCTCTCACCCCCTTTCTCGCTCACTCTATAATACGTCATTGCCATTTGCAAAATACGTTGTCCTTCGAAACGGATTTGCTCCGCAGATTTATGCTGCATACTTTCGGGATACCGTTAAGCTTAGTCTCCCCATCGCCCCCTCTCTATTTCGCTCCTTCTCTCCTTCACTCACTTGCTCTTGGAGATTTTGTTTCAATTTCAATTCCGTTTCCTTTTGGTAGGCGGTGAGGGGATGGGGCGACAGTTGGTTGGTTGGGTGGCTGTTGTTTTCAAACAAGCTCAGCTGTTTAATGTTGTTGCTCGAAAGTAGCAGAGAGTACAAGAGTAAGAGAAAGAGAGAGAGCGAGAGCTAGTGCAGGCAAGAGAGGCTCCACCATAATCTTGAAATCAACAAATATACAGTGGGAGTTCAGAAAGTTCAATAGATATGCAATATTATTAAAAATAGCATTTAGGTGCTACATTTTTTTTACAAATTAAAAGAAAGGTGTTTTAATTTGTATTTATAGCTCAATACATTTTTTTAAACTTAGTATTTATATTAAAAGGTTTCCCTATTTACCCCACTGTACCTACTGCCATTTTCCCCTGTTCTATGGTTTGCCCCTTTTTATCTCCACCACTCTCCCACTCATTGGGATGAGCTAATTTTGCTGTTACTGCCACGCTCTCCACTCTCTTGCACTTTGTGTGTAAGTGTGTGCTGGCTCCCCCTCGCTCTTACTCTTTTTGGCCACCCCACATCAAAAGTCTTTCCGTTTCTGTCTTTCTGCCACGGTTTGGCTTCGTTAGTTTAACAAATTGTGAAATTCTCTTTCGATTTCTGTGTGTTGTTCGTGTGCAGAGGCGAATTGCTGTCGTCGATTTTGATGTTGTAGTTTCACTGTACGCAATAAGCGAAGTAATACTGTTACTCGTTGTTGTTGTTCCTATTACTTGCATTGCTTTTGTGTAAGACTTGAGTGTGAGTCCACATGGAAGATCACCAAGCAGCAACAACAAAAACAAACAACTACTAACCAAAAAAAAAATTGAGTCAGCTTCACTTTAATACTGTTTTTGATTTTATTATTGTTTATCTATTAGACTTTAAATATGACTTCTTCATTCCTTATATCCAGCAACTTATTAAGTCTTTAAAGAAAACGTTTACACTCACATACCGCACACACATGTTTATCAAATATTCTATTCTAAAAATTTCAAAAAATGCGTACTTTTTGGTTACTTTGTTTTTCACTTGCAACTTATGTTGTGGTTTTTGGCTGATGATTTTGTTGGCGCTCCTTCTCCCTTATGCACATATATCTGCATATGTGTGTGTTTTCGTTTTCGCTCGTTTTGTTGTCTACTTCAACTAGTTACTGAAAATTAACTGGCAACAGAGTTTCGAGCCCCCAAAGCAGAAAGCAGCGCACGTTGGAGCTCACGAGCATCTGACGGCGGCAGCGACGCCAGCATAAAGCAGAGAGCGACAATCAGGAGAGCAAGCGCAAAAGAGAGTGCGAGGAGGTTTGGAATGGATGGGAGAGGGCGAGGGAAAGAGCTTGCTGAATGCACTACACAGCAAACAAAGCAAGTACTCAATGTCAACTAGCAATAGGAAGCTCAGAAAGATGGGTTCTTTTTTTTAAGATTTGTTTGGAATATGCGTATGTACAAATTTTTCTACAGGTTTTTATATTAAGAGTTTAAAACTTTTGTACACATTATTAAACACTGATCAAACTCAAAAATGTTTTAAATATAACCGTGTTATGTTATAACAGTTTTTTCTCCGTGTACTGGGGCCCCCTTCAAAGAAAAAATCATAATAACAAAGCGATGAGCAACAACAAATTAGACGAAAAGAGAGCCCCAAAGCAAAGAAAAGCTATAATCAAGGACAGCGACAGCTGTAAAATGCAGCAAAAGCAAAGCCACAAAAACAACAGCAAGAGGCTAGAGAAAGAAATGATAAATAGCAGAAAAGAAGGGAAGAAGAGAGAGAAAAGCCGAAGTGGCGATGCCCTTCAAAATTGCACACACGTTAGCGAGTATGTGTGGAGCCTAGCAACAAAATACAAAAATATGTACATTTACCAAAAGCAATTAAAGGAGAACAATTAACGAGGTCAAATGCAACGGTTTAACGAAGGGTTCCAAAGCAAAGTTAATCCAAAAATTGGGAAGACATTTTTTCAACCTCCATACACTCCCATACACAGGCGTATTGGGTCATTGACTGCGTATGTGTGTGTGTGTGTGGGAGAGGTTCTGAAAAAGGTAGCAAATTTCATGCATTTAATTTATTACTTTGCTTTTGAATACATTTAATTGAACGTGTTGATAAGACTTTTAAAACGCAAAACAGAGAGGGAGAGGAAAAAACGAAAACACACAACGCAATAAGCAGGCCAAAAGCAAAGTGCGTAGTTTTCGGGTAGGTGGGGTAGGGTGGTGTGCAAAAGGGATGGCAACAGCACAACAAAGAAAAAAGTGCACTTAACGGGAGTTAAAGAGTTGAACCTCACACATAGCGTTTTCGACTAACGGTGAATTATTGAAAATGAAGGTAAATACCAATTGGAGAAGACGCCCGTTGGAAGTTCGTGGTTGATTTCAAGCAGACGAAATTCAAAATTAGAAGATGAGGGACAGAGACAAAGGAGCGGAAGAAAGATGGAAAACATTCACAGCTGTGCGGGGGTCAATCTGCTATTGTTGTTGTCGCAATCTTACACACACACACAAGCCACCCACACTCGCAAATATTCGCAATGTACAAATTGCAGTAATTTTATATTTTATCAAACAATTATACATACACAGAGACCCACCGTATATTCTGTACCTTTTCGTTTCTTTTATTTTGATTTCTCTCGCTGTGTATATATTTGCAGCAGTCTCCCGTTTAAATTTTATTGTTGCGGCTGTTGCCGTTGTTGTTGTTATTGTTGCTCGTGGGTGGTGTTGTTGTTGGCTGGCAGCCGCCTGCGATTCTTACGCTTCGATACTTCTCCACATTGCCCTTCTTTCACTGCGATCTGTGCATTTTCATGGACTGAATAATTAACTAATTATTTTGTTTTGTTTTCCGAAAAAACTGTGTTTTCGGGAAGGTTTGTTGGAATTGACCAAGGCTTAGTGTTGCCAGATGGTGAAACAGATTTCCCCCGAAATGCTATCGACCACCTGAAACATTCACTAAAAAATCCAGTTTTCATCAATCCAACAAAACATAGGTTTGCAACTTGGATGATACTGGTTTTAAGGGGGGGTAAGGTTTTAAAAATTTTTTTTTTTATTTTTTTTTTTTTTTTTTCTGAATGATTAATATGTCGAGAACATTGTGTAAAAATTTTGAGTCAATTAAAGTCAAACTAACAGAGTTACAGCGTTTTAAACAACCGTATTTGGGCGTATTTTCACGTATAAAAGTACTTTGAATCGATTTTGCCGAACACGCTATTTTCAAAGTCGGTGCCCCTCATAACTTCAAAACTACTGCACCGATCCTTTTGAAATTTTAAACACTATTTCTGTACATATTTTACGAGGTAACGCTGTCGAGTTTTTTTTTTTTTTGTTCATAATTTTGATTTTGCAATGACAAATTAACCGATTTTTTCCCAAAAAATTGTGTTTTTCACTTCAAAGTCTTCGAAAAAATTAAAAAATTGCAATTTTCAAAAAACCTTCACAGCGTTACCTGGGGCGAACTATTATCTAACGAATGAACTTTCATTTTTTGATTTCGGTTGATCCAGCACCGAGTTATGAGGGGCACCGCAATTCAACTTTTTTTGGCGACACGTCCGGACAATTGCTACCATTGCCATATTTTTTAATATTTTTTTGTAAAAATTTGATAAAACATTCTTCTAATGTCATACTTTAATATACCGTTGGTTGAATAAATAAATTTTAACTGTGTCGTCAGGAAAAAAAATCACAAAAACATGGCTTTTTTCGCATGATTTGACCTTACCCCCCCCTTAAATCAAATTTTTAAATACAATGTATTTTAAATTTATTCTGTTATAAAATTTGTGTATTCAAAAAAGAATTCCTAGAAATTAAAAAAACTGTGAATAATAAAACAGGTTGTCAAATATACTCATTTGTTATTTATTTATTTATCGCATCCACCATATAGCCCAGAAATAGCGCCAACTCAAAAGAGGCTTGTGACAAGTGGCTGTTTCAGTTCTTCGCAAATAAAAAGGACTTCTATAAGGGGGGTATTACGAAGTTGCCATCTAGATGGAAACAGATTATCGAACAAAACGGCGCATATTTGAAGTAAATACGACCACTGCAACACTTTTTATATAGCATTTATTCAAGAGCAAAAAACGGAAGGGAGATATTAGTCAACATTTTTTTTCTAGAAAATCAAACGAAAATTCCGTTCCCAATGGAATCACATAATTTTGTGCTGTTTTATAGGGGTTAATAAATGTCAAATTATTAAAATTATAAAAAAAAAAAAAAAATTATGAACCAAATATGGAAAAATAAAGTATGTATTTTATAAAGCCAAAGCATTAAAACACATAAAGTTATATTTTTTTTATTTATTAATTTCTTTTCTTACAATTGCAATTTTGTTTCGTTACATTTTGAATGCGTTTATTAAAACTTGTAATTTGTTTGGTTTTCTGTTTTAGGATCTCTGTTTCGTGTTAAAAAATGAGAGGATAACAATTTTTAAATTAGCTCTATTTGCTTGACGTAAAACTTGTTTGTTTTTATAACGAAGTACTTTTAAACATTTAATATTTTTATTGCATCTTTGTGTAATTCATTGCCTCATTGTTTTTGTTTTACTTTTGCGATTACCAAGAGTGTTAATAAAATTCAAAATCGAAAGGTACAATTTGTGTTTAATATCGATTTTAGTTTCTGATTTAGTTTAGTTTATAACTGTTTGTAAATATCCCTATTCGTTATGACACTTGGCAAATTAAATTCGTTTTTGCATCAGCAGTTTGTCGAATTGTCATTCAACCTAGGATCCAAAAGGGAATTTTCGAATAGATCAACATTTTAATATCATGCTCATACGATTTGATTAAAAATGGTTGTTTAAAAAATGAAACAACGGGAAATCAAAATGGAAAATATTACGAGATACGACATTACATTGACTATTATTATAATCCAGATTGAAGCGATATTCAAATTCCTTCCTATGCTACAGGCAGTGTTTCCAAAGCCACTTTTTGTTAACTGACAACTTAAAAAGTTTATTGCTTCTTTAGTCAAGTGGCTTTTATAAAATTGGAACGAAAGCACGACTTCTAGTAAAATGTAATGGCAGCAAAAACAAACCAATGATAATCCAATTTGTATTCCGTCCTGAAGATATAGTTTCATTGCTAGTCTATGTTAAAATGTTAAATTTCTTTGATTCTTTATATCAATTTCGTTGTGTTACTTCTTTTTTATTATTTTTGTTTTTTGATTTTATAACTGTGACGTAACAATAACAAAGAAAGGCCAATGAAATCTGTCTAAAACTATTTATGTTTTTAGATGGGTGTATGTGTTTATATAGAGATAGATATAACTGTTCCCAGCGGGTCTTGAATATAATGCGTTAAAGGTTTTTTTTACCAGTTATCTTTAAAATAAATGTATTTTATAATGAGGTACTCTACGTACAACTACAAAATAACGGCTTACAAATAAGGTAAAGAATAAAAACCAACTACATCACCTTAAATAATAAATAACTAATTTATCCAAGGGACCACTGGGAACTTTGCTTCGTTATTTAGCTTGAGAAGTAGTGAGAGATATAGAGAAAGAGTTGCGTACGCAGGGGGCTAAACTTTCAGATTGAAGAAACAAGTTTAACAAATAACTAAATGTGCTTACTAGGCATTAATCTAGTTAAACCCCAAATGCATACGCCACTGTGTGTGTGTGTGTGGGTGTGTGTATTTTGGTTTTAGTGGTGAGGGAGAAATGCAATGGGTGTCCTGGTTTTCAATGCTTCTGCAGAGCCTTCCTTTCCCTTCGATCAATTTCCAGCCTCTTTAGCCTCCAATTAATATGTATTTGAGCTTTAACAATTGTCAATGATTTCCTGTTCGGCTTAGTTCTCCTCATAGATTATATAAACAAATTCAACATTATATGCACGTTACACTCGAATCGATTTGGATTTTGCTAGCTGCAAATACTTCGTCATGAATCGTTAATATCTCAATTGTTTACTTGTAAATTGCAATTAACGTTCCATTCGCATTTGCCATGAATGTATATTTTCATTATAAGTGTATAATTAGGCTATAAATATTTTTATACTTGGAACGATTTCGTTCTTTCTTGTTGTTGTTTTTGTTTTTGTTAAGACAAAATTTTGAATTCCAAATAAATTGGCAATTATAACTACAAAAAATTTAAAAGTGAGGCTCTTCTCTGACCCTAGACTCTGTTGTCTTGCTAAAATTGTCCCTGGCTAAATTCTAAATTAGTGAAATCATCCTAAACTGGGGATAATTTAGTGTTAGACTATGGCTATATGGCTATAGCTTTTTCATTCCTTACGGATACGCTACCGGGTATCTCTATGAGGTTGCATCTACTCCACATGCAACTAGTACATTTGTCCTGCTTACAGACTATGTTCATAAGATATATGTAGAGTCGCTCGTGTGTGTTCCCCTTCGATCCGTTGCAGATCGAAATGCATTCTGACTTTTCATTTCTGAGTTTTGAGTTCTGAGGCCGAGACCAAGACGCTAAACAAATGCATAACAATTCACTGATCAAATTTGAAATAATCCATGACTTTACGGCGGTTGGCTCGCTTTGAACGGCTCGCCTCACTAGCAACGCTTTACAATTTTGGTTTCCCTTCCTTCTTTCTTTTCTTTTCGGGGTTCTAGCTTTTGAGGCCTTAGGCCTTAAACAGCTGTGGAAATTCGTTGGCTATTTCCCGCACCAGTTGCTGATCGGAGGCACTGCACTCGGTCTCCTCGCAGAAGATGCGCGTGAAGATCTTCATCAGATCGTGCTTGCGGTGCTGGTGCTCCTGGTAGTTTGTGTTGCGCAGGATGCGTCGGCACAGCTCCAAGTAGCATGGTCGCGTCTGAAGTGGCATCATAAAGCAATTTAATCAATAGATTAAAAGAGGGATCTGCACCACACTCACCGAACTGCCGGCATCCAAATCGGAGAGCTGGCGCACCACTATGTCGATGAGCACCTTGATGTCGTTTGTGTAGAACATGCCCGCCGTGTCCGGATGGCTGAAGATGTCGATGAACATTCGCAGCACCGTGTTCATATGCTCGTTGGGGTGCTTTAGCAAGCGAGTTGGATCGTCTGCAAATAAATGGTATTTGTCATAATAAATATTTATCATAATCAGACTTGGACTCACCCTCTCGATTGAGCAGCAAGAGCAATTTCTCAGTGAAAACCTTGGCGGAGGGCAGGTTCTGCATGCCCTCGATGATGACGTTAAAGGTGTGCTCGCTGAACTGCTGGTTGAAGGCCAGTATCAAGGCTATAACCATGTCCACTAGCAGCTCGGGATTGTTGCCCTCGACGATTTCCAGCAGAAAGCTGGCAAAGTGCACGCCCAAATAGTCTGCAATGCAAAGCCAATCATTCGAAAGTTATAATTGGTTTTTAAGGGGTTATATAACCCTCACCCTGATGGTTAACTGGCATGGGTTGTCCCAGTGAGAAGATGATGGTCAGCATCTTGACCAGCTGCTTGAAGCGATCCAGGTTGGAGAAGTGGGTCTTCATGTCCTCAACCTGGAAAGCAGCATACAAACAATATAAGTCGTTGCAGGAGGATTGTATGAACTGGGAAGAGCTACTGCTTACAATCTCCAGTGGCAGCACCGATGTCAGCAGTATGTCCACGATGATGTAGTCCAGGTGGCAGGCGGCCGTGAAGGTTTTGAGCAGCAGCCGCTTGATCGACCAGCGGGTCTCCATTTGGTAGTATTGCACCAGGTTGATGAACATCTGGTACTGGTCGCAGGACATCTCATAGCAGCTGATGCTCTCGTCAGCATTGATCTGTGGCAAATAAAAGAAGTGAACATTAGGTTATTCAGCATTAGCTGTACTAATCAGTTCATCAAATATTGGTTTTCAATACATATGTAGGTAAAAATAGGTCACTTTAACTCACTAGAATCTCGACGAGCTCCTCGAGGAACTGGATGATGTCCTCCTCGTCCTCGTAGAGCATCCAGGTGCGCTGCTCCGTGTCGTTCTTGCAGTCGGCCAGCTGGGCGAAGAGGTACTGCAGCCGCTTGGCGTCGTGCGTGATGCCCAGCAGCTCTTTGGGCGTGGCCACCTTGCCAGTGACGTGGACGGCCACCGCCTCCAGATACGGATTGATGGCCCCGTTGTAGAGCTGCTCCAGACTGGTCAGCACCACGCGCAACGCCTCGCAGGACAGATCGAAGCTGAGATTGGTGTTGCGCCGCAGGGCGTCGACAATCTGATAGACATCCGAGGACTCCACCTTCAGCTGGCCGCCAGTGGCCCCCTCCTCGATCCTGCCGAGACTCCCGAGACCCCGTTGCCGATGCGACGGACTGTCGATGCTGTCCAGCGCCTGACTATTGTCCGCACTATCCCCGTTGGCCTGACAGACATCGTCGCTGGGCACGGCGCTGGCGTCATCCGACTTGTCCGGCGCACTGTCCGCCTCCTCCTGCTGCTGTTCCTGGTGCTGGGCAGCCTTGCTCCCGTTGCCGTGCCCATTGCCGACACTGCTGCTCCTCAGGGCGGATGCGGAAATGGAGGCCGAGGCCGAGGCGGTGCTGCCGTTCGGCGGCTTGTGCTGCTGGCTGGTGGTGCTCAGCTGGCTGGTCTCCTTGTAAGTGGTCACCACGTCCTCGCTGGTCGTCGTAGTGGTCGTCGTGGTCTCCGAGGGCTCCGAGGTGATGCTATTGTCCTGCGCCACATCCCCGGCTTTGCTCGATGACGATGACGCCGCTGCCACCGCCGCCGCCGCCGCAGTCGGAGTAACTACGCCGGCTGGCGATGGCGAGGGAGCTGGTGCTGGCGGTGCTGGGAGCGGCTGTTGCTGCTGCGGCGTCTGAATGGTGCAGCTGCCACTGCCGCTGCCCTGGAACTGCATGCTGCCCATGCTGGGCGACTCCATCATGCCTTGGCCCTGCTGCTGCTGCTGGCCGCACGAAGATCCCACCGCCGGGCTGGACATGCTCTTCTTGCTCATGTCGAGGCGCTGGGAGCCAGAGCCACTGCCGCCGGGCGGCGGACTGTGCTGCCGGTGCTGGGAATGCAACTGCGTCTGCGACTGGGTGGGATGGGGATGCGAGTGCCGGTGGCTGCCCTTGTCGCTGTAGCTGTGCGAATAGGACAGCGAGGAGTCGCCATCGCGCTCGGAGCTCTCCTGTTCGCGGAGAAGGAGAGTGAATAATGAAGCAGCGTTCGATCAAATAGAGTGCAGCACTCATTACCGCATAGAGCCGCTCCATGGTGTGCTTCTTTTCGCGCAGCCTGTCCAGCAACTCGTCCTTGGACATGATGCCATTGATCTCGTGGTCCGTGCACTTCTCCAGCGACTCAATCGATGAGTTCAGAAAGCTGATCAGGAAGTCGTGCTCCACCTGCCAAAAGGTTGCAAAGTTTCAAAGTTCCAAAAGGTGAGTGCAACGCGCTTAGCCTCTTCATCTTTATTACTTATTTTCAAGTACGCACCTTAATCTTCATTACGTAATTGGAGGGCACAAAGCCGATGTTGCCCTTCATGCTGACCACCTGCCACCAGTTTCGCTGGCGGGCGGATGTCTGGTACAGGATGAAGTACTCGCCCTCATCGAAGCTGATGGTCTTGGGATAGACCGCCTGGAAGTCGTACAGCGCCTTGAGCATCTCGATGCCGCTGCCGATGCCTAAGCCGATGTCACCGCCGCCAACTCCACTTGCTCCTCCGCCGCCTCCGCCCGCTGCTGCCTCTGCTGTTGCTGCAATTTCGAGTAGATGAAATTGAAATTGAGTTCGAGGAGGAAAACTACTACTGGATTCGAATTGCAAATTCATCGAGGGCGTCGGCACTCACACAAAGAACACACACGGCTACTCGGGGGAAAACTGCAGCAGGCGCTTAAAAAAAAAAAACAACAACGTTTAGTTGACTGCCGAGGGAAACAAACTGTAAGCTGCGAACTGCCGACGGGTTTTCCCTATGCCTTCTGCTCGTTGAAATTTCTAGGAGCACTGGAGAACTGCACTGCAGAATTCCGCAGGACTCGCACACAGCCGCAGAATAGGATACTCCTGCTCGGTGATTTTCCTTTTAGTAGAGCACCCCCGCACAGGAAAAGGAAAATGCAATTTTCATATTTCACTTGCGCTCGAGCTCGCTCTTCCTGTCTTTCCCGTTTTAGCTTTGTGCACTGCGTTTTGGTCCTGCAACAACGCCTTGCGCTTTTGATCCTTTTCAGCTTACATTGTTTTCCCCACAAACACAAACACGCCCGAGAGAGCCACGTGGCTTCTGCGCTCTCTACGCTCGTTAATGCACAGAAAGAAAATATATATTCAAATCAAAATACATGTACATATATTAAATAAACAATCTTAAGCTGGCAAAGAATTCTACTTAATAGGATTTTTCTAGTTCCAATCTGGGCGCTTTATCTACTCTTTGATTATGTTTTATAATAAAATTAATTTTGGTTTTTCAAATCGAATCGTAATGTATTTGTATCTGAGTTCTAATTCTTTGCGTTACATATAAAAAAATCCCTAATTTCTTAAAAGTTTTAAGTTTCTTAATTTTTTTGTGTGCTAATGTTGTTGCTGTGTGTGAAAATCTCAACACGGACAAATCCGTTTCAAAACACAAAGCCCCCTCCACTGCCCCGCCCACTTAAGCTCTTTCTCTCTCCACGCGCGCGATTTCCCACTCTCTCTGAGGAAAGGATGTAATTGCCAGAGTGAACCGGTTCATATATTAGCCAGTGAATAACGGTGCTTATAACTCAAATTGATATGTTTAAAAAGTAAAATATTACTTATTTGGAAAGGCTTATTTTTGGCAAACGATTTATAATAGTTTCATCTAAATCGCATAAACTATCATATAAAGTTCGGTAAAAAAACATTAAAAATATTTCCCATAATAAATTGAAATGGATCAAAAAACCCAATATAATTGTAAACAAAACAAAAATGAAGTACAAAGAGTCAAGTCGTATCTTAGTAAACCCATTAAAGTATGCTATATTTTTTGTTTAACACCGATTCCGGAACTGTAAAGTTCTGTTTTCGAGGAGTAATGATTCCGGAACTTGTCAAAGGCACCTGCTAGACTCTCACTTACATACCAACACAAGCACGCAAACACTTGCACACCCATACCGAAAGCGGAAATAATGTATGGAAATGTGACAATGAGGACAACAAAAAGGAGGTAAAGAGAATATGCCCACCCACTTACCCATCTTTGGTGGCGCACCTTTTACAGTAATTGCGTTTGTCGTTTGTTGTTGCTGTTTGTTGTTGTGTTGTTCCTGTTCTTCGTTGTTTCAGACGTCACCTGTCCTTCGTCCTGCTTCGTCCTCCACTTCCGCTGCTGACGTCCACGAGCCAAGGACGTTTGCATATGTATATGTGTCGCCTTCTTTGCTTCTTTTTTTTTGTCCTGCCGATGGGCGTGTTTCCTCTGCTCCTCTTTTGTGCTCGATGTCCTTTTCGGGCGAAAGTTAGTTCCGCTGCGCCATCACTTGTTGTTGTTTCCTTTGGTAGAAGCTCGCGAATGAAATAGCGAAATGCGGGAGCGTTGGTTCACTTGATTAATTCCGATGTGAGATGAAAATGAAGGATGCGAATGCGATGATGCTGCTCTCGCCAAATGCGATGCACTTCTTTTTAGTCTCCCTTTTTCTCCCTCTGTCTATCTGTCGCCGGCGGGATGGGGAGCAGGTTGGAAGAGAGCGGGGCCCAAAGCAGTGCTTGCTCGATAAAGTGAACTAATAAAAACAATAAGTTACTGTAAAAACATTCTGGCAAAAAAATTTAATAACCCACGTACGTGTGTTTAAAATGCCAATTTTTTTTTGTAATTTTTTTATTATACTTTAATTAATTTTCAAAATTTATATAAACATTTAATTTAGGTCTAGTAAATCGAAATCTTCACTTTCGAAAGAGCACTGTGCTTTGAATCGGGTATAAAGGGTGAGCGACAAAATGTTGTTGTCAAGAGTAGATGTTGCGGTTACAGCAATAACACAACAAAAACACTGTTAACACTGCTCCACCCAAAAAAAAAGCCGCAAGTCAAACGCTCACACACGCGCACAAGGGTTAACAGCGACTGGGGTTTGTTTATATTTGGTTTTTAATAAGCAATTAATAACGCTAACCCAAAACAGGCAATCCCAAGTCACACTAACTATATATTTACTAGATTACGAAGGTAAAAGCGCGCGATTAACTAAAAAACATTATCCAATCACTTGTTTTTATTTCCCCTTTTTGTGGCGTTGTTTTTTATATATAATTTAGAGGTGGGGCCTCGCCGGCCCGTTATCGGTATCGATTTTAGACATCGAAGGGCTGCCAACTTGGCGCCTCAAATTCAAAGAAGGAAAAAGCTTATTTTTGCTTGGTCTTTAGCAAAACGTTTATTTGCATAGAATATTTAACTTGGTTGTGGGAGACAGTACACAGGGTGGTCTACATATCAAAATACTGTTTTTTAGGGGCAAGCAAATAAATGGGGTCTGTTGGTTTCGTTATAAAAATGTGTAATTAAATGCTAGCATTTTTTTTAACGTTTTGCCTGTGGCACTCAAATATATATGTTTCTCTTTTTTAATTTGTTTGATTATAACCGCCTTTTAGCCTTTCAATTTACTATTTAAGTCTACCTTTCGTAGGGGAAACCCCTGTCTTTACTTTTATAAGGTAATTATTTTTATAAGTACAGTTTCTGGTTTTAGAAGGCATTTATCAAAAGTTTTCTAAGTCCTAGCGACCCAATTTTATATATGTATATAGTTGTAGTTTAAAGATTCAACAATTTTTCCGTTTATTTGCTTGCTTGTGGTCACAATAAATTATAATTATATCATAATAGTGAAACAATCACATACACAATAAATTATAATAGCACAAGTGTGGTTTTAGTTATACTTAATATATCTAGTTTAATAACAGCAGGCCACTTTTAGACGTATGTATGTGTGTTGCGTGTGTGTGTGTGTGAGTGTAAATATATCTATTTAATAAAAAAAAAATTAAACAACTTTCCATTGTACTTGCATTTATAATAGGAATAATATAATAAATATATATGATGTAAACGAAAACAAACAGAAAGACGCTTTTAACCTTGCCTCGTTTTGAACTATATGTATTCTTCCTTTTTTTTTAGGTCTTGTGGAACGGCACTTGGTTGAGATTTATGTTGTTGTAGTTTTTAACGTTGCTCTCTCTCTATACATATATATATAAATATACATATATAGATTTAGTAGTTCTCTCTCTGGTTTTCTCTTTAACTATTGCAAATTGGCTGTGATCGAGGGCTCGATGATCCCCGAAATCACATCGAAACATTGACACGAACCACTGGCCGAAGGGGAGGATATCCTGGCCGGCTGGGGATCCTTCTCGGTGGATCCTCCTTTGCCCCATAACCATTCTCCTTAGTGCATCCATCCATCCTCCGCCTCTTGGCCGCCTTTCGTCTCTCGTCAAAAGGCCAACGCACGGCCGCAAAACATTTGTCCACAATTAGGATTCTTGGTGCAATGCTAATTGTTAATCCGCTTTTAAATTATGCTATAAAAATAATATTGATAAATGTGTTGCTCCGCCTTCGTTTCGTATCCGTTGCCGTTGCCGTAGCCGTTAGCCGTAGCCGTATCCGTTTCGTATCGCCCTCAACATATTACATATATCGTCGTATGCCGCACTACACCCAATAACGGATCCACAAAAACCCGAATCACATGCGCCGGCCACCGGCGGCCAGCTGCGTTGGACGCGTCCGCAGCGCGCTCCTCGATCATTTCTCCTCGCAGCAGCCGTTCTTGGCCAGCTGCTTCTGCAGCGCCGGCGGAATGAAGTCTTTCGTTTTGGTCTTGGAATGATAGCCCTGCCCGAGCAGCGCCGGCTCCACCTGCTTGCCCTGCTGGATGCCCTGGATGCGCTTCAGCAGATCGTAGTTGATGCGCTCGCTCACCACCGAATCTTGCCTGCGAAAAGCGGGGGGGAGGGAGGATTCCCTGATTAGTTCATCATTCGGTAGTTTGTGGGTCAGCGGGTAAGACTTACTTGTAGTCCGGGTGGCTGAGCACCTGCTCGCGCATCCAGGTGGCCGTGGTGATCAGCTCGCCGGCAGCTCGCTTCTCGATGAAGCGCAGATACTGTTCAATGGTGCAATGCGTGTCGGTGTCCACCTCCATGGACTGCAAATAGCTGCGGATCAGCGGCACCAGGCCAGGGAAAACGTTGGGCTAAGGAGGAAATAAAATATGCCATAAGTTTCTGGGTATTCCACACTTCTTTTCAAGGTGATAACATTGTTACTCATTCTTACCTTGCCATTGAAGATCTCGTTGATGGTCAGCAGCTGGTACAGCTCGTTCTCCTCGTCGTCGGTGTCGGTGTGGTCGCTATCCGCACCATTGCTCGAGCCATTCGAGGTGCCATTGGTTCCATTGGTGCCGTTGGTGGCGGTGCCATTGGTGTTGCCGTGTCCGTTCAACTTGGCCGAGCCGTTGGTCAGAGGCTGCTGCTCTTCCTGGTCGCCGTTCTCGCTGCCATTTCCGTTCGCCAGCCCGTTGCTGCCATTCAGAGTGGCCGCCTTCCCATTGCTCTGAGCTTGAGCAGCAGCTTGAGCAGCCGCTTGAGCCTGAGCCTTGGCAGCTCTCTGCTCGGTGGTCTTCGAGGACTTGCGGAACCAGAACTTCTCCTTGCGACAGGCGTCGCGCTTCTGGGCGGTCTGCATGTTCTCGTCCACCTTGCTGATCGGCGTGAGGAAGTTCAGCTGGTACGAGAGGATCACGCGGGTCAGCAGCACCACGAAGCAGACGATCGCTGCGTTCTCGAAGTCGCTGATCTGCGCTTCGCACGGGCGGAACTCGACGCGCCAGCCAATCGAGCTGTTCGGCGGCGGCGGCTTGAAGCGCATCGTCTGCCAGTTGGTGGACTGAATGTTCTCGAAGTGATCCGTGTCCTCGTTGTCGTTCTGATGCACCTTCTCGCTGAACAGCGACACGGTGTCGCGGATGAACAGATGGGCCACATGCTGGGCCAGCAGGTGATCGATGCCGCCCTCGACCAGTCGCTTGTACACCTCCTCGTCGTAGGTCAGCGGCACGTCGTTGTACTTGGCTCCCTCGGGCGACAAGTACGAGTCGATCGAGTCGTATCGCGACTTGGCGATGCGGAACTTCTGCTTGTCCAGCGGCTTCAGGCCGCGCTCCTCCTCCGTGCGGCAGTCCACCGAGGAGCTGATCACGTTCCAGCGGCAGTCGGACTCGGTGAGGTAGCCCCTGTAGATCGGCGAGGCGGCGGTCAGGGCCAGCATGATGGGGCACAGCGGAGCCAGCTGGTCGTACAGGCGGCGCGCCTCGGTGATGTTGCACGCCTGGAAGGTCAGCTGCAGGCAGCAGCAGCCCATGCCAAAGCCCATGGCGTCGAGGAGCACCACATCCGGCTCACCAGGCGGTGCTCCCTCCACCGGCAGCTTGGTCTTCACGTCCTTGAAAACTGCGGGGGAAACCATCAATCAATCAATCAATCAGTTTTATGCTCTTCTGCTTTTGGGCATTCATTTCACTCACCCTTCAGCTTGATGGACACCTTCTCGCCGCGTCGCTTGCGAATGTTCCGGGTGAGGGTCTTGAAGCGCGGATGCCCGGGAAAGATGGCCTCGTCGGGGAAGTAGAGCGATCTGGCCGAGCTCAGGGGATCCTCGGGCCGCGGCTGCGCCAGCGGAAAGGTGAAGTTGGGCGCGCCCAGGCGCGGGAAGTTCGTTATCGACATGACGCACTCGTCCTTGGCCAGCAGCTCGGTGACCTCTTCGCGACGGTAGCGCATGTTGGCCTCCACCAGGTTGAAGTGGGCCATCAGGCCGCCGAAGGGCTTGCCCGGCGTGCCCTCGATCATGTAGGCACCGTACTCCGGCCGCCACAGCGACTTCACGCCCTTCGGATCGGCCAGCTCCTTCTCGTTGAGCTGGGCGAGCAGTTCCTGGGCGCGCAGCGCCACCCGGGCCACCCGATTCTCATCGTCGAACTTGACAATGATGTACTCCACCTCGTCGCCCCACTTGAGGATGTCGCCCTGGCGGTCCTTGAGTCTGTGGTACAGGTTGATGAACTGGTTGACGCCGTGCTCGCGGACGTGGTCCGCCAGCGCCTTCGTCTCCTCCCAGGAAAGTGGACTGCCCTCGCTCAGTAGACCCATTGCTGCAAATGGGAAGGATAAACAAAGGATATAGGTTAGTGGTCAGTGTCTCTGGGATGCGATTGGCCCTCATAGCAGCAACACCTGTGAATTTTGCTCGACCTAATCCGATTCGGACTCAACACCGATCCGGTGTGACGTCTGGAACGAGCTACTACGACTACTGCGCCATTATCACCAGCCACTCCGGACTGCCCCCTATCCATTTCCCTCATTTTCATTCCATATTTATTCCCATTTCCATTTATATACGCATTCGCATTCGAAACTCGCCCATTGTGCAATCGCAGTCGTCATCATTCGAAGCATAGAAAGGTGCAATCGATGCAATTGCAAGGGGTAATTTGCATTTCCAGTGCAGTTGCATAAACACTTCGACTTGAACACACACCGATAAATAAAGGAGGCGAAGAAGGAGGCACACTCACATCAGTCACATTTGTTTTGGTTCTCAATCTAATCAAATCCGAATCTAATCAACATTAAATAATAACATTGAATTCTCTACTCATCTATGAAGAATGCTAAAATACACTCAAGCGAAGCTTTGAGTTATTCAATTAATATTAATTTCGTAAAGAAAACTTGTAACACTCAACATTAAATATATTTTCCAAATGGAATATACTATTTCTGCAATTCAAATAGTTTTCTCAGTGTCAATGCCCTCCGATTTTCTGCACCTCCAAGTCGAAAACTGAAGTTCCAATTTCCCGAAATCGGAATTCAGGTATTCAGGTATTCAGGCATTTTATCTACGAATATCTTGGGCTATATCTCAAGTGCATTCGTGTGGCGGGGCAAGTGCATTATTTTGATTGCTCCTCGCTCTTGACACTCGCTCGATTTACAACTCCTGACTCAATTAATTGATAAGGCGCGACGACCAAATATTAATCAAATAGTTGATAAGGTGGCCGGCCGATCTGGCTTTCGGGTATAATTCCATACCCGTGTATAGTGAACCGCGATCGGCCGAACGAAATAGTGCTTAGTATATATATATTTAGACAGCCGATTTAGACAGGTTGCCGTGCGCCACTCGAACTGATTGAATCGGAAATTTCAGATCGCAGATTTATGGGCGACACTACAGCGACACTCGAAGAGGAAACAAAAAAAAAAAACATAAATAAATAAAGCACTTCACTGCAGTCGAGTCCACTTCACTGCACTTCACTTCACCCCATCAGTTTCCGATCCGCACCAGCTTCCCCAGCTTTCAATCCGAAACCAATGGAGCGTATTTCGCGATAGCTATACCATACTGTACTATACTACACATATTTAGTGACTAAATAAGTGCCTGCAACAAAGAAACAAGAAACGATCGTGGCCAAAATCGAAAATTACATCGGAATTCGGAGCGACAGTTTCGAGTTCTTGACACGATTGTGCAATCTTTCGGCCGCGGTTAATTATCATTTGAAACTCAATTCCAGTTCACTTGGACAGATCTAACAATCTTGAAACGAGTACAAAGAAGCGATAATTATACCTTGAAAGAAATGCAGAAGAGAACTAGATATAAACAATTTGAATTCTATAAAGAAATTCAACTGGGAATTTAAACTTAAGTTTACATTAAAATCAGCTTAATCTTAAGACTTTCATTTAAAGAGAACATAAGGTTTCCAAAATTAAATTAAATGGTTCAATACTCTAGAGACAGAAAATGTCCTTTACGAAATCACCTTTTTTGGTGGCACTCAAAAAAAAAACAGCACTCAAGTTTCGCTCACTTAGATTCACTTTCGTTGAGGATACCTTTTCTTTTAATGTGTGGCGGCTGGCTCCTTTACACTTTTTGTTTGAGAACTGAAATTGGATATGTCCAATTCCTTTTTCTTGTTGGTTGGCAAATGCCAGAAGGTTTTGGTCGCTCCACGGCCAAACGCCGACTACTTTTATAGGCGGCCAGACTCCGGCTTTTTACGCTTCTTACGGCAGTCGAAGTCGATGCGATCGGATCGGCTGACAACGAGCCGAAGAATCCGAATCCGAATCCGACGTCGATGATGGGTTGCCTGTTTAGTGGGAACCACTGGAGTCCGTATCTGGACGACCGTCTATGGCCATAAAAACCGAACCGAGAACCGAGCCAATCCATAAATGATCCATCCGTGAATAACGAACACGGGACTCGAACGAAACGAAACACTCGAAACGCGATCGAGTGCCATTATAATTATTTGGCCCGGTTATTTATTATATTTAGAATTACTGGACAGGCTGGAAGGGTTTATTATATATATATTAGTTGCTACATATTTATAGATTTCGGGGGCTTTGTCGCTGATTTACCACCGACGAACCAATAAAGATTGCGGCAAAAGGGGAAAGCAGGGGCGATCTTTTGTCCACAAAATACTTGAGTTGACACATCTGCATTGTAAATAACTGCCAATCAAGTTTCGGCAACTTTATAATATTCAATGGACGGAGAGGAAACGCATAGATTTCAATCAATTGCCCCCAGTAAATCAGTTGGACGTTCAAATCCGCAGAATGTGCGAGAGGTTCGCTGGAATCGGAGAGGCCAGTTTACTGGGAAACTCTGATCCATTCGCAGGTGCAACATCCGCAGGTTGCATTCCGGAATCCGGAGAAGCTGTGCCGCAAGTACCATAACATATTGGGGATTACCCAGGAATTCGATTCTGGGAATATTTTTATCAAGGCTGCCTTCTGTTTCTCACCCAAAACAAGATCTTAAACAGAATATAGAACAGCGATGAGTGCTAATGACGAACAGATATCCACTTTCTTTGTACCAGTTCTACCCAGTATTTACAAGCCCAGTCGTCATAAGTTCTATAATTTGTAGTTACTTGCGCAATGCGATCCATCAGTGTGTATGGCCGGCGGTCAATTACACCGAACACAACTTGATATTCAGATATTCGGCCTTCAGAATTCAGAACTCAGAATTCAGGGACAGCTGGGTTTAGTATACTCAGGTTCGGTTCCATCGAACACGGTCTATTTATATCGATGGCCTGTTCCGAGACTTATCATCTTAACCCTTAGCTCTTGTGGAATTTCCTTGGTCGCCGCCGCTTATCATTTATTCTAGATTCTATTATAACAAGCCAATTAATCTTTCGCTCAATCAGTATACACTCACTCGACTTTGGTTTATTTATGAACCAAATAGCACTTATCGTCTTAATTCCTGTACTTTTCGAATCTCCTATCGCAGCTGGCAACCAATTCTGATTCGAGGACCCAAAAAGAAATCAACAAGTTCGACGCGGAACGGAAGATTTGTCCAAGGAGTGGGTCCACTCAAGTGGACACTTGTGGGTCCATCAATGGGTATATCTTCCTGGCTTTTCAGGTTCTGTTTTCTGTTTTCCTGTTCTCTGCTTGGAAAAGTTCCCAAAAGATAGAAGTGGGTGGCTGAGTGAGCCAGTCGGCTGACTTGACTTACTGCGACGATGCAAATGCGCTTAGATAAGTCTCAATTGCACAAGCATGCTCCTCCACTCGTTGTATTTCATAGTACATTGTACATACTTGCCCTGTCCGCTGGTGTTGTTGGTATTGCTGGCTATTTATATGGCGGCATAGGGTTAGATAAGGGGCCCCAAGTGCCCCTCATTTGGTAATTGCATTCAGCCGCGGCACCCTGCAAACACTTACGGCATCTCCCCCTTTTTTTTCCTTTCTTTTTTATCATTTACTGGGGATTAGGCAAATTACTGGAAGTCAAGTCACCGTCTTTGTAGCGAATAATTGCTCGGAATTTTTCCTAACCCTCCTCAGATAATGTTACATTACAAGTCAAGTGCAATTCTACTACTATTGTTCTCAATATTTCCACTATTTCTATTAGCATTCTAATTTTTGTGTAAAATTCAGCAAAACGCTTCATTTATTTCGTTGGTTTTCCTTCCTATTTTTGTTTGTTAGCTTTGGGGATTGCTAATTGATGGGTAAATCTTGCTTTTAGCACGTTCGCCTTAATTATAACGTCACCGCCCTCATAGACCTATAATGTAAGTCTATATAATTATATGTTCGCCGGGAATCTGTGTACGATTCTCTGATTCTCTGATGCCTGATTTCTGATCCTGACCAACGCAATCGAAATTGCCGAAGGGCAGCCGCACCACAATGATTTTGTTATTATTTTTCTTGCGTTTTTATACCCTTGCAGAGCAAAAGGGTATTATAATTTCAGTCAGAAGTTTGCAACGCAGTGAAGGAGACACCTTAGACCCCATAAAGTATATATATTCTTGATCAGCATCACCATCTGAATCGAAATATGTATGTACGTCTGTCCGTCTGTCCGTCTGTCCGTCGGTCCGTCTGTCCGTCTGTCTGTTTCTATGTAAACTAGTCTCTCAGTTTTAAAGCTATCTTGCTGAAACTTTCACAAAAGTTGTGTAGCTATTGCACGCAGTATATAAGTCGGAACGAGCCGGATCGGCCGACTATATCGGATAGCTCCGATACGAGAGAATGAAATAAAAAATTCTCACTCCTTTGTTTTTGATCAGATCGACTTGAATTATTCCAGATGGGGTTTTCTAACTACTATTGAATTTCGGATTAAATTTTATCAAAATCGGATAACTCTATCATATAGCTGCCATAGGAGACCTCAAAAATATATATATAAAATAATGGAAATAAATAGATAACATCGTTGTTTTTTATCCCATGAGCATGATTTTTTGAATATCAATTTTTTTAACAACTCTTATATTGAGAAAAAAGTTTCATAAAAATCGGACAACGATATCTCATAGCTGCCATAGGAAAGATCGAAAAATCTATATAGTTTTAACGGAAATAAAATGATAACATCGTTACTTCTCTTCAGAAAATCATGATTTTTGGAATAAATAGTTTTCTAACGACTCTTGAATAACAAATTAAATTTTATCAAAATCAGACGACTATATCATATAGCTGCCATATGAACAATAGTCAAAAATATGGAAAGTTAATAGAAAAGTCGTCGTAGCTTCGATGTAGTTTAGCCTCTGTG